CTTGTAGTTTAAGTATATTAGTACAAAGTTCTCAGAAAGTAAATCTATTTAAAGTTTATAAAATATATTGCAAAACTGAAGTCAGTTAATAAAGTTAATTGAGAATTAACTGATTAATTAGAGCTAATTTTGCTTTAAAAACAGGAAATATTAAAAACTTCAGTTAAATCTCAATTAATTAGCTGATATTTTTAACTCATTTTTATGGGAATACTGTTCTACTAATTATTTCTATTCAAACCTCAAGAAATGAATTATGAAATGCCAAATAAGGAAAATCAACCATCTAAAGATTCTTAGCTCCAAAGATCTTCAATGTAAAACTTGAAGCAACTTTTCTTTTTTAATGTCTCATATTTATTAAAGCCCTGGTGTGAGGTTTGTGCAAACTATAAAATTATTTTAAATCTAAAGACTTTTTATATCTCTTTTATTTGCCTCAACTCCAGCATCCTCACAAACCACAGAGAATATAGTGTTATAGCAATTAGGAATTATATATATACTTTGTAAATCATCTGAATCACAAAATGTACATATAACAAATATATTAATGAATACATTAAAGCACTGTGCCATTACTCCCTGAGTCGTGCCAATCTCTGTGTCAGTTCATCCTGCTCTTGGCTGACTGCTGTCGAAGTACCAATACTGTCTAATTGACCAGATGGTAGTTCCATATTTAGTTCTAATCTATGAGCAAATAAAATCAAAGTTCAGTATTGAAATACTAATGATGGAAAAAATTTGGAATATCAAAACAATACAAAATAACATTCTTACCCAGCTTCATCCGCAACTTGCTGCAATAAGGAATCTACATCATTCTGAGGTACATTAGTAGTTGTGGTTTGCGACATTGCATTTTCCATGTATGAACTTTGCACATCCAAATCTTCAAATTGGCTCTCAAATTTGTCCATAAGTCCTGAGATCTTTTCCAAATTCATCGATTTCATAGCTACATCCATAGCCTTGACAACACCAGCCATGGATTTTGTAACCTTGCGAGTCGTCAGAGCAGTCTGTACTCTACTGGCTACCGCATCCACTCTGGCGCTCATCCTCAGGTAATTCAAAGCCTGGTTCTTCTGTCGAATTGCATTCTCCGCATGGATGCGAGCACCTTCCATGTTACCCTTCTGTATCGCCTTCTTGATCTTTCCCTTCTCTACTTTCTCCTCTTTCTCGCATTTTTTCGAGTCTCTCTCCAACTCCTTCACCGCAAACTTCAAGTTGAATAAATTTTCTATGTTCCATCGTTAAAGAAAATAACTTTTCGTCAGCACTATGGCAATATAAAACCTTACACTTTGAAATTGAGAAAACTATAATCCTGTGATTTTGAGCAAATTACACAAGAATATGTTTCGAAAAACTGAGTTGATCTTGACGATACGTATGATTTAGAATACTTTGACTAAATGACGCTGGAAACGCAATTTTACATGAATAACGTGAACTTGATGAACGAATTAGAAAAAAATAGAAAGAATTTTAACGAATAATAGAAGAAATAGAAAGAATTTTAACGAATAATTAAATATTTAAAGGATACTTTCCATCTTAGGGATGGACATATATGACTGTTCCGCACCCGTGATGATAAGCTAAACTTAACCTTAAAAGATAAGAAATCACGCATGTTGTTAATTATCGATGACAACATACAATATAATATAAACTCGTTAGAATTACGTTATATGATATTTACAATTATTTACCAAGTGAATTTTACAAGTAGGAAACGCTACCTTTTAATTGACAAAAGTTCCAACACAGACGATGACAATAAACGACAATAACGTATTGACTGCACTTTCTACTCTTGATTTCGTTACCCCTTCTTTCTCTAACACTTCAGTACACATTTGTTTCAAAATGAAGGAAGTGCTAAAAGCATAGAGATATAAGAATAGAGGGAACAAGGGATATATGCTACCTGTAAGTGGAAGTGATAGAGGTCAAGAGAGAAATAGATGCCGAATGCCCTATCCATAGAGATATAAGAATAGAGGGAACAAGCCTGCAAGTGGAAGTCATAGAGGCAAAGAGAGAGATGGATGCCGAGTGTCCTATCTGTCTCTTTCTAGTCGAGCGCTGTGATTGGTTGTTACAATGAGCCGCCAAGACGACCACGCGACGTCAGGAGGGGAGAAAGCAGACTAAAATTTTGTTTTGTAAATATGTGTGCACATGTGTGTAGAATTAAAATTCGTTAAATATTCGAACGCTAACAAAATAATAATTGGACGCGATTTGTTTAAAAATGAGACATTGTTTGAAATGCAAGGCGGAGTCTTATCTTGGATGTAACCGCAGTTTTCACTCGTAAGAAAGTACAAATACGTAACCTCAAATAATTATGTTATTTTTTCCTACATTTAAAAAAATATGTAAATGTTGTAGACTACCGAAGGATGTAGATATAAGGCGTAAATGGTTGAATATATTTCAACTACCTTTGTATTTTGAAGTGAAAACAGCATATATTTGCAGTGATCATTTTAGCAATGACAGTTTCTTTGAATTGGATGGAGAAAAATGTATAGCTATATCGTCGTTGGCGCGACAGCCAATCCCAGCGCGTGACTAGAAAGAGACAGATAGGACACTCGGCATCCATCTCTCTCTTTGCCTCTATCACTTCCACTTACAGGCTTGTTCCCTCTATTCTATATCTCTATGATCAGAACTCTCAGGACAGTCCGATAAAAAAGTCTATTTTACGGCCCACGAAAGGGCCAAGCGCGCGAACTTTTGACCGAAATTGCACGAAGCTTCCACCACGTCTGTCTACTATCTTTCTCCATTCGGCTTTTCAGTACAAGGTTTTAATAACCAATAAGAAGAGACGCTTTCTAGAGACTCTAGCCAGTGAGTTTCTCTTCGGGTGACATTCTCTAGATAACGGATTCTCCTATTGGACGTCCAGAGTCGTGAAAATCGTCGGGAATCACGATGTAAATCCTTCGTAAGTCGCGCCCTTGAGCGAACGCAGCGCGCTGACGCGTGCGCGTGCGTATTGCGTCGCTGTTGCGGTGCCGTGCGTGCCGTCGCCATTTGCAATCGCTCGCCAAGGGCTAGCGCACGGCAGGTACGGCACACGCGGTCGCCGTCCCACGCCGTCCGCCCTTCTCAAGCCTATCGTTCTCGCGGTCTCGCGATGCTCTACTCTGAGTCCGCCGTCCGCTAATGCCCACCGTCGACCGCTGCGTATAGGTGAGTGGTGTGCCAGTGACGGGATGAGTGAGAGATACCTGTGTGCGAGTGAGTGCGTGCGTGCGTAAGTAAGTAACGTGCGTTTCATGCGTGCGTGCGTGCGTGCTCACTGTGTCGCGCGCGCCGCACCGCGCCAAACGGCCGAGTCGTTATCCCTTCTCTCTCTCTCTCTCTCTCTCCTCCCGTGTCATTCTGTCTCTCTCACCTAACCTTCTTTCGCGGCTGGAGCGCTCGGCAGATCAGTTTGCGGCGTGCACGATGGGCTACTTGTAACCGACGCCAAATGGAGCCTTTCGTCGGCCACCTGGAATAGCTCGTCGCGCTGTTCTACTGCGTACCGAAGACCAGCGTGCCAGGATCTGTTCGGATCCCCTCTTCCGCGCCACCCCTCTCGTCCGTTTGCCCAGCACAGTTCACCCCCCGCGCAGATATGGCCTCCTCTAACCGCGGCATCCAGATTGGCTCCGGCTGGTTTCAGACCAAGATCAACCTCAGGCCGCAACACCGAGGTGTTCATCTTGTCACCGAGGAGATCCTCAGGCAGGTCCCGGAGCTCTGCCAATTTTCCATTGGCCTCTGCCATATTCAAAGTAAGTAGACCTAGTGTCACCTTGCTAACCTATTATTAATAACTAACTGACTGAGAATTTGTGGATGCAATGCACCTGCAATGTTCTCTTCCATTGTATGAGTGAGGATTGATTTGATTGGGTTGCTCAGATAACGTTTGCGAAGAAGCGGTGTGAATAATACAAAATTGGTTCAGATCTGATGCAGTTGATAGTGTCAGAAAGAAATGATTGTATGTTTTAGATTCCTCTATCTTGTTTTTAGCATTATTGTTTTTATGTCTCGTTTACTTATACATGTCATTAATAAACTGGGTTAAATATCTAATATCTAATACACAAGATAACATTATGAGTACAAAATTCTTTGTGAAATCGATCAACACTAAATTAATATTTTCCTATAGTTCTCCATACCTCGGCTAGTTTAGCATTAAATGAGAGTTGGGATCCGGATGTGAGAGACGACATGGAGATGATGCTTAACAAAATAGTTCCTGAGGGATTGGAGTATAGGCATAGCTGTGAAGGGCCAGACGACATGGTAAGCCAAAAATACCTAAAGATTTTCTTTTGCATCGTGTTTTCACTGCTTAGCGGACTCATGCCAAGAACTTGGACTTTCCAAATCTGTTATTTATTTTCACATCCAGACTCATTCTTATAAGGAAAACATTATTTATTTATTGTAAAAAATGATACAAATACTTGAAGAAGTTCTCTCTAGACTAATCAAATCTCAAAGAGATTTCTGTTGTGATTTTGATACCTCCAAAGGAAGTGATATCATTTGGCGGATCAGCGAGATAAGTATCATTGACTATTTCTGGTGACATTTCACAGCCAGCACATGTGAAGGCCTGCTTCCTGGGTTCCTCGCTGAGCATCCCAATTACGGATGGCAAGCTGGCGTTGGGCACGTGGCAGGGCATCTGGTTCTGTGAGCACCGGAACCACGCTGGCAGCCGCAAGTTGGTGGTGACGCTGACCGGTGTCCTGAGGGACTCGGCGCGTAGCCCTCTCAGCCCGGTCAGCCCCATCGCCTCTACCAGCAGCTAGGACCACTCGCACCCCCGAAGGCGTGGCAAGCGTCAGCTGCGCGCGTCCACTTCGAGCGACTCGAGCTAGCAGCCGCTTTAAACCCTAGTCAACTTCTAAGAGTACAATCCATTGAGGAAGAATGAGCCGGATATCTCGCGGATCCAACTATCGCTCGGGGAGAAACAGCGGGTAATCAGGCGCATCCTCGATGAGCAAGTGGACACACCGCTCAGAGCGCACGTCGCGTTCACGAATTCTGTGCGTGTGCGCGTGTGTTAACTGGGTTCCGTTCATGTCTCCGATGTCATTCCGCAAGGATGTTTCTTCTTGTTCGAGTGACGGACGAGCCAGAAACTCGAGGGGTTGCGAAGAGTCTTGCGTGTTCTCTTGTTCTTGTAGTACGGATTAATTCAGATTTTAACGAAACCCTACCGCTTGAATATTGACCGATATTAACGGATCGTTGGAAGTCTGGATTCAATACCCGAAGATCCAGGAGCTAAGATTACGGGCATTGTGAGTTCCTTCGGCCGCCGAGAGAGAAGTCCCAGGATCCCCGCGGAGCACGTTATATACCACGGAAGCTCTGGAACCTTTGCAACAACTCAGAATGCCCCGCTCGTTCCTTCATTCCCGGCTTTCTGGCTCGCGTTGATCACGCGGGACATCTGGTATATCACATGAATAATAATAAAAAAAAGCGAAGAGAGAGATATATAGGAGATAGAGAGAGAAAGAGAGAGAGAGAGAGAGGAAAGGAGAAACGGAAAAAAAACTGCCACGGCGAACGCGCGTTATCGCACGCGTCGCACGTAAATAAAACGAATTAAATGCGAGTATCCAGCGCTCTTCCGCCTCGCTCTTGAAGATAGAAGAAAAGCAGAAAAGGCACATATTCTGTGGGAAGCAATCGGAGAGGAAGAAGGACAGATAGAAAAAGGAAGAACGAATCTATGCATTCCGGTAACGCGTCCAATACTCCGAATTTACGTAGCTTTATTTAGGAGACCCTTTTGTATAAACGAAGTTGACGGACACGAGCAGCCGTGCGAGGACTCGCATCTTTTTTTACACTCGGCTATCTTTGAGCTGTCCCAAAACGAGAGGCAAAGAGAGGGTAAGGGAATTTTAGAAAAAAAAAGAGAAAGAGAGTAAAAGGAGTGAGAGAGCGTGAGGTACGCGTTGCGAACTTTCTGACTCGTCGCTTTAAACGATTAGAAGCTAAATCTAATTGCTCGCACGAACAATGACGTTTCCATCGCATTGGGGGTGTACATATACATACATAGGGAAAGTTCGGCGATGATTCTCTACTGCTGTGCGCGTCTCCGCTAGGGTTATAACGTATGTTACACCATCACGGGCACGTAACGCGATTGCATTCTACGTTGAATTATAGCGCGTTGTAACTAAGGTAACGTTACTAGGTACATTGGAGAGTCGGTTGCACCAACACCCGCCCACGATAATTTATATTACATTTGTGGTTGTATGTATATATATCCTATAACGCGTTTCTTTATTTTATAATAATATTAAAACTTTTACAAATTGTACAAATTAGGCTGTTTTTTTTTTTTTTTTATTATATATCCCAGAGATACTATTTAATACTCATTATATATAACATTAGAGAGCAAAATCTGAGTTACTTGTGTAGCATTTTAATTCAGTCGTCTAAGCTTCGAAAATTCGAACTGTCCTATTTAATTGGCTTAAAAGTGGGACTGGATTCAGAAGATTAGTTTAATTTATATAAAAAGACAATTCTCACAATATTTAATCAATCAAAAGTAATTGATGTCGATTCCTTCTCTATTAAATTTTTTATTCGATCGTCAGTTATCCTAAACTTTTCTTAGTTACGGCTGTCAGTGCAACTGACCTTTATTAAGAGACCACTTCCGAAGATCAAGAGCGTAAGGCGTCGTTTTAAAAGATCCAGCACTGCGGTGAAGTATAACGTTGGATCGTCACGAGGACAGCTGCGTCGATTTCGCAAAAGTCTTCGAATTGCTGGTTCTTTGATTTAGGAATTTGGAAAAAAACTCCAGTATCGCAATTCTTGGTTATACTTCCGAAAAAAAAGAAGATTCACTCTCTGATTTTTATGAAATTTGACGAAAATGTCCTCCAAATGACTCCAAAAATGAATATATGTGAAAGGCTTTTTGGCGCAAAGGAAAATAAGCCGAGATAATGTTGAAATTACGAGAGTAATTATTTTCAGAAAAAATTTGCACAATTATGGATATATAGAATAATTTTCACTTCGAGATACGTTTTAATGATCGATGTTTCAACGTGCAATCTAAAGTAAGAATCGCTTCTGTTTGATGACACGTTTTAACATTATTCTGATTTATCGGGATTGTATTTTAATCCTCGGCCTTTGGGTATCCAAACAATATCCTCGTTTTCCCTATCGTTCATGAAAGTTATTGAGAAGAAAAAGCCGGCCGAGGCGATCTTCGTGACGAATCGACAGAGAGCTTCTTACTCACACGATGTTATTAAACTGAAGCTTACTATGAGCTTGCCGCAGCGTGTCGTTGAAATGGACAGGCAGGCGAACAGGCAGAACAGGCGTTGTCGTTGTTTAGTTGTTAATCTTCAACGTACATAGGCGTGCAAAAGAAAAAAAAAAGAACGCGTCGTCGTCCATTACGTGATTAAATGGACCTATGCTTTAATGTAAAGTACGTCTCTATCTATACAGTTCACATAGCTTAAACAAAAAAATGAAAAAAACATTATCGGAGCTCAAAGTATAATATAATGTAATGTAATGTAATGTAATGTAATGGTACACCATCGAGATTGCCGTACGTACGATCGCTCCTACGAACATACGCAAACAAACACACACACAGGTGGCAGGAGGGGGATAGACGAGGAAAAGGCTCACACACATATGCACAAAGGCGATCTACGATCCTCTCCACGGCCCCCTCGTCCTTGCGCGTATCCTCGCGAGCGCGCGACTTACATAGGTTCAATAGCCAACGTACCAAGTTCGTGGTTTAAGGCGAGACGGTAGCATTTTAATCTGTACACACGTATATTGTAAATAATAACAATAACATTTTGCCGAACTCAAGGCGAGGCTGCGTTCTCGAGAGAAAGATTAGGGGAGAAGAGGTATATATATATATATGTTCAGCGCGCGCGATATCCGAGGAGCATCCAGAACTTAGCGGTTCTACGAACTCGCGGATCTCCTTTGTTCGGATTCGTTATGATTCACCGTTAGCTTTGATTCTCTTTCCGTTATTTGGGAACCTAAAAAAGAAGGGGAAATTTTTACGGCTAGAATTTTATTCGTATTCTAATGGTCATTTCTTCGAAGTAATTTCGCCATGCGCGCGCGCGCGAATCTTTATAACTGAAATTCTCGCAACATTAATATTTGTCTCTGATTTTGCGGAATTTTAAGTTCTTGCGAGTAATTTTTTGTCGAAACATCGCAGTCTTCGGACAACTCGGGCATTTAGAACATCGAGAGATTTTGGGTTCAGCGAATCTCCCAGGTCTTTTCAACGATGGAAAAGATCTTGGAGGAAATCTCTTGATTTTCTTCAATATCTTTACGGATCTTTGTAAATCTCGGGACCTCGAGTCTCTAAAAGTTTGGATCCTCGAAACTCGAGCTCCTTTCGATGCGTTGTATAAAGCTATAAAGGTCACAATCACTTGTATTTTGCCAAAATTGAATTATCAGCGAGAGAGAAAAGAAAATTCATTTTTCCAGGCGTAGGCTTCCGCTTGCGCAGCGAACGCGGATCTAATTATTGCAACGCATGCAGGCTCCGTCAGTCCCTCTTTGCACTCTTGCGTAAGTAAAAATATTTTCTACCGTTTAGAAATAAAGAACTGTTACAACACGAACGTGGCGCATTGATCTTGTATATGCTACCAGCTGTGAATATCCTATACAATGTACGATAAAATGTATATGTAAGATTTATATAAGCGAGAACGAGAGAGGCAGATGCGTGAATGTGCTGGCATGACGTGATTCTACAATGATGGCACATATCAATTACGAGAAACCGATATGAATCCACTTGCAATAGATATATGCGGAATTTAATGATCCTCTCACGACTACGACAAGATTAATAGGGATTTTATGTTTCTCTCACGATATTTTACTTTTTCTCGCATATTCTGGGTCCTTTTCTTTTTATATAGCTGTTTTATTCATTTCATTTTATAACTAACAGTTATAGAAATATAACATTTCACTAAAACCTACGATATCCTGGTAGCGTAGTATCCCGCCTCCTCTTCTATGCAGAGGTATCGAAGTAGACTATTGAGAATTAATAAGATCCTATTCATCTGATACTAATTACGAGATTGCGGATGTTTACCCAAGTACTACGCAAGAAAATAAGTTCCTTACTTGCGTATTTTCCGTAAAGAGTCTTGCATGAACATCCACAGTTTATTGATTACATTCTTACAGATGTAACACGTTATATTGTAACGAATATTAGCTCGTTGTATAATTGATTTGTCGATTTTTGCATAGGACATTCTATCGAATTCAGACACGAGGTGAGAGAAATCTGAACGATTCAGAACCTAGATATATTCAGCAAAAAGATTCGCCGTGTCACAGTGTATTGCGATCCGGAGTCTCTGATGATGTTTATGATAATGATGATGACGATGATGAAGATAAAGATGATGATAATCGTGGCGGTGATGATGCTGTTGAATGTTAATTTGCTAAGGATGAAGAGATGGCTACCATTTCTGCTTACTGAAACTAATCCAAGCCAGCAGCAGCTCGACTTGAGACTTAGACATGGCTTACTTTACAGTGACAACTGGAACAAACAGTTGACATCATGTAAAGATGAACAGGATAGAATAAGGGATGCCTAAAGTATCGTTGGGAGAAGAGAATATCGATCTATTGACTGTAAAGGATCATAAGAGTCAGGTTATCAGAGAGCTTTCACATGCTTACAAAACTTGAAAATGTCATAAGCAAACGCAGTTAAGATTTTAGAGAACTCAGGATCAGCTGGAAGGCACGTTACTCAGATGATTCATGAAGTCCAACGGTGCCTTACCATCTGGCTTCCTAGTCTCGGACTTATTCAAGTCAGCGTTGTAATTTTCCGGAAGAGGATGCGGACCGGGGTGGCTCAGATCCAACGCCTTCTGCTGCACCACCTTGAAGGAGGCTTTGATGTTATCCAACGCAGCCCCCAAGCCCATTTTGATCTGGTTGAACTCCTGCGTCACCAGGGACAGCCGACCGAGCAGGTAATTCAAGTTCTCGTCCACCTCCCTCATGCGTTTCGTTATCTCGCCGACCTGTCAAATTTCGGACGATCAGTCTTTCCTCAAAGTTCAGGAAAAAGTCTGACAGACTTGTATGACGAGTAGACAGGTTGATTACCTTGCTCTCCATTCCACCCATGGTGGACGTTGTGCCATTGACGTACACTTCGTTCTGCTGATGCAGCTTGTCCAAAGCTCGGGCGCTCTCCGTCATCTGCTGGTACATGACGTTGATCTGCCTCCAGACCTACAAGATAAGTCACGAATAAGCCTCTCTGGAAAATGGTCCATCGATCTAGTCAGCGAGAAGTAGATTGTTCACCTTGTTCATTTCCTGCTCCATCTTGCTGGTGAGATTCGCCAGTGCGCCGTTCTGGTTGTCCATAATGTCACTTGAGATTCCGTCGAATCTTTGGTTGAGAGTGTTGTTGATATTGTTGCCTTGGGTCTTCACTAAATCGCCCACCTCTAACAGGATCTGGTGCACACCGTACTCCACTCTCTTCTTCGTGTCCAACACATGATCGGCCATAGAAACCATCACAGATTGACCCTTGCTCAGATCCTGCAGCTCGTGATTAACGCGCTCTGCGTTGTTAGCCAGATCCATTCTGTAGCATGAAAGAGCGTCGATAGCTTATGAGAGATACCACATCGCTCGACGTTAAATCCTCCTCTGGGTGTCTCTATAATATCGATTTTCTTAACGTGCGAAAAGCGTTTTAATGTTAACTTCGTTGACGATAGAGAAGCTTCGTCGAGATTTTGGGAATGACAATCGGGATTTACCGTAATGCCGTCACAGCATCCTTCGTCTCTTCCTTGGCTTCCTTTACTCCGTCCGTGATGTGATCCATGCTTTGTGTAACGATATCCTTCAACGTGTGCTTCGCCTCCTGCAGCATGGTCTGCGTCTCGTTGTGCAACGTTTGCACGTCACTTATCCTACAAGTCACCAACTTCCGATTAGTACTTATAAATAGTTCCCTCTTCCTCCTCGTGGTTTTCTTAATTAGTTGTCTGGCGTCGGAAAATCCGGGTTTATTACCTAGGTAACTCTTGCATCCTGAAGGAAGTGTCCTCCAGCAGTTCCTGCACTCGCACCAAAGTCCTCAAGTGATCGTCGACCGCCGGTGTCGGGTCCACCGGTGCCGTCGGTTTCTCTTGGATGCTTTGCGTCATCTGTTTTATCCTCTCCAGAGAGATCTCGATGTCCCCGATCTTGGCGGCTACATCTTGAACCTGCTCGACCAATTCGTATTCTATCCGTCTCCTCTATTTGTGTCAAATTTTTTCCCATCGCTCTCTTATCGTATCGAATTGATTACCTCCGAGAAAATCTTCCACGTTTTTTCCATCAGCGCATTCGAATCTTTCTCTCTCTTTGCCGTGTTATCGTGCAGGCCTTCCTTCAACCTCGCCATCTCCTCTATCAAATTGCTCTCGGTGCTGTTCAGTTTGTCAAGAATGTCGACGAGATTATTGCTCGGCGCTGGAGTCGGCTCAGGTCGATTGCTCACCTCCGCCACTTTGTTCTCAATTTCAGTGAGCCAGGCTTCCAGGCGGCTCTCCAGATCCTCCAGGCTGTCCGCCGTTTTCTGCATCTGTATGCGCTCCCTCTCGTCCCTCTGCGCGAAGAAGAAATATCGTTAAGACTTCATGCCAAGATATAATCCTTCCATCTTGCGCCAAAACACCGGGCGATTACCTGTGCGATCAGTTGCTCTATTCCCGAGATCTTTTCGTCTATCTTGCTCAGTTGCAGCTTCAGACCGTCCACTGCGGTCACGCGCTTTACCAGTACAGCTATGGTCTTCTTCAGTTGCTCGCCCAGCTGCCGCTCTCTCGCCTCGTGCCTTTCCAGCTTCTCCGTGTTCTCCCGCATCATGTGCACTAAGCTCAGCATAGCCTCTTTGATGTCCTCATGGCTGCAAAAATATCAGTAGGATTATTCGCATTCGTTGAAATTCGCTCAACTATCCAGAGTCGAAATATTGAAGACTGATTTTCATTTGAAGAAAAAGAAGCACGCTCGATCAGTTAATTATTGAATGTGCGAGTTTATTGACTGGGTGAATTACTTACGTGATCTCCCTAGTGTAGCTAACGTCGAGGCAAAGATAAAGGACCATTAAGAGGACGGACAGCTTCATCGTTCTCATTTTCTGGATCTACGACAGCGAGTTGATTTGCTATCCCGCGATGCTGTTACACTAATTGAAGAGTTTAGCTCGGTATCACTTGAACCTCGATATAATCTGCTATGAATCAAAAGAACGACAAGAAATTCATGACATGAAGGTAATAAACAAAGACATCACTATTTCTGTAAGTTACAAAGTGTCTTTCTCTCCGGGACTTCTAATTGAATACACTGCCATCGAGATAAGGAACACGCAGGTCACTCACGATGACCCCGGAGAGTAGAGAGAGAGAGAGAGAGAAAGAGAGAGATGTGTACGGAGAAATCATCACTCACAATAAATTACTCTCGTACGTTAGTAGTAGCTGCTCAAAGATCGCAGTGTTATATGTTCCGTGTCTCCCAGTATGAGAGTGCTTTAACTTATTTAATTAGTGAATTTAATTAAATTTAATTTAATTGCACGAGTCACCGTGAATTTTTCATCAATATCTTAATGTCAATTTTTTGTCTCGAACGCGTTAAATTTTGTTGGCATTTCTGTTATATTAAATATTATTTTATTAGTTTTAAGTGATAACGTGTCATTTTTATAGTATTTGTAATTTTTATATTAATGTTCCTTCATAATATTAATTTAAATTGAATTCAATTAGTTGAGGATGAAAAGCAAGGCGTCTTCATACAGCGCGTTTTCCTTCGGCAGCAAAGTGGGATCTCTCTCAGGCTGCAATGGAACTCGAAACCTTTCTTCGGTATATGGAGGTGATGAAAGGGTGAAATGTGTGCAGCTATTTATAGGCATACAGATGAGCATTCTTCCAACGAGCCATGTGGTCCATTATAGCCATTAAGCCATATGTTTCAAGCGCAACAAATTTGTCTTGCCCTTTTACATAAGTGCAGATGTGAAGGAGAACTGCTTTAAAATCGGTCAACTTTCTTTTTATACCAAAAGAATTAAATTTTGCCGTGATATTTACATTATTTATACAGTCTCGTTTTATTATTGAATATAGAAAGCTACAAGGATTTCGCTTATTAAAAATATGATATCGTAAATATAAATCTTTTCTGAAAAATTTCCTTGTCGATCTATTCAATTATTAGAATTTTTAGTGTTATATTAGGAAATTTTGATCACTCCGCGGTTTCGAAAATATTTGAATTCTATTTAAAATTCGAATTTTTTAATTCTTTGAGTTATTAAATTTGCAGATCGCGTAAGTCTCGAAGTTGTTTCTCTCAAATCTTTGTGTTTCGAGTGTCAAAAAAAATCGATATTTCGAGCTTCTCGAAATTTCTGAAGACAAAAGTATTGAAAGACCAAGATTCCAATATAACACAGTCCACTGAGCCGGACAGGAAATGTTCCTTCATAATAGGGTACATTGTACTATAAATAGAACGCTAAGAAGACTGCTGCATCTTGTTCCAGCGGATACATTGCTTAACAAGTAAACGAAGCATTATTGAGTCCATTAGAAATCCATTGGAACTCAAGCGACTTTATTTACTTTACTTGAAATGCACAGAGCAAAGAGCAATGTGATGTAGCAAAAAACAAATAAATTTCATACGGGGATCTGCTCATAGACCCGGTTCTATCGTCGCGCCTAATTTCCTCTCGACTTTCGATACGCGCGTCTCGATAATCGACAAATTTCAATTGCGCATTCTTGAAAAAAAAAAAAAGCAACGAGAAAAACTAATCGGCCGACTCGACGATGCATTTCGATCTAAAGCGCGACCTCTTAGAACAGCATTTTCGCGAATCGATCGAAAGCTATCGAGCTAAGTCTTCAAAGTTAACAAAGTCTGCAATAAAACTAAATGTCAAGCACGTGACGTGATTCGTGCATGGTTTAATGTGCGCGAGGAAAACCAGTGAAAGTTGCGTAAAAGTGTAAACGGAGAAACCGTCAACTGCCGAGTGAGAGAGAAAAATAAAACACGGCGATAAAGAAAGACGCTGTTATGTATCGAAACGATCGAGGAAGAAAAGGAAAAGAAAGAGATCGTTCGTTTTCGCTTTTTTGTTCGCCAGCGTGAGAAGCAGTTCGGCGAAGAAAGAACAACAACCGAATTTTTCCGATCGATCGACGCGACGACCGGACACGATTCCCCGGCGCGACCGCTCGCACTACTCACTCGAGCGTGGTTGTTGTCCTCCTCGCGGAAGCACGGGGCGAGAGCGCAGCCGATCGCAGTCGAACTGTTTTTCGACGCGACCAGCGAAGAACTGATCTCCCGCTGCCATTAGATAACCCCGCTCAGATTTTTTCAAATTCTCCGGCCCGAGGAGTCGCACAACGCTGCCAACGCTACGAACGCTCCGAAGCTCGTTTCGCCCGAAAAGTGTGACAAATCAGCCCAAAAGTTGCCCGGACTGCCTAGGAAATTCGCGCACGCGCGAATGAATCCCCGGCGTGTACGCCATCTTTGTCAAACATCGCTCGCGCGCGCGAGAGAATGAAGATCGTTCTGAAATAACACGCACACAGACCGTAGTCCGCGACCGATTGAAAGATGAAATATACATGACGTCGAGTGTGCCTATGCATACTGTAAAGAGACAAACAACATCGGGCGCACGAATATCCGTATCGTACACCGTCGCACGTTTCGCATCGTATATACACATAGCAGCCATAGTGACTCGAGAGGCATATCGGCCGAATGAGGCGTTAATTGAACGTTCTCGTTAACTCGCCGCTGCGGCGCTCTCTCGTAACCCTTATTGATATCCCTGTTAAAATACATCCTAACTCGGCTCGACTCGCACATCGTCGCTCGTGCTAACGCACGATATGAAGGCGCCCTGACTTGCCTGATGAGAGACTTGCGCGAAGCATCGGCGGTAGCAGAGAGACAGCGACCCCGGCGACAGGGCACTCGAGCACATCATCTTTACGCACATTACTAGTGAACTTTGGATTTTGGCACTTTGACCTCCTGACTGCCACCTCTCCGGCTTGTTACGCACAGGGCACCTTTGCCGCAAAATACACTTCCCCACATCAGAAATGATTTGCTGAATTAGGTGAGCTGTAGTCCATGTCTACGTGCCGATCAGTCCTTTCTCCAGCTAATTCTCCAGCAAGTATATCTTGTCAACAGAAGCAGGATAGACTAGTGTAAGTCTGAATAATTATAGTATGTCACATTGTATCATGTCTCTACTGGAATGTGCTGTGAATTGAGGTAATTACTATAAAGAAAAAAAGGAAAGAAGCATTGTTCTTTGATATGATGTCACAACTCAAAGAACTCTGTCGTATTGTTACATCAGAATAAGAAAATACGGAAATAAGCATTGTGTTGTTTATAAACTACATAAGATATGAAAATATATGTTACGTTGTTTACAATTTGATATCTTGCTTAAATACCTAGAAATCCTATGTGTAGTTTTAAGAATTATTTTGTGTATTTGCAGTCTGCTTCTTACTTCTTCTTACTACTTATTTATTATGATTTTCCTTCTAAGATATTTGCTGATTTCAGATATAAATCATACATGATTGCTGATTTTAGATATAAATCATACATGACACGAGGATTATTTTTTAGGGATCTTATATGATATTATGTAATGTTATCGTAAGCTGCTGGTTGTTATACAAATTGATATTTGCTAAATTTTTCAATGTGGTGTAATATATTTGTTAACAACAGCAGAGTTAAAAGTTTTAAGAATTTAAATTTAAATAGATTTCTTTTTCCTCCTGTGATTAATGTTTAATTTATTAACCTTATTAGTGCTTCAAAAGAGATGACCTAATTATTTCATATTTTGTATTTATATTGAATATATATTTCACTATTATATTTTTTAAAGAAGTTTTTAATTATCGTTATACATTACTATCAAAAAATAAATATGTTTATATTTAATATAGTTACAATGCTTATTTTTATATATAACTATTTATAATGCACTATCTGATAAAATAAACTTAACTGCTGAGGCAAGGCTTGCTTGACCCTTTGGTTTAATTTAATTGCCAATTAATATGACAACATGCAGCCATCAGAGAATTATATATAGCAACACTACAGTAATTTATTTCGCTCTCAGGCAAGTTCTTATTTGCTGTAAATATTCACATATGTAGTTGTCTGTTATCACACTATTAAATCCTATAGATACTTTTTAGACTTTAGACATTTTTATGTTCTTATTTTAATATGTTTTTATTTTCATAAAATGTAAACAATGTTACCTTCTTACACTAATCATTTTACCATATTTTTGTTACAGGTGGAGGCGCCAAATATTTATGTCTTCTATAAAGTATACAGCCTAGTATTAATATCTTATCACTATGGCAGTGCTCACGTCTGTGAAGCAATCGTCGCTGATACATCTTATGTTTGCCATTACGTTTTTTACATCTGGTTTGATAATAAATTTCTTCCAATGCATTTTATACTTTGGACTGAGACCATTTTCGAAGTACCTCTATCGCAAGATTAATTACTATCTTTGTTATTCCTTCTACTGTCGTAAGTTTCCTCCTTATAACATTATACAGTTAAAGAATGTAACTGAAGTGAAAGACTAAACTTGAGGAGTGTACTGTATTCATATACATCTTAAAGATGAAGGTCATTTCTTTTTCAATATAGGTTTGTAAACTCTCTAAAAAAAGAATACTTTGGGATGAAATTTGACAACAATGCACGTTAAATGTAAAATTGCAAGTATTGTCATTTTCTTTTAGAGAAGGGATTTTGATACTTGCAATCGGCCCAGACGAACATTGTATTTTAGAATTAAAGTGTATTTTAGTAGATATATAAAGAAAATTATCAGTCTTTATCTAAACGTTTGATAACTGAAATAATACTTATCAGAAAGAAAATGTCTCATTCTAAGATGATCGAAGTACACTCCATATGTTTGGCCACTCTATATGTTATTATTAATATAAGATCTTGGACTTTATTTATAAGAAATATATTCAACATACACGTTTCCTTCACTAGAGTTAGTATTCATGGCAGAATGGTGGGCAGGATCAGATGTTATATTATATGTAGATAAGAAGGACTTTGATAAATATTATGGTAAGGAGCATGGCTACCTATTAATGAACCACAGTTACGAGACCGACTGGCTGATAGGCTGGCTACTGTGCGAACGTGTAAAATTATTGGGCGTGAGTATTCTCTAAAAAGTAATTTGCATTCAAGTATATACATGCAGCAAAGATATTATTAAAATATTTATCCGCTGATACATGTTCTTTAGAATTGCAAAGCATACGCCAAGAAGTCGATACAGTATATTCCCACTTTGGGGTGGGCGTGGAAATTCGCGGAAAGCATCTTCCTCGAGAGGAGTTGGGAAAAAGACAAGGAAAACATCAAACGTCAAATCAGGGAATTGATCGAATATCCCGATACGATGTGGGTAAGTGTACAGTAAACAAATATCCTTGTAAAATATGTGCAATTGTGCAAATATATTGTTTATTTATTCTGTAATAATCGATTGCTATTTCTTTTTTTTTAAATCTTTACTAATAAGGTACTTTCATAGGTCTATATATCTTGATTTAGAATTTTATCTCAAAACACGACAGTGTACGTTACTAATGGCAACTGTTAGAGGTAAATTCTAATCGGTTACAGTTGCTACTCTATCCAGAGGGCACGCGTTTCACTCCAAAAAAACTGGAAGCCAGTCAAAAGTTCGCGATAGAGAAAGGTTTGCCAGTGTTGAAATATCACTTGACGCCACGCACAAAAGGCTTCACCGCCAGTATAAGTCACATGAGGGGCAAAGCATTGGCCATCTACGACATTCAGATGGCGTTCAAACCGTCGGACCCGGTGAAGCCGACCATGAAGAATCTCTTGTTGGGGAAACGGCTGGAAGGTCATATGTATTGCAAAAGAATTCCCATCGACGAAGTGCCAGAGGGAGACGAAGCTGCTGCTGAATGGCTGCACAAATTTTATCAGCAGAAGGTAATCTATTGAACGTGTGCCTCGGTACGTTGGGTAATCAGAAAGTGCATGTGATTTTAATAAATGTACACTGTTCTGCAACTGGCACACAATTTGAAAGGCGACAATTTTACATGAAGACACAAGTCGAAACTAGAGGATAGAAGAACTTTCTCGTACGAGGCTTCGCTTTTTCGAAAAATATATGCACAATTTATCAGTACTTTGTTCTTCATATTCAAAATAATAATATCGCGCAAGTTAATATTTTTGGTTACCCAAAATGCCCGATGTCTTCTAAATCTTAGTAGACGCTTAATTGCATTAGGAGCTTCAAGTGATTCGCCGGGTCGCTATATGTAATCATTGATAACCCTGCTTTACTTGCGCAATGTTCGACTTGGACGTTTTGGTATAAAGCAAGATGGACAATACGTGGTACAATCAGTATTCTCGTATATTTGTAAGATTAAATCGAGCCGAACAGCGCGCAAGAATTAACTTTTGCTAGACGATAGTTCACGCTAAACGATAGCGCTAGAAGTACTGTTTACTCAATAGGATCGTATGGCGGAGAGCTTTTATAAGACCGGCGATTTCTTCGCCACGAGCGGAGTGCCTAGAACAGACACGTTCACATTAAAGAGAAGGTACTACTCCCTCATTAACACTACATTCTGGGCGATAGTAGTCCTTGTACCAATGCTGTATTACCTTATAAAGCTCTTCTTGTCTGGCTCGACCGTCTACTTCAGCATCGGGGTTGCAATTATCCTTCTATGTAAGTAGTCCCTTCGTATTCGCATACTTCTATGTGAGTTTTCCATACCCGTTACGTATCATCTATCTCCAAGTACTTAATTAGTTTATATCCTTGTCGTGTTCTCGCACTTTTAATCGTTGAAAAGTAATCGTTAATGCTAGAAATTAGTTGAATTTCCGAAGTAGCGTATTTCACTATTACACTCCGATTACGCGATTTTTACGGAAATAAATTGCATTACAGTTTATCTGCTAATGTACAAAACCATCGGTATGTCGGAGATAAGCAAAGGTTCGTCGTACGGTGCGGCCGACACGAAGAAGGACAAATAATTCCAAAGCAATCGCCGACAGTGACTCTTGTGAAAAAGAAAAAAATGTGTCAAAGTAAAAATCCACAATTGTGTGATTTGGGGAAAGGGAGGGATAAATGAAGTGCGGAGGAATGCAGATATGTATACATTTGATTTATACTTCTGTGTGATTTATTCAGCGAAAATACGTTCTGTATGGACTATATATATATATATATATATAATATAAAAAAAATATATATATATATATATACATACACATACACACGCGCGCGCGCGCGCACACACACACACACACACACACACACACACACCCAAATACACACAGACTAACACGTATGCGTAACTCTATATGATATGTACATGTGTGTACATATAGAGGTACTTATACATATATATTTACTTGGTATTATTGATATAAAATTTACATGTTTTTTTGCGTTGGCATTTTTTTCTTATATAGCGACTGTTATTGTTAAATAAACGGTTTAATCCCAAGATGCCATTAGCGATTACTTGCAGGATATATTCATACACGTACCGTATTTATTTTTTTCCGAAACTTTATATATATATATAGTTGTATATAATTCTCAAAACTTGTAACAATTGTCAAATGTTTTGATTATCCTAGAATTTTCAATACATATAAATTTATTACTTAATATAGTGGGTGAGAAGAGTGAAGAGAGAGAGGGGGGGGGGGAATATTTAAAATATATTAAGTTTCAGGTTTGGAAGTGATAGTTTCGTGATGTCGCTCTTGATAACCGTTGCTGGGTTCCGCGATGTAATTGATAATTCTAAGCTTTCCTTTCGGATCGTAAAAGCCATATCGTCCCTTGACGCTTCCATTTTGCAGACGCTCCTCAATTCTGTACTGCCGACTTTTTCTACAATAGTAACAATCCGTCGTTATTTCGATCATAAATACACAATTATTATTTGAAACACTTCTAGAAATTGCTCAAAACGTCTCATCGGAGAACGCTGACAGCCGGTATTTACCCACGTCCAGTATCGAAGCCGAATATATACGTTCCTGGTCCCCGATGATTCCTTAGTTGAAAATCTATCCGGCTTCCGTCCGATGATTCTTCCGTTTCTCTTTTGGACATCACAGCGGGATGAAGTATCGAAGTACGATTGGTATGTGGCGGTACAATTGATCCGTTTACATCACGATAATCGTGTACTGCTAACATGGTTGCGAGAGAAGAGAGTTTCAAGAGAAGCTGCGAAGGAAAACACAAGGAATTCGAGACATCGATTCTGCGCGTATACAGTTGCTCGACGGTGTCTGCCGAATAATTCGATCGCTTTCACATCTTCGCGGTTCGTCGCTCTCTTTGATCTACTTTTCTACCGATCGCACGGTACTCTCGTTGAGATGAAAAATATCAAACAATCAAGTTATTCTCTGTCGAAAGCGAGAACCTTTCACGATAAAGGTAAGACGTGCTCACGATAATCACTGGAATGTTACTCACAAAGCACTCGATATACATTGTATCTTCCTTCCTCGGCGAACAGTTCCAGATAAACTGATCCTTTCGAGCACGTTCGAGCTCTCGTGTGTTGTGTCTCCGCAAAACTCTCACTTTCCCCATGATTGAGTTTTTGTCTCTTCCTCTCTTTTTCTGTCTCTTCCAATTATTCAACATTGTTTACTTTAACAAGCTGTCGGTGACAATGGAATGAATAATTCAATCGGTAATTAAAAGAATTACATAAGCGAGGTAGTCGAGCGTGCTTCCGTTTAGAAACATCGGACAATACCGTTGTTTTGTAACAACTATTCAGCCGTCAACTTGTCTCGCTCGTGATACGCGCATTTTCAGTACGCTGATTTATAAGCGTGTGGACGCAAAAATGAAGAACGTTCTTCGGAAGACACTATAATCCACGCGAAATGGCCAAGCTGATCTTCATTGCTCTGTGTTGCGTTTGCTTGCTGCTGCTAGAGTCTGCAAACGTAAGTAATTCGAAAGAATCTTTCGGTAGTAGATATCCTCGAACAATACATTCGTCGACTAATTATTGGAATTTTTTGGCCTCTTTAAATATTTTCTACGTAAAAATCGATCCGATATTCGCGTTATATTCAAAATATGATATCACAGTGTAAGAATGTAATGACAGGTATAATTTGACAATTTGCTCTCTCTCATGTTCGCAGTCGTTGAAATGCCAAACAGGTATCCAGCAAGCAGACGATCAATTCCGGAAAGTTGTGCAGATTTGCAAGAAACGGCACAGTGGTGGGAACAATAGCGATTCTTCGTCGAATGAGGATGACGACGACTCGGATTTGTTGAACAAGTTCTTCATGAAAGGCAGCGACTCCTCCTCCAACACGCAGTCTTGGTAAGATCGGACCGATCGAAAATCGACCAGCGGAAAATGAGAGAATAGTTATGTCGCAAAATAATAATCTCGATACGAGACGTTATTGGTTTATAATTACATAATAATAATGATTAATATGACAATTATCATTAACGATAACATCAATAGTAATCAATAATGTAACAATCAAGGAAACACGGGAACGACCAGAGAGGCAGCAGCGATCCACGTCATTCCTTCAATCAGACAAATGGAAACTGGAGAAGCGCGCAACGTCCTAATCACGACAACAATAATCACGACTCCGACGGAATGTATCCTGGCAGAGGATATCCTAGCGGAGGATATCCTGGTGGAAATGTCAGAGATGGTTCAAGTTATGATCAAATGAACGGTAACTTCGGGAACACTCACAAGGACCAAAAACGAGCTGTAAGATACTAATAAAAGTGCACCTGTATAAATACATAAATCATATAATACATATATTATCCCCGGACTTTAAGGAATGCACGAAGTATCGGTAGAGAAATTTAACGAAATGATAATAAATATTTCCGAGATAAACACACATTATAGAAAAATAGATATATTAGTAATTAATGTATATAATTGATACTGTGTCATATGAATTACTGTGCGTAGTGCGTCACTCAGTGTTTCTTCAACGAATTGAACGCGGTAAGTGGACGGCTGTTTCGATACTTGAAGAAAAGTGCCTTGCCAGTCGGTCTCTCTATAATTCTAATTCTAACAGGTGGATCACAGAGGATTCCCCCAGCAGGAATTGATCATAAATCTGATGACACACAACATACAGAATCCAGAACTGCAAGATTTTATGGAGGAAGCCATCATAGAGTGTTTTCACTTCCTCAGTGCAGACATGAGGCAGGACAAGTGTTACTTTTCGCAAAATCTCTTGTCTTGCTTGGCCGAAAAAGGAAAAGAAGTACGTTTTACGAAAAGTGATTATAATTCAAATGAATACTAACAGTTAACGTGATTCTCTTTTTTTTTTTAGAGATGCGAAGATTGGAACAATTAATTGCACCGTGTAGACGTCATAATAATCGATCAGCTAATCATTTCCACGGAAAAAGGACAAGAAGTTAATCCTCTAATAAAAATGTAACCTGAAAAAAATATCATGTATGACTTACAAGGCGTTGTTTTGAGCATATAATGATTCCATAATGGTAAATAACAAGTTAACACTATACACACATTAATATTATAACAATTTATAATACTTGCACAAATAGAACAAATAGAACATACCTGTTATTTTTGTTTTTCGATCATTTATACTCAAATATCGGAAAACTTAAAAATCGAATTACATATTAAAGTTATGTATTGTTTTTCTTTTAGATCAAACAACTTAAATTCTTTAATCTATTGTTTGTGTTTTTCGACGATGTGTATTTACAACAGAGATCGATGAAACTGTCTCTTGGAAATGTACAGTTTTAGCTAGGCAAAAAGCATTTTTTCATCGCTCTGCGAAATATCTTATCGCCGAAAGTGCAAGCATCACAAGCATATATCACTTTATCTTAGATTTTAGATTCTCCCTATTTGCCGAAGGCATTACTAAATACAATATCGTTCTCGTCTTGCGACGGTAAAATAAAACTGGAAATAACGTTTCGGACATCGTTCTCGCACACGTCATCGGATGTTACTTCCTCTTTTTCAAGTCCTCGAATCGCTTCATCAAGTCATCGAAATCAATATCGTCGTTCTCGGGCGGATTTGTAGGCGTCTCATTTTCCGTCGGTACCGCCGGCAGATCCGGAAGCTGGAAGTTATTCATGGGTATTTTGGACCTCGGCTGGGGTTTCGGTTTCTCATCGGACTGTAGAATAAAACAAAAATTATATACGATTAACATGCTGATAGAATTTTGCAGCATTCTCATCATAAACAAACATTCCATTAATCTTGTAATAGCAGTTTTGTAAAAATTAAAGCGACAATGAAGATATTGATATTGTACGAACTTACCTGTTTGTTCAAGTCAGGTGGAAAGTCAGGCCTGTAGGGTGGTGGTAAATCTTCTTCCTGATTAACAAATTTTCAAAGATATTATATAAGTAGACAAGTGATTTTTTTCTATTTCATCGTTGCTACAAACAAGGAAATATTTCTTTCTAGATATATCATTATTAACTTTATTATTATTGGTAAATGTATGTTACTCACTGGTTTATTTGAATTGGCATTGTCCAAGGGTATGTTATATGAGAATGCAGTGGGATTAAACATAGTATTTTGATCCTTTTCCATAGGTGGAGATACGAATCCAATGGATAAACCATCTTTCTCGGAATCCTTTGACATTACAATATCTTTAATTGCATGGGACTCAAAACAATTAACAAATTCTCTGCAAAATTTTGTGGATCGAATGTCTATGATTGCTAAGACCAAAATTTCACATTTTCTGTGTATTTTTTTTTTTTTATTAAAATTGTATACTAGGAGAAATTTCTATTTGATGTTATGTATTAATTTATGTACTACTTATACTGTGTTCTAAATCCTCTTAATATACACGACTTTAAAATAAAGTAAGAAGTGATGCAAATTACCCCACTAGTGCTGAATCCAGGATCAGGTAACAGAGGCGCCTGTGGGAAGCCAATGAAGCCAGCTGGATGTGGCATTCCGCCTCCACTGGCCATATCCAGATTGTTCCTCGATTCTCCTCCATTGGCTCCTATGTCTATCAACATTGCATCCTGAGCTTCCGCCATCACCTGTGGATCTGGTTCATATTCGACGTTGTAATTCTTAGCGATCTCTATCAAATACTTCTCTACAAGCAGCTTTGATGGTGATTGCACACTCATCTTGTGCTTCAGCTTCTCGGATATGGTCTGTATTGCCTCTTCTCGGCATGCTTCTGTATATTGTCTGCCGTACTTCGATGTCAAGATGTCTGCTATTACCTTGACTTCTTGGACATCTGTCTGGATACGAGGTGCTACCCACAGAATGGTGGATATAGCTTCTGCTAGGCCTTCATCGAGGTTTCTGAAAGCAAGTAACATAGACTTAAGACAATTTGAAGACAAACTCTTTAACTATCAATTATACAAGGAGAATTCAATTTCATAGATACACAACTGGGATACAGACTTCATCTGTTGGATGAGGCCGAAGCGCGCCAGCAACAAGTCACAGTACATCTCCAGCAGCTCCATTGCTTCGACCATGTAGTCCTCGCGGATGATATGCTCAACTCGGATCTTAGCACGTTCTGATTTGCCAGCAGCAATGAAGTCTGCAATCTCACGTCGGGCTTTCTGCGCTAACTCCGTTTTCTTCTTTTCTAGCAGCTTCAACCGATTAATCGCCAGACGTAAGTGTGTCTTGAGTTTTGTATAATTTGGCCCACTGGCGAACATCTTTAGCGTAGATCTGGTTGCCTTTATTTACTAATCTTCTTCCCCTCGTTACGCGTTGTTTCTTTCTGTTAATAGGTTTTTTTTCTATCAGTATCAAATATTTTATATCATTTTTAATGTATCGAGACGGTGTAACTGAAATTGATTTATTGCATCTCATCACATACTGTAATTATATATATATACATTGTTTCGTTCGATATAACTTTTTTTTACAGTGACTAACCGGATCTTCTTTTGTTCCGGATGTCTTCTTTTTTGAAGATGTGGTAACAAGAACCCGGAATCAATTCGCTGTCCTTGATACTTTTTCCTTTCCCAAAAACCTTTTACAAAATAATTGACGATACTTTGTGTCGTCAAGTCTAAATTAAGATAACTTCCCTCGTGATCGCTAATGATCGCGAAAAATTCGCTAATCGTCGTCACGCCTCTTTCTTCTTTTTCTAAGAGCTCCCTATTCTTTGAGATGCAATATCTTAATTACACGAATGACAACTCGCTGATGACCTCACTCCACGCTTTGATATTCATTTCTGTGTGTGATGAGCCTTATCACTGGTCTGTTCTTTTTAGCTGAACTGGCTGCACCAATTCGAGAAATTTACGTACACTGAGAATGTTGTTCGTACGCTTCATACGTTTCTATGATATGTAAATTTCTTGAACTAGTGCAGCCAGTTCAGTTGAAAAGAACCGACCACTCGCACACAGGCACAGCCGCGGAGCAATTGAATGATGTCATCGTCCGGTCCGAATGATGAAAACAATGAAGAATTCGATCTAATCAGTATGATAATGAAAATTTAATCTTACACTTATCATAAGTCTAAAATGAAAAATTATTACACAATTATTATTATAGATCCAGTGAGGAGTAAAAAAGTTTTATTCGTCATCGAGTCAATTGCGAATAGACATTCTTCTGCCAGAGGAGAACATCCATGAACCTTTGAAGATTGATCATGAATCTTCTCTAATGAGAATTCGTGAAAAGAGTACATTTTCTTGTTTGAATACACATTTGGAATTTTCACTTTTCACATTTGCGCCTTGAGAAAAGTTACGTAATCGATGCCCTGAAAACTTACTAGAAAATCAAGTGCCGTCTGACCTCCCGTTGAGTCGTACTACGACTTTCACTTGTCAGTAGAAACGATCGTAGCAGAAAACTTTGTAACTAATAAAAAATGTATCGTGCTTGTGGACAGACCAGCTAATACATCAAAGTGAAAGTCTGAAATCTCCGCTACGAGTCGCTACCAACAAGTGTACACGTAAAACTCAAAAAAATTAATTTTTGAAATAGTAGGTTTATTTCAATTTGTAGAGTTGTACTACTTCATTAGTAAAACTTGTAAGTCATTGGATATCATCGATAACAGGTTAGTACATATTAGATTAGTTACGAACAAATTTATTAAATTAATTATTTCTGGTGCTTGTTACGATATAATTAATTATCAAAAATTGATATAATCTATAATCGATTATTAGACTTCGATCGTTTAGCTCTTTCAGTAGCATTTTAATTTTTAACTATACATTTTGCAGAATCAATGATTCCGACGATTTCTTTAAGTTGTCCTCTAAATTAATTATCGTGTATCATGAATATGCATTTTTTTTTTATTTGATTCTCGTGAAAATTATTTTAAATTCTATTCTGGGTGATTATTTAGTTTAGCTACATCAGCATAAATATCGATGAAATTACGTACCTTATTCTGCCTGCATCAACAGTATAATATTAAATTTTACTTTGTTAATTACTTTGTTAATTAGATTAGATTGATTATCAGGATATAACCAAGATTCTTCAGTTTTGGAAAATCATATTCATATCCATAAATTAAAGTAGAATATTAGAAAAAGGAGAGTATTAAAGAAGAAAACGGAAGTTGTAAATATATATTTATACAAAAAAAGAAGAAATTTTATATTATGATTGATAATGTGCATAAACATAGTCAATTCTATGTTTCTTTAGACTAACATCATTGATATTTTTTAAGAATTTTCGATTTAACCAGATTTCCAGTTCCTGACAATTATGTGCACTTCTTTAAAAAAACAGGTAAATGTTAAGTTTTTATGTCGTCACAATGACTCCAAAAATGTGATATGACTTTATTAACACTTTAATGGCCGCTCACACAACATGTGTGTGATAGCTGGAACAACTGTTATTGTCTGCTCACACAATATGTGTGTGATGCTACCGCTGAAGAAAATATTGCTGGCTCCTGGTGACGTTTGACTGCGTAGACATGCGGCTATTAAAGTGTTAATGATTCTTTTTAAGATTTATAATTGAATCACACAAGAAACATTGAAACCTATGAGAACCAAAATTTATATATTATAATTACTTAAAAAACATTACTGTAGATAGTTAAAGATTCTTTCATAATCAAATTAAGTAATTATAATATACAAATTTTGGTTCTCATAGGTTTCAATGTTATATATATATATGATAGATATTAATATACATGTTGAATAAAATTTTTATTTATGACAAAAATATTAGATATACCTATAATTCTAAGAAGTTTGTGATTATTCTTTTATTATTATTTCTCAAATTTAAAGTAAAGAATTATGACAAATGTTAACGTTTGAATATGATATATAGGATGCTTCACAATCTAAAAATATAGTGAAATATACCAAGAAGGTGTGCTTTAGTATCTTGAAATATTGGATTATACAATTGCACTACTTCTTGGATTACATCATAGACTTTGTCTTTGGCATCTATTATGATAAAAAAGCCAAGAAAGTGCCATCAGTGAAAGATCCTTTGTTGTTAGAAAGTGCAGTTTCCTTGGCAGAAAAAATTAGGTCAGTTTATTTTTACTAATTTCTTAATATAGACATATTTAGTCCCTAATATTTACTTATCTTATATCAGGACTAGGCAAATTACATCGGAATGTGTTGTGAAAGCTTACATCAAGAGATGCAAAGAAGTAAATGGTATGATCAATGCTGTTGTAGAAGAAAGATATTTAGATGCGATCGAAGAAGCCAAAGTAGTGGACGCTATGATAGAAAATGGTATAAATATAGAAATGATAAAGATAAAACAGCCATATCTGGGGGTTCCCTTTACCACCAAGGAGAGCAATGAGGCTAAAGGTAAGTGAAATGATAGACACAGTAGTATAATAAATTTTTCTCCTGTTTCAAAATTTTTAAGAATATTTTAAAAGATTAGGATTCTCTTGAATAGCTCGAATAGTATTGGTTTAATGTCATAGATGAGAAATATGTATGTAATAAGTAATATGCAAAAGTGTATGCAATATGTAATAAGTTTTTGCAACATGTAGCAATCTTATTTTTTAGTTTTCTCTGATACATAATAATTTCCTAACCATGAAACTTGTAATGTGTAGAAAACTGAGATATATAGCCGATACGTAAAATCGCAAAATAATTCTTGAAATAACAGATCATTTTTCAGCCATCTCAGCTGTCACGGCCGCCCGAGTAAGGCTGAAAAATGATCCGTTATTTCAAGAATTGTTTTATGATTCTACGTGACGTATCGGCTAGATATCTCAGATTTCTGCACATTTTACAAATTTCAAAATTATAAAACTTTTATGTCCTTCGAGAAAAACTAAAAACTGAAGTTGCTATATGTTGAAGAAGAAAAAACTTTTTACATGTCATTTCTCACATATGACGTCACAAAACTAATACGGCTACCCGAGAAAGCCAAGCCTTCAAGATTTATTTAAAAATTTACAGAAGGAAACACACACAGTAAAAAGTTATTTTATATAATTTTACTGAATCAATAATAGAATCAATTAATTAATGATCATTGATAATTGTTTCAATAGGAATGATCCACAGCATGGGTATAATCCGTCGCCGTAACATTCGTTCAGAAAAGGACGCCACAGTAGTAGGTTACTTAAAGGATGCCGGTGGGATTCTAATTGCGAAAACCAATGTCCCAGAGCTGAATTTGTGGGTCGAATCGAGAAATAAAGTATATGGACAAACAAATAATCCTTATAACACGACTAGGACTGTGGGAGGCAGCAGTGGGGGGGAAGGCGCCATAATTGCCGCGTGTGGTGCTGCAATCTCCATTGCCAGTGACATAGGAGGTTCCACTAGAATACCTGCATTCTATAATGGATTGTTTGGTCATAAACCCAGCGAAAGTTAGTATTATTAAAGACACTGTTTATAGATTTTGCTGTTCCGGCACAATGATATTTAATAGGACCCTGAAATTGATCATTAATAAGTATTTGACTGTCAATTTTAACAGGATTAACTCCAGTAGCTGGAATCGGATTGCGAAAGAAAGATTATCCAGACAGTATGGTGGTAGCTGGGCCACTCTGTAAAAAAGCTGAAGATCTGACGCCACTTTTAAAAGTGCTAATCGGTGCTAAAATATCTATGTTAAAACTAGACGATCCGGTAAATTTGAAGGACTTGAAGGTGTTTTATCAAGAAAACTCCGGCGACTTGAGGGCGAGCAAAGTAAACAAAGCGATGCGAGCGACGTTAAGGAAGGCGGTGGAACATTTCAAGGAACTTACAGGTTCTGCAACAATGGTAGTATTCTACGCTGTTACTTTTGTACATTTCTTAGATCGATAAAGTATGGGAGCGACTCACTTTTCTCACTATTTTTGATAGCTAAACTGCTTTCATGTCTGATTGATAAAAAAAGTAATCTTCCTACAAAATTTACACATGTAAGAAAACATAGATTGTATATTACAGATCGAAATACCAGGCTCTGAGTACAGCATCTTACTGTGGAAGCACTGGATGAACCGTGAAGGCTTCAACTTCAAGCTGGAAATAACAGGCCGAGAGGTAAGGATTAAACTTGAACGACACATTTTACATTTTGTATGTATCTTAGGACAACATATTCTTAATATTAATTAGTAGTATTCACACTTTATACCTTGATACAAAACTAGTGCCCTTTTTTTAACTCACATATTTTATTTCTACATTCATAAAAATTCACTTTGTAGTACGTCACCAGCGCGAAAAGAGAGCTTTACAACTACATCACTGGATCTTCAGAAATAACATTTGCCGCCATTGTTAAGATGATGGATGAGGACTTTCTACCGAAGCCCAACGCAAAATGGGCGGAAGATGTCACTAAGAAGACGAAGGAATTCCTAGCGGTAATTATAGTAGAAAATGAAAAAAAGATCAAATATATAATAAATAAAAGTATATAATATCGGTTATACAGATTTTTCACCTAGCAATTTATCCGCAGGACAAACTCGGTGACGATGGCGTGCTGTTTTATCCTTCGGGCCCTTTCCCAGCTGTTTATCATTATTCCAGTTTTTTACGTCCCTTTAACTTCGGTTACTTCTGTCTGTTCAATGCCCTGCGATTCCCAGTTTGTCAAGTACCAATGGGCTTGGACGAACACGGCTTACCGGTTGGTATTCAGGTAAGATATCAGAGCTTGCATATCGCCGTTGGAAAATGATTTTAGTTGATATCTTTGAAATATTTATACGATTTATATTTCTCCCTGATTCAAGGTGATAGCTGCTCCCTACAACGATCACCTATGCATCGCAGTGGCTAAAGAACTTGAGAGGGCGTTCGGAGGTTGGGTTCCTCCATCGTAAATTGTATGCAAGGTAGCCACTTTCTTCTTAAAGAGATTTAAGTTGTTCGGCATTTTTCTATTTCTAACTACTCTTAAACGACATATATAAATAAGACTACGGGAAAAGAGTGCACTAAGCGTTTTTGCTTGCATTATTTGTCAGTAATCCACGGTGATAGTAGGTTAAGTAATTTTTTTGTATCGCATATTTTTTACTTCCTATTGTCATTGCTAGTATATTCGATTCTTTATGGGACATTGGTGTATTGTTTTGTTGTTGAATAGTTTGTAAGATGGTGGTTGTTTAATTGAATATATTCCCAATTCCAAGAGATACGGGAAAAACGAGAAAATGATTTTTAAGACAGCTACAACAATTTGTGTAAACCTTTCTCTTCAAACTACTCTCAATTCCATGGCCTTGTAAAGGATTAAGTATAAAAACCAATAAGAATTGAAAAGTAGATGGAAAAAATAATCGATGAGAGATCAAAAGAATCTTCCCCGCGCCGATAAGTTACCTTTCGACCAGTTATCAACTGCTACGTCGATACACACGAACAGTATTACTCCAACTCATTCACTCGGCTCTTATCCGCTAGATGTCTCTACAAGCCGTGTGTTCGCAGCGCACGCTCCATTTTCGGAAGGAAAAAATCTTCGAACATTGTGTACATTCGCTACGGTTGCGCACGCCCTGTTATTACCGGATAACGCGTGACAAACAATCAGTTTGATGTTGTCGTTACAAGAGTTGATTGACTCGCGATAAGAGCCGAGAGCGTCAGCGTGGTGAAACAACAAAGGTAATTTTTCGGAAAGTAAGGAAAAATCAGAGAAGAACCACACCCTCTCACGCGCCAGCCTGTAGTTAACGGCCGGATTCAACGGGCACGTTAACAACGGCCGGCGGGATCTGCCGTGGGCCGCTGTATAATTAATCGATAACAAGAAGCGGAGCGAAGCGTCACTGACGTTTCTCTCCTTCGCACCAAGTGCTTCTCCCGCGATAGGAGGGGAAAGGCGCCGCCACAGCTCGGGCGATCCATCTCATCGCTCGATCACGCAGTGCCGCACCCGCGGCTCATGCGCGTGTCGCGAGGGGATCGTACGTCTCCCCCGCGTGCGATGTCGCGACGATGGACGACGACGACGACGCTCTGCCGTCCGCTGCCACGTGCCACATTCGCGTCGCGCACCGGCACGTCGAGCCGCTTCGCGGCCGCGCCGCCGAGCGGATCGGTCAGCTTTTCGGCGTGAAGTTGCTGCTGCCGTCGTCGAACCGGCCCGGTGAGGTGCGCGCTTCGACCGAGGCTTCGCCGCTGCTTCGGTGCTATTCGCCGCGCGGCTCGAATGCGAGTGAGCCGTTGCTTGTGCCGTTGCGGATCCTTTCCGCCGACGGGGGAAGAGGGGGCAGCCAGCCAGCAGATACGATGTGCGAGATCGCTGTCAGAGTCCAGGTGAGCCGAGTTCGCGATGATGTTACCTGTGCTCCCTTTTTCCTCCTCGTTTGCCGCGCCGCTCGACCGCGAGCGATCTTTCTTCTCTCCTTCTTCTCTTCCGCCTGGCGACAAGCACGGCCGTCCGTAGTAGATGCGGCTGACGTTTTCTGTTTCGTTTGCTTTCGCGTTTTTTGCTTCTAGATTTTTGGAGTTAGAAGAAGAATCGCCTCGGGTGTCCGGGTAGCTCTCGAGATTTTGTCGAATCTACTCCCGTATTCGCGATGACACGCGAGAGAGACAGGTTGTTTACAGATTGGAACGTAATCTAAAACACGGATCATTGCTTGTCTGAAATTTCCACGCATGTTGCGTGATTCGACGGGCTGAAGTTGCAAAAGTTTCGATAGGAAATGGTAGTAAGGTCGGCGCACGACGATAGATCAATGGCGGTCACGTGGGCTTGTCGTTTGAACGCGCGTTCGATTGAAGTAAATAGCCGAGGAATTCCACGCTCCATGTGGCATTAGGCCGGTTCTCCGTCGTGCCTGCTGCCGTCCCCTACCTCCCTTTTAATTAAAAATATTCACGCGGCAACCTGTTTCTCGCATTCTGAAAATCCGGCGAATTCCGGGAACTTTGCGTAGCGAGATACGTCGCAGGGACCCAACGGTCCGAAACTGCAAATCTGCAAACGATTAGATCGCAGAAAATTCGTAAGGATTCGGGGTTTTGAGTGCACCTTCAGAGATGTTTCAAGGATGTTTGAAATCTCGAGCTAGTTGACGGTTACGTAGTTTCAAAGATCGAAACGTATGAAGCGTACGTATAAGATTTTCACGCGAGTGTTACTTGAGCTCAATTCAAGACTAAAAATCTAAAGTTGTAACATCCTCGCTTGTATTCAAAAATATCTATTCTTAATTTAAGACTATTTTTTTTCTCGTGCAAAATTATATGTAGAATTGGAATTTTTTTCTCGCGAGAGAGAAAGAGAGATCGAACCGAAACGAAGAATACCGCAGCGTGGAGGTGCAATTGAATGCACCTGGCGTCCGCGCGACGAAGAAAAAGAAGGAGGAAGAGAAACATAAGAAGTCGATCGTAAGTCATCGACTTGGCGATTATTTTGACGGCTCTCGTGAGCGGCGCTCGTTTATAATGCGTCTCGTAGCGAGCCGATGGGTCCGGTAATTACTGCGGCGATCAATTATGGCCTCTCGCGGCCGAGAGCCGGGACGCGATTCGATGCACTCGATGCGCCCAGATGCTCGCGCGCAGGGCTGTATCGTTTCGCTCGTACCGTTTGTCAGTGAATTATAGGATTAATGCATACATTTTCGTACGCACGCACATACATACACACGCGACACGCTGTCTCGTCGGCGATCCTGTCGCACAGAAAACGCGGGATTAACTTTCGTTCGTTACATCTCTGCTCGGGGAGAGAAAGAGAAGATTCTGTTCGTATTTTCACGTCAAGGATACGACACGCGTGAAAATTAATAGTTTACACGGCACAACATTAATCCGGTTTATAGTAACAACCGTAGTTTGCGTCCGATTGGTATATATTCCTTTAGATCAACAAATATATTGCAATATTAAATGTAAGAGCTCGCTAAGATTGTTACTACCACGGATTAACATTGTCGTGTAAACGAAGTCAATGCGAGCCTCAACGATTAGCGGGTCTACGAATGTCCTACGTGTGGAAAAGCGTCTTTCTCGCGTGGTGGAAAGCCGAGAAACGCGTCGTACCTTCGACTGGCCGTATCCTGGTCGCGACGAGCCGGCGCTGATTATCGCCTGTCCCTAAATGTGCGTCAGCGATAACGCGTATCGCGAGCGTTATTTATAGATCGACCTGCTAGCTCCCCGATAACTCCCGTCCTCCACACCCGCACCTTTCCGCGTCGCTAATCGGGGACTTTCGAATTTCTCAATGGGCACGGGTGTGCACGCACTCTCGCGAGCTTTGTCGCGCGTGGCCGCATCGAGTGATTCGTGCCGACTTTCTACGAATTGCATAAATTCCGTCGGGATCTCGCGATTAGCGACGTTACTCAGCGAGTGTCTGAAACGCCGGTCGAGCGGGCTGTACGTTCCGCACGATCAGAGAAATTCGCAGATATCGCGTAAAGAATCAACGTTTTTATCACACGTTGTCTCGCGTTTAGAAGAACTTTGAGAAAAATGAGTCCCGCCGGCGAGTTGATCGCGCTCCTTCCTTTCCCCATCATTCGTCATCTTGTTCCTGGCATTTCGTCATCGTTTCTCATTTCCGGCCGTGGCGTCATCGAGAATGCACACACGTAAGGGCAACCACTCCTCGCGGAGAAATTACATCGTCGATCGAGCGTGTAAGATCGACCGATCGGTCCGATTGATCTCAGCGCGACCTCGAACTAGATAGAATAGCGTGCATGGAGCCGTCTTGATGAGCCCTTTGACACGTGACGTCATCGTTCTCGCGGGTGGGAAGGGATGAAAGGAATGTCGTGAGGAAACGTATGATCCGCGGATACTACTTGGATTTCCTCGAAACGCGCCGACGGTGGTAACGACATCGAGCGTTGTTAAATGTTGACGACGACGAAGCAGTCGTTTTCGCATACTTGTTGGACTCAGAGAGGTTCAATAAGGCAAGCTTGTATCCTTTTCGCATCCCGTCTCTCTTATCTCGCGCACGCTCGATCATCAATCAACAGAAACGTGAAAGTTTCGGCGTTTCGTCGTTGTCCCGACGTATATTCTCGTCGGATGTCGCGAGGTGAAACTCGACGCGCGTCGATTTCCCTCGCGGGAAAGTTCGAAGTTCGTCTGCTCAATAATTTATCGTGTCCGTGCCAACTCGCGCATTCTCTCTCTCTCTTTCTTTCTCTCGGTCTCGCGTTGCTATTTTTGATTGGACGGTGATTACGAGAAAAGGGCTCGTCTTGTTCGCACTCACGCCCGTTACCGAGATAACGGGTTGAGTCGGCCGAAAATGCGTGTCTCGTGCCGCGTTATCACGCCTTATCTGCGAACGTTAACGCCTCATCGAGAGATTTTTCCCAGCTTCGGAACTGGTTCAAGCTCGGTGTTCACGCTCTCATTGCCCTCCTCGCCTCGAGTCGCGCGCGAACGCGAGCGTCGCGACGATAATTGGGTCGCGAACGACAAGAATGTAGCCGCGCTGCACTCGTTGCATTCGTGTCAAACGCCGCACACATCCGTGTCAAACTTTCCTGAATCGTATATTACGCGGTAGTAAGGAACGCGTTTCTTAACCTCTCGGTGCACATGCGGAACTTGCGATATTACCGATCGCATATTTATTGTTATATAAATTCGAACAATACTGACGACGGTTATATAATAATAAACTAAATTCATGCGGGTCCACGACGCGATAAATTACATTTACCGACTACGATTGTTCGCCGATGCTGGGAAATCTTTCTTTCCCTTTTAAAAATGCGTATACATTGTTCGAAAAGAGAGTAGCTCATTAATACAAGTTCCCGCAAATTCAAGATGTCCAAAATATTCCAAAATAATAAGCGCGAAGAAGGAGAGAAGATTAACGATTTTATCAGTCGACGCTAACGACAGGTCATTAACGAATACAAATATTCTCAGCGTGGGTTCTTCTTTTTATAGAAAGAAATCAACGAAACGAGAGGCGCGGTCATTACGACGTCAGTCGGTCGGTGTTTCGGTTCTCGTTCGCGTAGATGCGGTTTAGCGGCCGCGCTCTCCCGGCTCTACCTGTTCCCCGGCTCGCGGAGCCGCTACTCAAGTAGCCGGATCGCCGGACACCGCGTTAACTTCGCGGATACGCCCACGGTAATCGCGCCCTCGCGCGCTCCTCTCGTTGCACCAGCACGATGCACCGCACAGCTCGAGATTAAACCAGTTCAGGAGAACGGAAACACGGCGCGCTCGCGGACGAAATAAAAAGTGTCGGGCGAACGCGCCCGAAATGGAAGGTGCGAGAGACGTGCCGGTGTTATTAATTTCGAGGAAATTATCGTTGTTCACGGATGTGTATCTGGAGGGGGAGAGAGAGAGAGAGAGGGAGGAAAAAGGAACAGCGTCGAATCGTATTATAAGGTCGATCCGCCAAGTTCGAGCGAGGAGAACAGACGACGGATCCGCGCGATCCGTGAGATATCCGAGATCCGGAATCGCGTGATTATCTCGCCGGGATCTGCCGGTGCAGCAAAGTCTCGAAGGACGAGACACAGGGGAGACAGGGGCTGGAGGGAGGACTCGGTCACGAATCACGGTTTTCGGGCCTCTCACGAGAGATCGGGCGGACCCTCCGCCGTCACGTTTTTTCGTGGCCGAGCGGCCAGCACGCGTGCTTTAACCCCGTGACCTCCTCCGGGGAATTCCCGCGAGTCGATCGGATCCGTGAGGTTCCGCCGGTGACACAACGTAAATTGCACACGAGCTCGCAATTAATTACCGTCGGCCACTCGAGCGCTCGGTTCGCGGTGTATCATTTCGATCAATTTGTACGGTGCTTGTTAATTCGCGTAATATCTAATCGGGAGGGGATCGGTCAATTAATTTTCGAAGAGGTCAGCCCGGCGTCGATACGACGTCTCTCTCTCTTTATTTCCCCCACGTGTCCGATTAATCGAGACGCTACCTCTTTCTCGCGTCTCAATTGCCCGACATTAACTACGGCAACGATCACGCGGATCGGATACAGATTTGAGCGATCGCGCGAATGAATCGGTTGACATTTAGATGGTTTTATTCGACGACGCGTGCGTCTGTCCCCGGCGCCGTTTACCGATCTTCCCTCGGCGATTACTTTCATTATCGTGCGGACGGTCACGCGTGGGCCAAACCGATACTTCATGCCGCCCCGGCAACACGTGTGAATACACGTACACGCGCGTAACGTGAGTCGAACGAGTCTCCTCCTCCCCCTCCTCCCTCTCCTGCTCCCACCTCCCCCTCGTATCCGGGATCACGCGTACCTCGCGAGCGCGTGCGTGTGGCTACGCGTGCAATTAGATCCGTTCGTTTCAGTCTCTCTCTCTCTCTAAAGCGTTTGTCTTGTCGCGAGCGTGATAAAAGTGCAGTTGAAGCGTAACAGTGCTGTCGAGTATACGCAAACGTATCCAGATACTGTATTTTACGCTTGATGAAGGCACAGTAGGATAAAATGTGCGTCGACAAAGCGTCGACTTACCGATGTCACGGCGGTGGGATCTCGCAGGATCCGGTGATTCGTGCCTCGAGTCCTTTTTCAAGAGCCGCCGGTTCCGGCAAGAGTCGATCGGCCGAGTGCCGCGAGGGCCCTAATAAGGCTCTCCCCCGCGCCACTCCCATGTCCTTTTCGGGACACCCGGTATATAAGTCACGGATCTCAAGTCGCAGCTGCGCCGGCACGTCCGCGGAACGAACGAGGAAGCGGGAGATCGGCGGCGAGGCCTCAAGGCGGGCGAAATGGGCCGGTGGAACAAAAGAGCAAGGCCCTTCTTCGGGAACACGGCGCGCGCGACTCGAGGAATGCAACGGGCTCCGCTGCGACCACCCGGTAGATAATAGGCCTCCCTGCCTTCCCTCCTCCGAGGGGTCCTAAAGCCCTCCCGGCTTATCTTCGCGCTGTTGAAAGCAACCTCGTGCTACCACGCCATCTCCGCATTGTTTTATTGCGCCAATTCATAAGTAACTCGCGATTTGATCCGCGAGTGCATCCGGTTGTGCAGCGGGTACCGCGCGGGCGCCCCCCTTTCAGCTCGCCCCGTGACTCTCGCAAAGGTCAATGGGCGATCGACGTCCGTATAATAGGTTATCAATTAACGGGATGTTATCTCCGCGATGGATTCCACCGTGGAGGAGTGCACTCCGCTTTTCTTTTTCCGCTTCTGCACGTTGTTGTGCGCTGAAGATGCGCAAAAAAAAGAGTCCACTTCGACGGCGCACAATTAAAGGAGTAACGGGAAAACGCTATTTCTCCCCGCTGCTCCGGAATCTCGGGGTTGAGAGAGCCCGGGTTCTCCCGTCGATTTGACACGACAGCTCGGACGGACGGACAATAGCCATTGTGGACGATGGCCGGTGCACGGTGCGGAAACGCGAAAGAAAGAATGTCATTCATGAAACTTCGCAGCAAATACCCACCGTCCGGCTGCGTTTCATTGTACGTGCGCACATGCGAAACAGAGATAAAGAGAGAGAGAGAGAGAGGGGGGGGGGGGAAGGAGGAATGGAGAAGAACGTTACANAGTGCATAAAACGAGTTCACCAGGAAGAACGAGCGATCGCGTCGCCGGCGAGCGAGACTGGTCGATGTGGGCCATCGATTATCGCTTATCGCGAAGGAAGAATCCGGGTGAAAGAAAAGCGGATCCGTTTGATCGGCCACGACGCCGCTTGACCCAATTATCGGTCCTCGATTAAACACACTTTTTTCCCTTTTCTTTCCTTCATTCCTCTCTTCTTTGTTTACCGAGTGTTTTCGAGACTGACCCCTCGCGTATCACTTCGCATCCGTTTATACGCGGATGTTCAATGTCCAAACTCTTTGCTTCACGATACACCCATTCATCGCTTCGCGCTCGCAAACTGCGAGGATCCGGAGACTTGCGTGAATACGCGCACACACCCGAGCCGATACATTTTATTTTATTGCGCGAGAAGCTGATGTCTCGTTCCGAAGTTCGAAGAAGATCCGGACTCGATTGCGCACACTCCCGTATGCAAATTTCCCGTAGCCTCAATGACTACACTGGAATTATTCGCGAGATTGTTAAAAGATTTGACGAAGGATCAAGATACATTTACGTTCCTTTCTGCAGGTCGGACACAACGCCGAATATCGATATCGGCACCATTAAAATTCGTGACGCTACGGCACTGGTGCTTGTCGCCTTGCGGCCAATCCCGAGGCGATACACCTCGGATCCGGGTGTGTATCCACGGTACGTCATGCATCTTACCTACCTCCATGTTGGACATCGTCGTCGCGTCGTCGTCCGAAGAAGAGAGGGAGGGAGAGAGGGAGAGAGAGAGAGAGAGAGAAAGAAAGAGGAAAAAAAGAGAAGGAGAAGATCTATGTGTAATGATGTGCATCAATTATGCCGATATCCTTACATTCACGAAATTTCCTAAGCAACGATTGATCGATTTTCTCGTTTCTTCGCGAAATCAAACTCGTTATTATTAACAGCTTGAGTGAGAAGAAAAATTCATCTGCCCGTTCAAAAACGCACCGTGCCCATTAATGCGCGGCATCGTAAGTGTCGACTGATGGACTACGCGCGCCGCGGCGGAGCGAGCAACGCGCGTGCCTGCGTGCGTGCGTGCGTGCAGGCGCGCGTACGCGTGTATGTGATCCGACCTGCCACCTGCCCGATGCTTCACGACAAACGGTCAAAGACCCCGCGAGCCGTCTGTTTCCCTCCTGAGCGGCCGTGCCGAGCGCGCAGCCGATTGGCAGTGGGCGCGCGCGCGTACATTCGACATCGCGCGAGCGTCTCATCGCGCCTTCCTACTGGATAGAGAAATATTGGAAACGACGCGTTCGTATCTGTGCGTGTGCGGTTTGTAAATTGAAAGAAGAAAGATGGCGAATGGAAATAGTGCACAACTGTTGCATGCAATAATTGTATAATTAAATTAATTATAATTATATTTGAATTACTGCAAATGTATTATAGTTAGAGAAATTGGGGTTTTTCAAACTTTTCGCGCAAAAAAATCGAAAAAATCTGCAGGAATTTGAAAAAAAACCAAGTTCCTCCCGAGCCTTGAGAATTATAGAATGTGTATCATTTTGTTTTGATTTTTGAAACAATGCATATACCAGGCGTTGATATTCTTCCCATGCTGCGTGTTCGTGTTCGGAAAATGCCTCCGCAGAGAAAACGAAGGTATTCATGATGCCGTGTGTACCTGGAAAGTTTGCGACCGTTGTCTGTCGGCAGACATCGGCTCGTTTCGTCGTGCGCCATGATCGACGAGAGATAGCTACCGTTCGTTGCAGTGTTACGTACGAGGCACGGTTGCTGAACGATCGAATCTTGGGAAAGTCGGATGCACTTTGGCTGCTGGAGGTCCGCGATACAGGCCACCGCTCATAATTCAAACCTCCTATAATTTTCGATTTTCTTTGGAATTAACGTTAGCTTTTTCCTCCTAAACTCAAAGTTTTCTCACTTCCTTCTGTCATCCCGTCAATTTGAAATCCATACGAGAGAGCGGGGATCTTTCGGGCCCCACTGACGGGCGAAATTTCGAATAACCGCGCCACCTTTTGATCTCTCGATCTTCAGGTCGTGCGAGGATCGCGATCGCTCGGAATTTGAAAATTTTTACGCGCCGCCACGTTGCGCGCGCGTCCCTCGTTCGCGCACGCTCCTGGCGCTAGCGGAGTCACGTGGCCTCTGCGACAATCACGAGAGCAACCGAGCGAAGTCTATCACAGGTCACGCGCAGGGAGGAGAGCAGGCGGCGGCACTGCGCGCGGCGTTGAAGGGCCGTGTTGTCGGCGGGGGGCTAGCGCGGCAGGGAGGGAGGGCACGACATCGCGCGCGCGGTGGAGTCGCGCGACCACTCCATTCACCCGTCGGCCGTTGCCGAGATTAGTCGCCCGCGCCTGCGTCGACAAGTCCCACCGAGTGCGCGACATCGGTGATACACGGTGCGCGGTCGTCGGATCATCAGTGCGTGCGTCGTCCTTCGTTCGTGCTTCGCGTATGGTGATACACGGGGGATGTGTTGTCGTCGTCGTTGTTGCCCGACCGGCTGTTGAAAAGTGAAGCCGCGCCACTGCCGCTCCCGTTCGACGAGAGAGAGAGAGAGAGAGAGGGATCCTTGTACGTGGGAAGGATCTACACTCCGAGTGATCCACGAGCGAGATGACGGTCACTGGAAAGGTGAGCCGGATCTATCCGTCGATCGATTCTCGCGCTCTTTTTTTTTTTTTTTCGGCGACGTCTCGGATTCGCCCTGACACGCAGGTCGACGGGATTGCTGTCGGAGAAGAAACGCGTCTCGTTGGAGAGCTCCTCTTCGTGAGGAAAGCGTGCACCTCGTAGGAAAGTCGTAATTCGTCGGTACTGTTCGGCGAGCTCCGCTTTCTCGAGACTTTCGGATGCCCCGCATTGCTCCGGGTTTTCGACACTTGCCGTGACCCGTTCTCGCTCGGCGCTTTATTTACCAACAATGTCGACCGTGCGCGCGATAGACGAATCCGAAGTCGCTTCGCGATTTTCCAGGCGATAGCAGATGCAGGGAAACGTAAGAAAGAAGAGAACATTGTACGTCTCGATCTCGAAACTTTCTTCCGAAAATTACAATCGCCTAGTTGTGCTCCACTGACTTAGTCGCACGCGAGAAAGGCTGTCATCATCGTACGTACCCCGGATACGATGTGCCGAATTTCGACACGCGCGCGCGTGTTATCTCGTGGCGTGATGTTACTTGCTGTAATCGGACTGACGTTAAACGCGACTATAATTATCCGCCCGATTAGCTGTCATCCGGTTTACATCGAATCGTCACTTGGCTGCTAATTGGCCGTCCGATATCGCCGATAAACGACGGCCGTCATTAGGGGAGAATGGGCGAACGACGGTAGGGAGGGGGGGAGACTGTTAATTTTCCTCGTGAGCCCGCGTCATCTCGCCCGCCGATGTAAACAATCGGCGCGCGCGAATTTCGCTAAAACGACGAAATAGAGTGAGAAAACGGGACGGCGAAACGAATGGATCTTATTGCGAGCCGTGAATCGTAACGACGCGTACGGTCGGCACGATTAAAATTGCAGCACTTTTTTCCGACGAGTTTCGCAACGCACTTCGTATCGAGTAGGAAAATCTTTTTCTTCCTTGAAAATTGAAACTAAAAACTAATTTTCTTATTGGATACCGAAGGCGTTACGAAACCCGTCGAAAAAAAGAGTGTTGCAACTTTTATTATGCCGGCTGGACGACGAGGCGTCCAAGATGTCGAGATTATGGTTTTAAAAGCGGAGAAGGCTCGGAGAAAACCGATTTTTTTTTTCACTTTTCCGCGGCTTTTTCGGCTTCTTTTCGCGAAAAACGCGAAACGTTTCTTTCCCATTCTTTTCGCGGGAAAATTGGAAAAAGCGGTTTCTTCGTAAAACAACACTCGAGATCACCGGATGTTTTTCCAATCCGTGTTGTCCTCTGCGACGCGAATGCGAAATGAATTTTTTTCTCGATAAAAATGTCAAGGCACCGGCAAAAAATGAACGATCTGTCGCGAACTACATTTCGACGGGACGGACTGGATCGCGAGATCTCGAAACAGTCGATTGATTTTACGCGTCATCATCTCGATCGTCGCGACACGCGGTGCCTCTCAATCGGACAAGCGAAGTTTAGACGTTAGAAATCAGCGGTGAGAAATTGGCGTCTCTCGAAATTTTCGGACAAAACTTTCGACAAAAATTCTCGGTCTTCGGCGATCCCCGCAGCATCCCGGCTTCGTTTGTCCGGAACGAAGACGGAGGAACGGCCGCAAACGGCTGAACGGAATATGATCGTGTTCGGCGAAGGCGGGGCGCGCGCGCGCCTTCTCGAAGGCTCGCTTCCGGGTTGGGATACTTGACGTTCTGGCCTTTCACGCAATCGCGAGAGAGCACAGCAAAGTGGACAGCCGCCGATCGGGTCGCATTAATCACTCGAAACTCGGCCCGCCGCCGAGCCTGCTCGCTTGGAAGTGTGTCGAATCCGGTTGAATCTCGTACCACGCCTTCGCGAGGATGAGCGCGCGCTGGAAAACGCTAGCCAATCGTGCGGCCACGGACACGCTGTGTTACGTCCATGTAGACAGCTTTTTCCACAGCAGTCGCGTCTCTCATGACCTGAGAGAAGTAATCGATAATTATGGCCCGGAATCCTATATATATTAATCGTATTGTTTGTCGCGCGCGTGCGACCAATTGCGTGTTTCTTCTCGTTCTGATGCGTGACGCATTATCGTTTGGGAAATTGCATTGACCGTTTTGGAAAAGTTATGTAGACGTAACAACGCTCTTATCGAGGAACATCTTCCAACGTCAATTGAGAATAACATTACGCGAGTCTTCATAATATTGATGAGAAGTTTCCCGTCACGCATTTTGCTCCGTAACGCGACGCGCGCGGGAAATAGGAACGTCCAAGTATGTCAGAGACGTCATACATGCGTCGAAATGCGATATTTTTGTAAGGATCGTTCGGCACACGGTGTAGAAATAATTCATGCAACGTCGTTGGGAGCACGTCGAATGTGATTGTTACGATTGTTTGTTGATGTTATAATAATTCCACTCGACGGATTGTTAATCTGTCTGAATTAACACGCGTAAACTTCCACGAGGTTACAGCGAACTTCCCGAGGAAGCAAATTAAACGCTTCGCCATCAAAGGGACGATCCCTGGGAATTCCTCCCCTTTCGTTGCGGTCAGACCGCAGAGGAAACAAGTCGACAATAACGATGATTGTTTCTGACATTTTGTCTGACATTTTGTTGGTTGAGCTGCAACCGGTTGAGACGTCGCACTGATGTTAAAACCCCTGCGATACCCTTTTCTTGCTTCGCGTCGACCAGAAATAATAACTGTAAAACCGAGGAATTTGAGAAAGCACGGAAAGAAAGGGCGGATTAATTTATTTTATTTTATTTATTTTGAACAGCTGTTGAATTACTCGAGATATTATCTCGTTCGAAGTAAGCGGGGAAAACGTTTGTTTCCACGTCTGGTGGATCCAAAAATGATCAGACCTCAGGCTCTGAGGAGCCACCATCCGTCCCTGTGGTAAAAGACGCTACTTCGAGGTCAGAGTCGTGCGGGATCGATTCCGGTAACGAGATGCCGATATCCGGGATTCTTCACGATGTCGTGTCGTCGAACCGAAATTTACATCTCTCCGAACGGCCGCTTAACGAATCCCGGGTCTCCTCCATAGGTCTCGATCATTCGACGGCTATTCGAAGGAAGACTAACGCTTAATTATACGAATAGAGTCGCCGAGCCTGTGCTTCTTCATGTCGACTTAATTAGCAGATGACATACACCGATACGCACAATTAATGAGCGACATTAATCGACAAACGTTAGCACGCCACTGGCCGAATTTAATTTAATTTTTCCACGCGAGAGAGGAGAGAATGTCGCTGAAAGGTGAGCGAAGGTATAATTATCGAGAGGGAAAATAAAAAAAAAACAGTGATCGAAAGATTTCGAGGGGCCGAAAATAAATTTACAAGAGCGATGATACATGCGTGTGCGTGCGAAGTTGTGCGAGATATATATATATATATCTCTCTCTCTCTCTCTCTCTCTCTTCCTTCGCGTACATCCTGTAGTTGGCGTCACAGCGACTCACGCGCGAGCCGAGATCGGAATAAATTAGGTGGTCCCCGATACCGGTATCACCGGACCGTCGCGTCCTCCTTCCGTCCTTTACCGTCCTTTTCCGTAACGCGTCTCCCACACGCAAAGAGCGCGGAACCAGTTTCGGTGAATATTCGAAGATAAGACGCGAACGAATTCTCCGAGAAAGAGAGACACGTGGGCTCTTTGCCTTGAACAATGAGACGAAAATCGTCATTGGATCGTGGTATACGACGCGTTCACAGCTGACGGGGAACACTCGCGGAACGGGCTATAAAACGACGTTGCAAAACGCACCTCGAATATTGAACGGTTATTCCATACACAAAGTGAATGATAACGTTGCATCGAGAGAACCTGTGAACGCGCGGGAGAGAGAAAGTGCGCGGCAACGGAACTTTCTTTGGAAAATCGGCGTCTTCCGGCTGATCTATCTTCTCGCGGACTTTCTAGCGTCGGGAGATCCCGACGTTCCTATTATTTACCGCCGGTGGTGCGTGGGTAAACGTAAACGATTAATCGTGAATGAAAGACCTTCCCGATCCTCTTCTTCTATCTCTGTCTCACGAATTTCAACATCGACGACTACACAGGAAACAGCGAAGAAGGCCAAAGAGGAGTCTCTCCGGCAAATCCCATGACGCAATTCCACGACCACAAAAACGTAAATTGAAATGGCGCGCTTCATTAATATTTTAATAACACGCGCGCAAATGCTGAAGAGCGACGACGCGAGCGTATTCGCGCGAATAAATTCACCGCGATCAAATTTTACGAGAAACGTCGGTATACCGGATTTATCTTTAGAGATAACGATCTTTCTGTCGAATGTTACGGGCACGTAACAAATGAAAGAACCGAAAGGACTCGTTTTCTCGACAGAAACGCCGAGACGCGCGTGTGTTTTTCGGCCGTGACCGATTGAAGAAGAGAGACCCCTCGGTAAGCACGCTCTGAGAATGCCGATAGATATCGCGTAATCTTATTCCTCGACCGCCTATCAATGGATTTCACCTCGTCGGAATTTTGCGCGACGCAAAACTTTTATCGCGCAGCTTGAAAGATTTGCGCGCGAGGAGAAATATGTGTAATTAAATTTTGATAGAAACGAATTGCATCGGGTTTGCCCGAGACGTCGATTTCACCGGATGTTTCGCGTGAAAAGGATGTCCGGTAGAATCGAATCGAGGAACGGAGCTCCCGATTTCCACCGCTCGACACCACCGGGACACTCACGTGTCCCGCTCGCGTACTCCGCGTACACGGCGATGTCGTCGTAGTCGTCGTCAATTCTTGGCGTGTACCCGATACGTTACGTTAGATCCGGGAGTGGTGGGCGACGATGCAAGGTTGTCGAGAAATTCATCGCGGCACGCATGCACCGTCGCCGCGCTGGCTCGCTTTTGGTTTCGAAATCCGACAGCCGATACCCAATTTTCGAGCGGCTCCCGGATCTCCGAACTTTCGGACAGAAGAACGCGCGCGTTCTGTCTTGGTTTTTTATTCGCGAAAGAAATCTCGCCAATCTCGTGCAATCTAATTATACAAAGAGAAGAAGGCTTCTTTGAATTTAGTTTACGTGCTTGTTTCACTTAAGTGTGTTTAATATAAACAACATAATTCAACATCATATATCATTTTGTTTGAATGAAAATGTCATCGTTGCACTGGAATAAACTATGTTGTTTGTTAGAAAAAAAAGAAACAATATTATTTAGAGGAAATAATATCTCATTTTCATTAAAAAATTTGCCTTATCATATATTAAATATTTTCCAACTGAAACAAAACAAAGTTCTTTAATATTTTCCTAACATAGTGTTGCGTCTTTCAAATAGTGTATTTCCCAGCTAAGAACAGCAGGTACTTTTCACTTAAAGGCTGTGGGCACTCGTCTCTGAATTTTCAAGATCCGTTCGCGTTACGTAATTTCTCGGCCGCATCCTGAGAAGGCACGGGTGATGCAAAAATCCTTGTTGTCACTTTGCACCTGTAACGTTACGTCGTTGTGCTGGTGGAACAGGCGACCCTGATGACCGCTGTGTGATGTCTGTCTCTCTCTCTCTCTCCTCTCTCTCCCTCTCTGTCTCGCGTCTTTCTACTTTCACCTGGATCTCCGCTAATGGTTACATCCGCCAACCTGGGAGAGCTATGCCCCATTTACGATAATTTCTCGAGCCGGAGACGAGTCGCGGCGCGCGAATTTTCTTACGCGGCTCTCTCGCCGAGTATTTTTTAACAGCGATGTGTGTTATACCGTGTGTTCAGGAAAAGGCGGTAATAATCGGTTAAAAAGAGAAATATTCTCGGATAGGTTTGACGTCGGGGGAATTTCACAGGATATCTCGAAGAAGACAGTGGTCGCTGAGCTGTCTCTTTGGATGGGATCGAAGTTGGCTTTTCCACGCGATAAATGCCAACTCTGTTATCCTGTTATTGCGCAATGTTTTCATTCTTAATACATTTTTATGTAATTGATATAATATTTAATTTCTGGTATCGTGTACAATTACATGAACGTTTCTTAATTTTACATTTTATAAACAATTGCTACTCGCAAAATTCCACCGGCCATTCTCGGATCTGTAGGGAAATCTCGCGTGAAATCTGAATTCTCTCGGCGAAAGACGATCCTCGCGATAATTAATCGGCTGGGGAGGGGGGGATCCGCCTCTCTTCCAACACACCCGGTATTTTCTGTGGCGTCCGTGCTGGAAACGGACGCGCGTACAATCGGGTTGCAGCCAAGTTAAACAATCGGCGCTGGGAAAAATGGATAATGGCGGGTTAGACGGCACATAAAGAGTAACGAGGACTCGGTTAAGTAACGGAACGCGCAAGCGCACGATGAGAGAAATAGTGCCGTCAAGTGGAATACGGATCGGTTGTTATTTGCTTGTCGGCATGTATTACCCGCGCCGCAGCAACTCGCAAATCGCTCGTTTCCGCGTTGTTCGGCGTTTATTGGCACCTAGGCACCGCCGAGCTCTCTAAAGTGAAGGTATTGACATCGATACCGATATTCCCGAGTGTCGATACTCCAGGACCAAATATCCCGGCAAAATGTCGACACCGACCGACCGACTGACCGACGTTGTAAAGTAAAATACGCGGAAAGACGAAAAGTCTCGGGTTTGACGAAAAATATCGCGGATAAAGTTGATATTTTCCCTTCGTCTCGGCTCTCCGGCTTCTTGAGACTGCTGGAATATTTCGACTATTTCGAACGGACACGGTAACACATGCGTATATTGCGTATCGGGAAAAAGTCTGAATATACATTCAGGCACATCCGGCGATATATCACCGGCATAATAACAAGGCGGTCGCCGCAATAACGCGAGATGGAGGTACCCTACCCACGCGGATGCGTCCGGAAAAATGACGACGCGTGTGCGTGCATGTGCGCACGTGTAGCGTGCAGGGACGAATAATGTGGGGGCAGGTACCTTCGGCGGGAAAAGATCTCGCGGCAGCCGAAGAGATATTCGTCCCTTCCGCGGTCAGGTATTCCCGAGGCCAAGATAATTTCGCCAAGCCCTCCTTCCCGACGGATCCGATTATTCGCCTCATTAGTTTCTATTACTCATCGATCCCGCCCTCGCGTGTAATCGTAGATCGGCGAAATCCTCATTTATCGGCTGCCGCGCTTTCGTGCGCGCGCGCCCGCCTCGCTCCCTCTTCCTGTGCAGGAGATAAAATCTGCAGATGCGTACGAGGCTGATACCGCGGCATCAGCCCCGAAGGAGATCTGCAAGTCTTTCGCGCTTCTCCTCCGTCCAGTGGCGTAGCGACGAATTCTGCCGCCTCCGTTGGAAAGACGTGTTAATTTCGATCGGAAAGTTTGTTCGCGCCTTCCTCTCACGATCTGTCCGCTAAGAATCTCTCGTCCGACTGAACAACTTGATCACGCTCGCATTTCACAGAGATACGTGGACTGCACGGTGCTGGGGGCGGGCAGCGTGCCAGACGCCGAGGACTCCTCGTACGACAGCGACTACGAGGCCGAGGACTCGACTGCGGCGACGACGGCGACGACCGCGACGGCGACGGTGCCCCGTCCTCGCTCGGAGTCGCAGGTGTCCTCTGTGGCGCACCAGGACGTGTCCCGCACCGCGTCCGACACCCTGGCGGCGGAATTCGCCGAGTACGTCACCATCCAAGGACCTTCGCCCACGCAGAGTCCAGGTACAGACCGTCGCGTCCTCTTTGATTCTCAGGTTGAGTTTTTTGGATTCTACCATCTCAAAATCATGTCTTCGAAGTACCTACACGAAGTAGAGAAGGGAAATCGACTGCTTTTAGATGCAGTCAATTCTCATCGATTCTTATCGATTCCTCGTCCAAATTTGAAAGGAACATATTTGTGAAATTTTCTCGAGCGAGATGTCCGTGCAAAATCACCTGAGAAAAGATCTCGTCCGTCCAGGTTACACCGCTCGCGTGGAGTTCGCGCTGAAACTGGGCTACACCGAGAAGCTCGTGCAAGCGGCCTTACAGAAGCTGGGCCCGGACCCTGGTCAGAATGAGCTGCTGGCCGAGCTGATCAAACTCGGAGCTACCTGCTCGCCGAGACTAAGCGATGGTCCGGAGGAGGCTGATGGACTGTTGGATATCGAGATGGGCACTGACGAGGGCGGAGGGTCGATCTTGACCTCGACAACGGCGATGACGATGAATACGACCTCGTCGGCGGGCCTGAGGCCCGTCGTCATCGACGGCAGCAACGTTGCCATGAGCCATGGTAACAAAGAGGTCTTCTCTTGCCGCGGCATCAAGATCTGTGTGGATTGGTTCCGTGCCAGGGGCCACAAGGAGATCACCGTCTTCGTGCCCAAGTGGCGGAAGGAGGCCTCCAGGCCCGACAATCCCGTCGCCGATCAGGAGATCTTGGGCGAGCTCGAGAGGGACCGTCTGCTGGTCTTCACGCCTTCCAGGTTGGTGGATTGCGTTTCATATCGGTGACTCTACCACGAAACCGGTACACTCGTGTCCTAAATGCTAAGAGGCCGTCTCCTCGTACTAAAAAAAGCTAAAGACGCTATATTTCTGTTTCATCGCCAACACATTGTTTATCGGATATACGAGGTAGTTATGGTAATGACACGGAGAGGAGAAGGTAGTCAAGAAAACATACAGTCGCGTATAAGCGCAAAAATAAAAGACGTTTGAACGTTAAATTATGAATACGTGTAAACAAGAAATTACGAACGCGTGGGATAAAAAAAAAAGGGAGATTTAAGATCCGAGATTTCGGCGGACAAGGAGGCGAGAGATGTCCCTCGTCCCAACATCTGGACTTGCTTTGCCACCGGCTAATATTATCCAGAGCTGGAATAACCGGCCCCGCGTTGATCTATCCGCGTGAACTTAAATCGTCTCAAGGATCTCTCCTCCTTCCCTCCTTCTTTTTCTCCTTTATGCTACCGCTCTTCTCGGCTATTCCTTTTCCAGAAACAGATATGAATCACTTGACGCCACTATTCGCAACATATCATTCCGATTTACAGACGAATAACATAACAGATGCATGACTAAAGCGCTATTGAATTTATAAACGCAATAATCGTGTAGGAATAGACGGTAAATTGACAAGTATATTAATTTTGTACGAACGAAGTTGAAAAATTCCGAAGAAAAAACCAAGTTAAATTCAATCTTTCTTGTCGAGTGCACTCTGACGCCACGCGATCATTTGCAACGTGATTGTTTCTAATTGTGATAATAATGTAATTTCCTTTGACTCGCGCCAACGCGACGCAAGGTCGTTGGAGATCCCGTCCATCTCTGAGAGAGAGAACACGTTATTCGCAGATTGGTAGGTGGGAAGCGTATGGTGTGCTACGACGACCGATACATCCTTAGGCTGGCCGCGGAGGTCGACGGCATCGTCGTTAGCAACGATAACTACCGGGACCTGGCACAGGAGAACCCCGAGTTCAGGAGGGTCGTCGAGGAAAGAATCCTGATGTATAGCTTCGTGAACGACCGATTCATGCCGCCGGACGATCCGCTCGGCAGGAGCGGTCCTACACTGGAGAATTTCCTCAGGATCGCGCCCAGAAAGGTCGATCCGGCGCCGCCGTGTCCTTACGCCAAGGTAACCTCCCTTACGATTTCGATTCTACTTAGACATTTTTTTTACATAATGGCTTCAAGTATTTCTCAAATTGTCTCGGCCGACGATTGCAATTTATCAATTTCCCTTTTTGTTAGAATTTCAAATTTTCGAAATCGACGCTTTCGATTTTTCCGAGTTGTAAGATTTAATTTTTCCAAATTAAGCTAAGTCAAATTCGTGCGTCAATTTTGTAAGATAAATAACAGGTGAACACGCTGAATTTCGCTTTCACTCACTTTTCCAAATCTTCGAGAGATCCTCCTTCCCCTATTGATTATATTTCTTCTTAAATTAAATTTGGAATTAAATCAAGTGCTGCTTCTCGGGTTCGTAGAAATGTACGTACGGGAACAAGTGCAAGTTCCGACATCCAGAGAGAGGACCACACCCACACAAGTCCGTGACGGAGCGACTGGTGGAACACGCCCAGCGTCACCTGCAAGCCCGTGGGCCCAGTCTAAGCCTGCCGCTGCCGTCCACAACGTCCGTCTCTCCGCAGCATCCGCCGCTCTGCAAGACTAGGTCGTCGGTGCCGCCGAGCGTCGTTCAAACTTTGTCGTCCGTGCCGAAGAGTCGATCGGTGGAGAACGTTACGTCCGATTTGTCCGCAACTAGTCCCGCCATGTACAGCCAACAAATGCCTTCTACCCCGAGTCCTCAAAGTAATAATCACATATATTAACATGAACGACGAAATAATTCACATAGTATCTCTGAAGTGAGACGTAAAGAATTCAAGGAAATCGGGGAGTTTTATTTATGTTGTTCTTTCTTCTTATTCTTCCTTTCAAGCGTCAAACGTATTATTCATTTGATACTATTACAGCTTATCCCTCTGCGGTAGGCTGGGCCGCGTCGAGAGTGAGCAATCCCGAGCCAGAACCGGCGAATATGCATCGCAAATTGCAGCGACAGCTGACTCTGAATCCTGCGTGCGATCCGCGCCTTTATCAGCTCAGGCGATACCATCAGCAGCAAGCCAGCCAGCCGCCACAACAACAGCAGCAGCAACAACCAGTCATTAATTCCCCGCGTTCTAGTATGCAACATCGGCCGTTGACGAGACACGCCAGCAACGAGTCGTCGTATCCAGTTACTGCTATGAGGTGAGTCCGACTTGCTTGAACACTTTTGCTGATTTGCATACTAGTCGGATACTGATTCTATTTTCGACCTTAATTATAATATTGGGAGTACAAATTAGTTCGATCCGTTTTTTGTAGTCAAAAATGCATTTATTTCAGAACAAAATGAATGAACACATTAATCAAAGTATTGTCAGTCGCTGGTTACTACTTTTTCCCACCTCTCAGGCAATTTTCGAATTCCATCTCGAAAAAATGTCTCGTCTTGTGAGGCGATCCAAGTTAGGAGCCAATTTTCGATTTCTGCGAAAGAAATGAACCGGTGACCTGCCAAATCGTGCTGCATCCGTCAGAACAACCAGTAATCAGAAGGAGCATTGTCCGGCGAATACGGCGGGTGCGGTAAAATATCCCACTTGAGCTTTTCCAAATAATTTTTTACGATTTTTGCGACAGGAGGCCGAGCGTTATGATGCAGAAGAATAACTTTGTCATGTCTTTGTTCGTATTCCGGCCGTGCTTCTCATAATGCACGGCTCAAACGAATCAATTGTAGCCTATACCGATGGCCCGTAATGGAATCTCGGATCTTCATCAAGTAATGCCTCCAATTCTTTGTTTTCGAATTTTTTTGGCTGTCCAGAGCGAGGCTTGTCTTCAACGCTGAAATCACCATTCTTGAAACATCGAAACCATTCCCTACATGATTTATCAGTTGGAGCATTGTCACCATAAACTTCTACAAGCATTCGATGCGCTTCAACTGCAGTTTTCTTCCAATTAAAGCAGAAAACTAAAACCTCCCGCAAATGCTGCTTAGTTAACACCAGATTTGACATATTCAATACAGTAAAAAACAGGGGTTTTGTATGAAACCCAAAGCGATATAAACTGAATATTATTGACAAAAGTCTAACCTTTCTGAAACCACCGAAATTAGCTGTCACTATGAAACATAATCATAACAGCCAGAGCCATCTTTTGAAAACGGACCGAATTAATTTGTACTCCCAATATAATTTATTTGATAAACAGTTGAACGAATTCTATCGTTTTAATTGTCTAGTCTCTAATTCTATAAGTTCAATAATTTAACCGTAAATTACACACACACACACACACACAGAGTTATAACTATATAATATAATTTCCTTTGACTTTTTTCCAAAAATCTCTTTTGAAAAATTAAAAATGTAACGATTAAGATGTTTCTATTACGGCTCTTAAGGGAAATCAAACAGTAAAATAAACAATCGAGACATCTATTTCGCTTCCAGTTGGGATCATACCGAGCGTCTTCAACATCATCACCAGCACGTGACGCGTATCGCCTCCGCTCCGGACTCGTACAGAGCGTGGCCGCCATGCGGCGCCGCTCTGGTACCGCCATCGCGGGTACAGAGGCTGGGCACCTCGGATCCTCAGTTGAATCTACTTCCGTCACCACCGTCCGCGAGTTTACACGTGCCTTGGGGTACACAAGCCCAGGACGCCCGACGTCGCCTGCACTACCACCTCGCCAACATCTTCCCCGAGGAGCAGGTACAGGCTGCTATGGCGATACATCCGCATGAGACCGACCCTCAGCAGATCTGCGCCGCCATCTTGGCGATGTTTCCTAAGAACTAGAATTAGTAGATGTGTCGAGAAATGTGTATATCTACCAGGGTGTCGTCGGCGCGCGCTCGATCTCGCAGCGGTCTGATTGGAAAATTAATTCCGTTCTCTCTTCAGTCTTTCCGCGGGGGCACCCTGTATGCGGTGGAGAGATCTTCATGCGGAATATATAAGTATGTAGTGACTTGTACCGTCTCCGCCATCGCGATTGCATCGAGGATGCCGATCGGTCGAGTGGTTAAAAGGAGTAATTTAATTTCGAGAAACATACATCTGAAATTTCCGAATCTTGTAATTCGAGAGATTCGACGCGTTTTCGTCCTGCTAGTCGTCGTGGGCCAGCATTTCGCGGACGGAGAACGCGCAGGTGAACAACCCGCCGTAACGTGAAAGTCTACAGAGACATCTTGATATATTATCGTAGATTTTCGCATTATTTGGGAAAGATTAACGGGGGTTGAATGATCGCGCGTCTACGATCAGCGCACGTCAGCCTAGGGCATTACAGCGCGAGTGTTCGTTGTTTCGTTATTCAGGATGTAGCTGGTGAGAGAGAAACTGTATTTTAATCCGTCGTCTTAAACGTAATGAACTCGCGTCGGTGATTATCGTCTCACATTGAGCCGATCGACTTCTATCTCTTCGACGGCACTCGCGGAATCGTCTCGCGCTGTTTTCTCAACAATTCTTGTTTTCCAACGAGGAAGGAAAACGATCTTAATGATACTTATATAAATTCTATTTTTATAGATGCATTGAAACTTTCTGTGCATTTGTCACTCTTTGGTTGTCAAATTGACCGAAGCTTTTGATGAAATTTTTTAAAATTTGTATCGTAGGAATAGTTATACATCTTTTTTTTGTAATTAGACAATTTCGAGCTTTTCATTGCGCAATGAGGAAATTTCTCGAGACGATATCGTGAACGCTGATCATTCACATTAGCGGCTGTGAATTTATGGGAAGCCTATATACACGCATATATATATATATATATATATATATATATATATATATATATATGTATATGTGTATGTATATCGCCCGGCGATATATATAATTCGTATTAAAATAGTACATAATATATATACGTATATGTGTACGCACAAAATATTTCGGTAACCCGAAACAAGATGAGTATATATCGTACAAATTGTACGAGAACTAATTGAAAGACTTAAACTTCTTATATCGCTGTTTCTCGTCTCATATTGAAGAATGTTGTATGATATTTTAACTTATTGGACTATCGATTATTTGACATACGCGCGTAAGAGCTGCGAATCAATCGATTATTGTTAGTTCAATTCAATGAGCTCCCAAAACGTAGGGGAGAGTCAGTCAGTGGATTTAAATTAATCTTCTCACGACAGATGTTCTTATTTGCATAGCGAACATATCACAATATTTTTCACTTTAAGTGAAGAAGAAACGATTAATTTGTTATTAGTACATGTGATTAAATTATATATATATTATTTTACAACAAAATTTTATATCAGGTTATAGTCGAGGACTTTTAGCTCCTTCGAAGATAAGTCCACTTTTTTATTCATTATCTAACAAATGATATATAAGATTTTAATATATACATATGTGTGGCATATGTACACATGTATATGGTAATCTCTTCTCGGAAGCACAATACCATGTATTGTTGAGAATCCGCGAGTTACGAAGCGAATATTATATAAAGTATGTTGTATCTAACAAAGGTAAAGATAAACATTTATTATTACTTATACTGTATAAACTAAAAAGAGGAATGCGCGATAACCGTTTCGGTTGTGGAAGATTATTTCTATTATATTATTTTATTATTTTTATAATGTTAATCTATGAAATATTATATATATATCGAGTTTGTATCAATGTTATTGTGAATGGATATTACAAAATAAATGTTTTTTTTTTTTATTATATTATCAAGTTGTTAATTGGGCGACTCTTTAAATTGAGAGATCGCTTATGAAATCCAGCCTCATTAATTAGTCCTAACTAACAATTCTATCTTAATTTATAAGAGAAGAGTCAATAAAAAGGACCTATACTCTATATGAGTATATGAGTAAAGTGTCCTGTAGAAGCAACATAGCGCGAGTCGCGTCTAGGATTAAAAATTTTTTTCTAATTTATATTTTATATATTTTTTTGCACCATGTATTATAACACATTATACTTGTAAGAAATAAGTATATTAAAATATATCACTTTTACTTTTTATTTACATCCCCTCTCCCTTCAATTTTTCCGGGCTGCATTTTAAAATCCTATTCGAAGGATAAAATAGCATTTAATTGACCAATCATGACAAAAAGAGCAAAGATTTCTTTATTATGACTGATTAAATAATTGCTACTCTACCGTCGAGTAAGGTTTTGGAATGCAGCTTTGTAAAGGTCCGTTCGGCTTAGAAAATTTTCGACCGTTTAATCGGTCACTAACTCACACTAATCACTCGAGAAAAATTTTCGGCCATAGTACAAATCAATGGCGAGTCAAACAGGTATGAATGTCGAATCAGAGAAGAGACCGATTTTTTTGCAAAGGGATAAGCGGCAAGATAAGTCACTTCATTAGTGAGTCACCTATCGTCGCAATAAATTTATTATAAATGCAATCACGTGTACATTGTTATTCGCAATAAGAACGCAACAGAGGTGGCTTTTCCTTAAATCGCATTAATTGCTATTGTAGCTCGCATACCAGAGATTTTTCGTCGCAATAACGCGTTTCGTTTACAGTAAATATGAAATTTACAATCAGCACGTAAGTAAGTGATAATACAAGGGTGGTTACAATCAGCGCGTAAGTGATAATACAAGGGTGGTTTACCTAGGTAAATAATTGTTGTGTCCGTTCGAATAATTGTCATGGTAACTGATATTACGTCGAATATAATATTTCAGCATTTACCGTAATCGAAGTATGCTATTGAAAAAAAAATCCCTAACATGCTGTTTCAACAATATCGTGATTCATCTTGATTTACAAATTACACTATCGCGCATCTCCAGACTTTCTGTTCTGAAATTGTTCTCTCCTTGCATAATCCTAATACGAGTAATAAAAGAATAATAAGAATATAAATTTTTTAAACACACAGAATTATGAGCAATTAAATTTCACGCATTTTACAACTGTGTAAAAATAACGTATCATAAACCGGAGTAATTTTCGTGTTTTGTGATGAAAAATTCTCGGACTCTCTTTATTTATTTGGTCCTGCTTCTAACGATCGCTTTTAAATGCTCTGATTGAAACTAATATAATCTAACCATCAGGGAAGAAATATTATAAGTAACTCCGATTTGCGTTATCCAAATTTTTAGAAATCTGAGAATCCAGAAGTCTGGAAATACACAGATTCCCAAAAATTAATCGATTCAAATATCTGATTGTAAAAATTACTTTTTGTTCATAGTATCTGCAAGTTATCGTCGATTGTAGGAGAGAATCTAACGTCCGATACCTGTATTAGGTTACAGCTTTTTTGCAAATGTATAAATAATTCGTTAAATTATATACGCGCCAGTTAAATATATATCGTACATCTCTGATAAAACGCACAGTACGATACTAAAAATTGTAGAATTAGGAAATTGATTATACAAGTCCGTTTGTCTGCTCGGTCGAAAAATGCGAACGCGACTCCCTTGGTTTCTGATTTTGTTCCACTGCGCAGGCTTCTGACGAATCAAAGAATCCTCTCGTAAAATAAGAGATACGCTTGGCTCTGCAATACCGTATTTTCATCCACTTCCGACACTCTGCGACGGAAACAAGTGATGTGAATTTATGGATGCGAAAGATAAAGAACAGTACAATAATGCGTGTCTCACCGGTAGTAGTAGTAAATATTCTATACATAATAATTACAATTAATAACTAACAATATAAATTATATTATTAATTAGCCTTACCGAGAATCTGATACGTAGTACCATCTTCCGGGTGGTGGTTCCACGGACGTGGCTTTCGCCGACGCTTCTTCTCCCTCAGACTCTGAGCTAGAACCGTTCGACGATTCGTCATCTGCCTTAGCACCTTTATCCTTGGAAAGAAAATCCCAGCGAGGATCGTCCGATGGTAACGGTAGTCTTGTCTGTTAACGTATTAATGAACACACACAGGGAAGTATTTGATATACATTGACAATGCTATAATCATATGTTGCCACTAAACTCTATTATTCTGAATTCTACAACAATTTTGCAGTTTACCTTGACGTAAGCAACATAATGGCCACCATGGACGTTCCCGCTATGCTCGACGACGCCGTAGAGTGCGTAAAGCCGAGGTTTCTTATGGCCTTTACAAACCGGCGCCAAGTCCAGCAATATCGGGAACGATACATGCTTGAAAACCTTACGGACGCCAACTCTCTGTGTTTGGAATCTCTTCAGATGCAGTATCAGCACCGGAGGTACCTGAGAGACGAGGTACTGCTTGGTACTCGAAGTGCACACCATTTTTGACGGACCTTCTTGTCCCTGAAAATAAAAGATAGTGTAAGATAATTTCATTATATGAAATGGAAACATGGTTTGAAACAATTTCCCCTCGAGTAAATATGTTATACCTTTCTCTCGCGGGCTGTACACGCTTCACACACGACTTTATTACTCCCCGTCATTAGTTCCAGGGCGGTGAATTGATTCAAACACGACTCCACGGAACATTCTCCCTCCTTGGTTGAGTATCTGCCAGGTGATTGATGCCCACTTCCAATCCCCAGCCTGGACATGCCCGTCATTATATCACCGACCCCGTTACACAAGTCTTGTTCCTCAGGATCGTCCCCGTTGGAAGTCTCGTTGTATTTCCTTCTATTGCACCTTGGTAAAGTAGCTTCCATCCATGCTTCGACGTCGTCTAACCTGAAGAAACATTCATGTTTAAGAGTACAAGTGTTCATTCATATTTCTTAAATACAGACTTTTCACAAAGATTATAGTCAAACTTAAAAGATCCAGAAGAATCTCAAACATTTTGAACGTCAAGGTTTAATATGATTCTGAAATTCTCAAAATTGAGAAACACTAAAATTCTGATTCGAAAAGGATCAACAAACGATGTAAAATATCGACTAACTTCTCCGTGACTTTATCACGGTTGAGAGGACTAGCGGGGCTCTCTTTGGACGCGCTGGAGCTGCTCAGGCTCGCAGTGGGCGCCTCTGGGCTCGTAACGTCAGAATTGACGATCATAGAGGTGGACAGTGCAGCTGCCGACGCTTCATTCTCAGAGCTGACGGTACCGACGTTCCTGTCTGCCTTCTCGGACGACATCCTGATTTGAGTCAAGTCCGTCATCGACACGTCGGTTGGACTAGGGCTAGTTAACGCGTTAATGTTCGCCGGTTGTCTAACTTGTGCCGAGTCGAGGTTGTTGTCCAGGTTACCGTCGTCCAGATTAGACACGTCGTTTACGTCGCAGTTGAGATCACTGTTCGAGTGGTGATGGAGGTGATCAGCGGGAGATATTGGACTAGCGACGGCGGACGCCTTCTCCGAGCTGTAACCTGATTCTCCGACCTCCGGATGGAAGTTGTCCACCTCGATGTTGTCCTCTACATCAGCGTCGCTCTCTTCTAAAATATATATTAGGAAAATGAAAAGTAGAACGAAGTAGGAAAAAAAAGATATGCCAGAAAAACCGATGAAACGACAGAAAAAATTTACAAGGCGTTCTTTTTCTGAGACACCGATATCACAGAAGACCAGAACACTAGTAGTGTTATGAGCAGATTTTCCACGTCTGTGGCAGCACAGGAACGGTAAAAGTGTATCGTCGGAGGTAAAAAGGATTATACCTGACTTCAGAACGCTGTCATTATTTTCTTCCACGGGATTATTCTGCTCCATTAATATGCTAGAATTATTATGATTCTCATGCCTCTTATACTTCCGGTTTTTCCTCGCTGCCTTCTTCTCCTTCTTTGGCTGTTTCCGGGATGTATCGGAGATTTGCCATTCGCGTGTCTGAGTATTCATCGTGTCAAATGTATCCTCGAAGCCGCTGTTCTTCCTCCTGTGTATAAAAAAAACAGCAATTTGCAATTTATTTGTAGATAAAATTAATAAAATTATGCAATCATAATTATACAAGAGGGACTGGTTTGAGAAGTAAGAAACTGTCTCCTCCTTACTTCAAGATCGGCGGCTGCGGCTTGTCCGGAGTGACGGGTAAACTCAGATCCAGGAACGGCTCGGTACGTTGTGAGGAGTGATGGCAATCGAGGCATTCCAAGGTGGATACTAGGACACCCCGGAATACCACTTCCGGCCCCAACAATCGCGTGCTAGCCTGGTAACCGTAGAATTTTACCCGAGACTTCAGACCTTTCTCCACACCGCCTGGGTTAGTCTTTTCACTTAGACCAACTTCTTTCAGGATTATACTCTGATATCTCTGCGAAGCAAGTATGAAACTTTAATTTCTAAGTAAAGCTCTCTGGTATAGCGCGTTGGATGTTCAATTATTCTAGCTGGATCGACCTGATATTGATTCAGATACAGATTATTTTAAAAGATGAGAGTGCTTGGCTGAAGATTTCAAATTGGGCAGGATATTAGAAGCAGAACAATAATTAAGAGAGTTATTTCACTCACTCGAAGATCCTCGTTCCGTACTATTTCCAACAAATGTCGCAGAAACTCGTGCGAGTCATGCTGACCACCGTCCACGCACTGTGTAGTCTTCTTCTTGAGCTTGCAAAGAAGATTCGTGGGCGTGTAAGTCTGATGTCCGTTGGTACTCTGCATCTTCGATAAGGTCTCGCAAAGAACCGACGTAAAACTGCCCCATCGCTCCAAAGTACCTTCAATTGGTGGCTAAAAGTTAAATGAAGCATGAGCATCGTGCGAAGTCACATGCAGAGTCAAAATAAATATAATGATATAACCAAGAAAAGGCTGAAAAAATAAATGAAATAAACTATAGTTTCACATATACACAATCATCGAGTGATATGATACTGAATGATTTTCTTCGAACAATGAAAGACAACTACAATTTGAAATCTTGTAAATATACCAGTTCCACTTCATCCTCATTGTCAACAAGCTTGTGCTTTCCACCTGGTAAGACAAATTTCTGCCCGGGTAGACGTAGATCATCCAGTACCTTTACTAAATAAGGGGTCTGTGCCAGACACTGAAGCACAGCATTGAAGAAACAAGTATTTCCTAGGTTCGCTAAGCCCTGTTTGGCAGTTAAAAAAATTACAATTGTTATATTTCAATTATTACAGGTTAGAACTGGAAACATCAAGCACTATTAGAGAGGTATTTGAAAATTTGTTTTGTGTTATTATACACATTTATATGCTAAACATAAACATACCCCGACTTTGGGAAGATTGTTCAAAATTTTATGCTTTTCCTTGCTCTGTACATCGACTATCATTTCTTTTTGGCACTGAGTCACAGGCATCTTCGATTGCTGAGGTATATGTGGCATGGCGACATACTTTTTTATGAATTCCACAATTTCGAGCAGCTTTTTCCTGTAAGAAGAATAGAAAATATGAATAACCGCGAAAGATATAATTATATATCAATCATTATCATATTATATACAAACTATATGAGTGATTTTGTGTATACGCATATATTGAATCAAATATTGACATATTGAGTTGGAACCGAAGTTCGTAGCGTTTTTCAACAGGTGGCGTCCGAATACATGAATTCGTTTCGGTTGAAACATATGACACGTGTACGTATTCTAGGCCGCGTTCAACAAGCCTTGAAGTCGACGGGTAGCATTTAATTGACCAATTAGGATGAAAAGAGGCAAGATCTCTTTATCGTGGTTGATTGATTAACGTTACTTTAACCGTCGAGTAGGATTTTCGAACGCAGCACTGAAAGTAAACATTTCAACGTGTCTTTCTCTGCAATTTGTGAATTTTCAGTGTTTACGTAAAAAGTGAAAATGGAGGAAAAGAAGTTGAACTTTCGCCATTTGACGTTTGTTGTGGATCGAGCAAAGCTCGCCGCAGCAAAGCCCCCCCGAGCGCCGAATTGCCGCGCGCGGTTCCGCGCCCCGTAACTCGCGGCGTACGCTGCGAGATGGCGCGCCGTTTAAGCGGTCCTCCCGTGAGCGAATCCGCTCACGACATCTATATAGGAGCGTTCCGCAAGCGCTCAGGCCGCTTTTGTCTTCCAATGCGTTCCAATGCGGTCGACCGAGCGGTGACCTCTGCTCTTCGTGCGCTTGAGGGGGAGATTCTATGTTAAATATTTTACAATTGTCCCTGGTGGTAGGTTTGGTATGGTATCAAGGTTTTCGATGCGCCCTTGGCATAAAGAAAAGCCCTGTGCCACAGGGACAAAGACGTTAACGGCTGTCCACACTTGCTACGAGTCACTAAGTCCTAGTGAAGACTACTCAACAGAGGGAAGCAAATCTCCCAACTGCTCTGCCTCGAAAGGGCCTTCTTCCTGTGGTCACCAGGAATAAGAAAAGTGGTGGAACGAAATGGCACGTGTGTGGTTGAAAATTCTATGCGCAAACATTATCTTCGAATTTCACTTTGATAAAACACTGCAAACTTTCCTTCCAATCCGATGATGATAGAAACTCACCTGCTGCTGGGATGAACTTCAACATTGCACTGATAACACCAAACATTCCAATGATGAGTATCTGTCACCATACAGTGACAGTCACTGTGAGGCCTCTTGTAGTGACCGATAGCATGCTGGCCTTCTTCCTTATCACAGCTTAATTCCCCACATTGCAGACAAACCCACAAAGGCCTCGTGATATGCTGAAAATATCCAGGAAACGTTAGATCCTGCCCTGATGTATACCTAAGTAGTCCGTACAATTTACACTACCTGTTCATCCTCTTTCTTGAAGTCCACCTCCAGCTTCTTGCACATGGAACATTCGTCCACACCAGTCTTCTTTAGGTTCTTCTTCACTTTCGTTAGATTGATAGCCTTGGCTATGTGTGGACATTTCACACCTACCGCTGGGATAATCAGCACTTATCAGTACGCTAGATAATCGTTACAGTACAATCTCAAGAGTGATTGATATTGCTTTTTTTGGATTCTACAGGTACAAGAAATAATTTTGAGGAGTCGGTGATTCTCAAGGAAGTCGCGAGAATCAGATAAGCCAAGGTAGTTTTAGGACACACGGCCTGCCCAAAGAACAGTCTATTCGGGTGCGGATGCACTCAAGCTTCTAACCTGTGCTCGCCTCCTCGCAGGATTCGGTGGAGGCGTCGCTGACTTCCGCGTTCGCGTCCGGTTGCCTGTTCCGTTTCTTGCTCATCTCGCTCGCTTCAACCCGTGGACGTTATCGTTCGCGTTATCCGCGTGCGCGTCTTCCAGCTCACCGCGCACTAGGATCACCTCGCTCGTCAGCTAATCCCTGACGTTCGCGTGCGTAAAAAAAACATGTGGAAACTCCGTGCGAGGAACACACACGCCAGTCCGCGCTCCGAAGCATGAAACGATGATGAATCAAGGAGAGAGGGAGAGAGAGAGAAACTTCAGCTAGAAGATGCGGGCCTCAACGCACTCTAGCGGGCGAAGCTCCAGCGATTCCGCCAAACTTCTCAAGCGGTACCACCGGAATCTACCTCACCGACTGAGCAGTGGAAGAGATTTGCATCGGGTTTACGATGGCTCCGCCACGTGGCGCCACTAGTTTCATTTCGCGGTCGAGTAGAATGGTGCTTCATTTTTAGCGGCACGACGCATCGAGTCAGGTAAATAATCTCATTTGTCGGCAAAGGTTAAACGGTGAGTTAGGCAGATTTGTAGCTTAAATTGCGCATTTTCTTAAATACAGCGTCTTATGACATTGTGCTCACTGTTAAGGCGAGCTCTTTGTGACTCAAAAGCGACAAATTATTCGTAGGATTACTTCGAGAGAGAGAGAGAGAGAGAAAGAGAGAGAAAATAGATCGAGTTGAATAATTACGCTACACGGTTCAAACTTTCGCTATCATTTTCTGCTAAGAGCAGAATTTGCTTGAATAAAATCTGAGGTAAACGATAAGGGCGATAAGGGCGATATCTCGCGTTGGGTACAATTATTCTCGCGAATCTCACGCGCTCGATATGACAAGGACGCGTTTAAGTCTGACGTGAAAATCGACCGTTGAAGTGCGACAGGAGGCTGTGATTTCAGTCTATCAATTTCTATCGTCAACGGCGAAACTTTCTTCCGCCCAGATATTTCTCTCCCTTCTCTTTCGTCCGACGATATCTCTCCATCGATTTTACAACGCTCTCGATCTTTTCGCTCACAGGTCGAGAGTGAGCAAAAGTCGAAACGTATCTTTCGTATGGCGTATTGAAAGTCGTATTTCGACCGCGATTCTCCGCGCGAGAAACTCGCGGCTGCCCATCGTTGAGTCTTCTTCAACGCGTCAACAGAGCGGCAAATCGATGTCCCGCTAAAAATTCATATTATATTTCAGACTTAATTACGCGGCAGCCTTCAATCGACGGCGACAATCGCCGTGGATTACTCCGCTAGGGTGTCGACTACGTCGGACTGTGTGACCGCCCCTCCTCCGGATCGTCGGATCCGAGGAGGGATGGGCGGCCGTCGACGAGCGCACTCTGAACTTCGCGGACACCTCGTAGATCCCGCTCGTCGGCTGACTCGTCGAGGAGCGCGCGCGATTTTCGAGTTCTCCCGTGGGCGAAGGGCCTCGATGCCAGAACGCGGCCGGAAGGAGCCGTTCCCTTTACTGAGGACTGACGATTAAGGTAAGTTACTCGCTATCGAGCTCTCTCTCTCTCTCTCTCTTTCTTTTTCTTAAAGAGTGTCTCTTGTACCGTCTTCTTCTATTTTTCCTTCCTCCTCCTCTTCTTCTTCTTCTTCGCTTTGTTCTCCCCTCTTTCTGTTGTTTCTTCTTTTCTTGACCGACCTTTCCGTATCGCGAACGACCTCGTTTTTCCTTTCGTCTCTTCGAAGACGCGTCGAGTCGTGACGAAAATACCGCGGAGGAACCGGCGCTTCTGTCTTACGAGGATATAAGGTGGCTGACGAAGAGGAGAACGGTATAAATTGGGATAAAGCAGCGACCGTTATTTCGAGTTGAAGACCGCGAGATGTAATTAATTTAACGGTAATAAGCTAAAGTTTCGCGCCGAATTTTCATCGGAGAAAATAGATTTTCATCTCTCGCCGAAAGCTTCTCGATATCAAACACAACGAATCCCTAATTTATATCAGTTACATAGAAAAAGAAAACGATTAACAAGATTATCTCGAAAAGATCGAGACACGCACGTTGAGACCGTTCAGCGCAACGTTACGTTTACCTCTCGTCTACGTTTCGGCTCGTGGTTGCTTTTAGTCAGACTCGTTCCCGATTCCTGTTCACCAAATCATCGCGTCAGTGTGAAAATAACGAATTGAGTAATAACCGTCAGCCTTCTCCGATTAATGCTTCCTCCCGTTCTAATTACTTCGACCCGTTTCACGTTTCGACGTGGACCTCGACGTCAGCCTCCTCTCGTCCGGGATTTCTAAACACGGGCTTCCACATGATAACGTCAAAGTCGTCGTAGATTCTATCAATAATATAATGATCGACGATCGAGGATGGAAAACGCGAGGAAACATCGGCGATGGGATAGGAGGGGGAGGGGGGGGCGAAGCGACGGTGATTTTCCAACTTACATATCGATGAAGAAATCGACGCGACGACGCGGAGAACCGTCGAAAAAGACACCCGGGAGCGAGCCGACGAAGAAAGGAGAGAGAGAGAGGAAAAAAAGGGTGAGAAAAAAAAGACGAAGGCGCGAGTAGGCGTCCCCGTTGTGGCGCGGAGGCGTTTTCGTCACGACCCGATACGTCGAGGAGGCAGGAAAAGAAGGGAAACTTGGAGCAGACGCCTCTCGCATCTCGCCTCTAAGGTTGTCGCGAAGAGATAGAGATCGCCGGTCGTCCCGGAATCTCGTCGATCGGCCACGCGGGGGAGGGGGGAGTTAACGGGGGGTGAATGGGGGGATGGGTGAGAGACCGTCGCGATCGTTCTCGTCGGGGCGATTGATCGACCGACCGACCGACCTATCGATCTCCGCTTCTCGTTGTCTCGGCTCGTCTCGGCAAAACTTCTTCTTACCTCGGGAGAAACGCCCGTAATAAGTGGTACGCCGCGCGAAGCAATCGTCGCTTCTTCGCAGTCAGTTTTCATTCAAGGTGTCTGACAATGCCGGATGCTAAGGCACTAGCCTTACTACTGACGATCACAACGTGAGCGGTCAGTCAGTTCCGCGGATCATCGGGGAGATAATGATTACAGAACAGACCTGGAGCATGATGCTGGACAGCGATGTCACGAGCATCAGCGAGTGAGTAGCGCTTTCATCGTTCTCTCTTTCTCTCTCTCTATCCTTTTCCTTTTCGCGAAGGGACCGCGTCTCACCTGGTCGCGCGTGTTTTTTTCTCCGCTTCTTCTTCACGATTTGACTTTTGAACGCAACGGGCAGCGAGCGTCGCGAGAATATTCGCGCTCGCTTCGCCCGAGACCCCCCTGAAGCTTTTCACCCTTGTGAAAGAAGCGAGCCGCGTTTTCAGAAAATGTGTGCGTTTTATTATGTTGTATTTAGAAGGTGCACGCGTGGCACGCGCATACGTGAAAAACTACGAGCGACATATCTGGTTTGATGCAGCGGAAATGCGAAAGTTCGCGGTAATTTACGGAGGCTCGATGTGCGCGCGCCCTTTTGATTTCGCACAAGGCAAGACTACGTTTTTCTTGCGTTACAAAGAAAAGCTCCAGAGAGGTAGATGGATAAATAAGCAAGCGGACAGAATAAGTCAGTTATTTCATCACTTATCCTCGGGACCGAGTATTCTCAACTCATTCCGTCGTAGTTCCCCCCGACTCTCTGGCATTTCCGACGAGGAGTCAATGCCGACGGCCCGCCGAGTTTTCGAAATCGGACACCGCGCGCGCAACAACGACGATATCCGCGAAATACGACAATTTTTACGGACGAATTCGGGGAGATATTACAGATCGATCTGTGAAAATATCGCGGCCAGGTAACGGTCTCTCCCAGATCGCTTCTCGACGTGTAACCGGCGAATCGCCCGCGATCGCGTGACAGGTCGAGCATTTCGCCGAGGAAACAATTATGGATCAAGGCGGTGAAGAAACTGACCTCCGAGAGGCTGGGCCGGGAGGGACTGGCGGCGTGGGAGGACCGGAAGTCCAACAACGACCCCGAGGTTGCCGAGGTGAAGGACATCAGCGAGCCCGCCGAGAACGCCGAGGTTGCCAAAGCGGAGCCGGAAGTCGCCGCGGAGCAGCCCGTGGCCGATGAGGAGGCTCAGACCCAACGCGGTAAGAAAAAGAACTTTTACCGCGATGAGAGAGAGACTGATCGCTGACGAGCGGTCTCGGCTCTTTTACCTGAACTTGATTCGCAGGAGAGCGCGCGAGCTTTCCTTCGCATCGATTAATCAATCGGAGAGCAAAAGTACCGATGAAGACAGAGAGTAAGTGGATGCGGGTGTGTAACTGCAGTCGCGAATGTGCGTGGTTTCAGACGTCTTCAAGAAGGGAGTGCTGTACAAGGGGATATTCTGCCCCTCGCTGACCAACAGCTTCCATAACAAGCAGCTGGAGACATCCTACCTTCATTACTCGAACCGGCAGCGGCAGAAGTCCCTGATAATGCTGAATATCGTGGACCTCGGCTTGAAAGTGAGTACAAATGCCGCGTCGAATGTTCTCGGTTAGGTGAGAAAAGAAGCGCACTTAGGATTCGATCGATCTTAGGTCTCCTTTACAGCTTCACAAGTGTCACAGATCAACTATTTATTCTTGAAATCGTTCGCCCGCTAATCGATCTTTGATCCCCCGACGCAGATCACGTTAACGGCGATCTGGCTGTGGCAACGGGACCCAAACAGCGGAGGCCTCATCGAGTCCCTGTCCTGGGCCGCGTGCTGCATCGCGGCGAATCTGGTGGTCTGCGTGCTCGGCTGGTGGCGTTGCTTTTCTAACAATTACCTATACTGGGCCTCCATATTCACATGGTTATTAATAAACTCCCAAGGTGAGGCCCACGCGACCCGTTTCGAGAGCCTATCCTTTCTCACAATTAAACCACTCCCACTCGGTCCAGAAGTAAGTACCTGGATTGGTGCAAAAAGTTGGTTATTCTTCCGCCGGATCCTATTTTCAGCGGAATTATTTTTACAGCCAATCGATATAATAGCGTCGTTATTGTCACAGTAATACACACCGATTTGAGTTCTCCGCCGAGGGAATTATCGAGAGAAAGAGAGAGAGAGAGAGAGAGAGAGACGTATCTACGGGGAAGAAGAGGCGCGTGCCGAAGTATCGGCTCGACTCTACGGGGGCTACCCGTATCGATAAATAATTATACTTGCGAGAGAATACACCGGCCGGTATTTTGCGGTATTTTTCTCTCCTCCGGTGAAACGATGCAACACACCTTTTGGACTGTGAAACACTCGAGCGCACTCGAGGCCGCGGCGATACGGCGCTATTGATTCCGTGGTTGAATCGAACGGGGCCGTCTTGCTCTGCCGGCCAGCTAAAATTGAGCGAATGTTCGACGGAGCGTAGAAGCAAAGCAAGAACACCGAAACCCGGGAAGCGGTCGCAAGCATCGTCATTCCCACGGCGGAGAACGCAAGACCGGCGGGTTCTTCCATATATCTCACCCTAGACGAGTCCTGAATGGATTAGCGTAGTCCGATTAGCCAATTAGTTTCTCCCTCTACCCGCGTGCGATTCGAGGCTTCTCGCAGGCTCTCGTGTCCTCCGCTCCCGTCGACGCATGACGACGCATGGCACCCGAACATGGCCGTTTGTAGGTTTCATAGGTGCCGGTCTGAACTTTACCACGCAGCAGAGGCTCATGTGGTACATACTCTTCGTCGTGTACGCGCCATACGCGATGCTGCCCTTGCCGCTGCGGTGGTGCGTTCTCGCCGGCTACGGAACGGCGCTAACACACTTGGTGATGGCCGGTATAAGTCTCCTGCGGGACTCCACACACGTGAGAGAGAAACCATTCCGTATCTTTTTTTTTTCTCCATATCTTTCCGCTGTCTCCGTCCAGCGTCACAAATCGCCACACGTTCTCGACAATTTTTCCCAGCGAGATTTCGCCTCGAGAAATTTCGAGAGTATTAATGGACAAGTAAAGGGCGTAAACATGGAGCGGTTTCAAATGTTAAGGAAAACCTGTAATTTAGAGTCTAAATATATATTAAATGAATAATCGCCAATAATGTTAACATATACATCCGAAAACAATTAGCTATTGGGAATAAATATATAACTTTTAAAAGGGTACATATATTTTTCTCAACACGTGTCATGTCGAGGAACTGAGCAAATGGAGTGTTAATATGGAACAAATAGATAAAGATAAAACCTTCTCTTCTAATGTTACGAGCTTTTTATTACTTGTTCAACCTTTTTGAGTGTATTTATAAACCAAAAGGATAATGAAGAACGTTCTTACAAAATGACAAGAAAGTGGCTCGAGTAACCACAAGTGTTTAAGTGTGAGTCTTATATACGTAACAAGAATAAATCTCTTTAAAAATGAAAGCAAAATTGCTCTCGGCAACAGTTCGACATTTAACGTCCTCTTCCTTGACAAGACTACTACATTAGTTGCAATATTGGTTCTATATTGCGACTTAAACTCGCGAGTTAAATGCTAGCCTTCTCGAGTGACTTGAATCTAACGTTACTAATGTGTGTGTAATTACTGACAGTAGTTTCAAGCAATGGTTTTAGCACAATTGCGAGTTCCATATTACAAGCCGGTTCCACATTTACACCCTTTCCTCTACAAGATCGTAAACTCCAAGAATAAGCCGCATGTGAAATTGTCGCAGTTTCGGGACGTCGCATGCATCGTCCGCATGCTGACGACGAACGTGCTTCTGTACCTGGCCGTGAACCTGGTTGGCATGTACACCAAGTACCTGACGGACAGGGGACAACGGCAGGCCTTCCTGGAGACGCATCGTTCCATGGAGACGAGGCAACACACGCAGAACGAGAACAATCGACAGGAGAAGCTGCTGCTCTCAGGTGAATCTCGCGGAAGAAGATCGTCGTATTGAACTCTCGAGCGACTCTCGATTCTTGTAAACGGAAATTTCATCGCGATTAAAGTACCTCGGAACAAGTAATCGCAAGTATATATTGTTCGACGGATAAACAAACGTCGTTATCTCTTTCTACATTACGCTATAAATAACACGGGAAACACACGTGGCGTGTAATTAAAATTATTAGCGTTATTATTTTTGCGACGGGCGGTTCTAAGACTAATACAAGGCTCGTACGACGAGCTTGTGATTTTCAAGATCAAGCTGACCTTTGCCCTAAAGCTCGCTCGAGGCTTACGTAAAAGAATTGAAATCGGAGCGCCTCCTCCGAGAGAGAAAGACAGATTTGCGCGACTTGAAAGAGTCTCGCGAGTTTCACGCGTCCAGAGAGATACGAAAACGGTCTTCGACAGTCGTCGACGCAGTCGTGTGTGTGTGCTTACACGTTGCGATTTTTCGAAAGCCTCTCCCTTGCTTCCGAGACGAGAAAGAGAGCGCGCGGCAGGGGCGTAACTAGGCCCCGGTGTATTTATGTAACGACGTGTGCATATTTATTATAACGCGCCGCTCGCCGGTCCGTGTAACTTGCTCGGCCGAGTGTCAAAAAGGGTCACTAGACATCTCGCGGCCGATTGCGCCGGACGCGTTTTTCCGATAGCCTTTTGCGTTACGTCCATCGCCGATCCCACCCGATATATCGATCCGCTCTCTCGCGCGCGCGGCCACTACGAAAATACCGCCCGTCGAATAGATTACACCGAGATTACATAAATACCGTCCATATGTGTGGACGTGCGTGCCCCTGTTACGCGCGATTCTGTGTCATGTGCGATGTCTGTACACGACCCGGTGTGCGTCGCTCGCACACTCCGCCGTAGAGTTGTTTGTTTCAGGAACGCCGGCGCACACCGTCGCTATTATGACTTTCTCTATTTACGGTGACGAATATTTCACTCGCCCGCATCGTCAATGCGGCTGCAAACGCGTCAGTTTCGTGAGATCTAGGCGCGGTCCTCGACCGCAGACTTCATTTTTTAATTACGGAAGTAATTACGGAGAGAGAGAAAGAGAGAGAGCCTCGAAGTCTGCGGGGGAACGAGAGAAAAATAAGATGAATGTCCGCGTAGCTCGATCTTGAAAACGCCAGTTGCGCTTTCAACAGGCATGGTCGACGCGTAATTAAGACCGAATGGATGACTTGATCCTCCGTTGCAGTCCTGCCCGATTTCGTCGCCAAGGAAATGATCCGCGATATCGCGCGCGAGACCGCCCGAGGGGGAACGATATCCTTCACGCCGAATCAGTTCCATCGGATCTACATCCATCGCTACGAGAACGTCAGCATCTTGTTCGCCGACATCAAAGGATTCACGGGTATGATTCTTCCCGAGCGCTACGTTGCTTTCACGCCGAGAGGAATATCGCGTCCTCGAGACGACGGGATTACGTTCGCGCGCACGGAAAACGAGCAGTTGATTCGACAGCATCGATGTGATTGAAAAACAAATGTTCTTGATTCAACAGCAATATTATTGAAGCAAACACGCCATGCCATTGTATCGATCGCTTTCGTATTTGCGAAAGATAACAGAATATTTTGTTGCAGCAACCATGTCCAGTTAAATAATGCCCGTGGTGTTTCCTCCGTGAAACAATATTGCTTTATGTTACTTCAATCATACTTAAAACGGAGAGAAAAAAAGTTGTATTAACTAGAAGGAGAACAATCGGACGCATCTAGTCGAAGGGAACGTCGGATTGTGAGAACCACATTTGAGTCAGAAGGAATCAACTAGAAATTCTGTTTCCTTCAATCAGGATGCATCTAGTTGTTCCCTTTCTGATTAGTGCGATCAGATTTGTTTTTTCCGCGTACGATTCCCGTGATTGTATCGTAATATAATTCTTAGCATGGAAAGACATCCTTTCAATTGATCACCTGTCATTTGCCGTGGTTTCGAAGCTCTGGCGAGCCAGTGCAGCGCGCAGGAGCTGGTGAAGGTGCTGAACGACCTGTTCGCGCGCTTCGACAAGCTCTCGGCGGAGAATCATTGTCTGCGCATCAAGCTCCTCGGCGACTGCTACTACTGCATCTCCGGCCTGCCGATCGCCAGGAGCGACCATGCTCATTGCTGCGTGGAGATGGGCCTGCACATGATCAAGGCGATACGCGACGTGCGGTTCACCACGAAGGTAACGCGCGAGACTCCATCGTGCATGGAGGAATGCACGAGATGTGTGTCGCGTTTCGCGAACCGTTCGTTCTCATCGACAGGTGGACCTGAACATGAGAATAGGGATCCACAGCGGATCGGTGCTGTGCGGGGTGCTGGGGCTGCGAAAGTGGCAATTCGACGTGTGGTCGTACGACGTCACGCTCGCGAATCACCTCGAGAGCGGCGGGATACCAGGGTAATAAATGTCATCACGTGTCCTCCTCTTTTTCAAATTCACGCTTATTCTCTTTCGTGAGAAGGCCCGTAAAACGAAGCGTCGGCCGCCACACCTCAAATCCGTCGTCGCGTCGGAATTGCCCCGGCGAAACGAGATATCATTTCGTTGCAGGAGAGTGCACATATCCGCCGACACGCTCAAATGCCTAAACGACGTTTACGAGGTGGAGCCCGGCTACGGTAGCGAGCGCGACAACTACCTGAAGGACAGGAACGTGGTGACGTACCTCATCAAGCAGGTCGAGCCCCTGCGCTCGCGGCGCAAGTATTCCTCCAGGCCGAAGGTCTTGACGGAGGAGGACGCCGCGAACAAAAGCAAGAAGAGCTTCAAGATCAACAACGCCCTACCCGCTAACAGCAACGCGCCCAATTCCAACGTGGACGACGACATCGGGGTCGACTGGACACCTGAAATCCCATTCGAGAATGTTAGCATTGGAATGATTAGAAATATCCTAATTAGTTCATTAGTTAACCCTTGGCGGTACGCTGGGGCTCCCACCCTTTTCCGCTCAGTTTGAAATTATTTTGACAAATTTCTTGAGTTGTAAAATTCTGACTTCCGATTCGTAATCAGCGACTGGAGAAATCCGTGGGTACAGAGTTTCCAAAAGATCGATACAAAAATTCGTGGACCCAAAGGGGTTAAACTATGAATCACGAGGGTGGAAAGATACGAAGTCTCACTCACTCTCTTTGCGATCGCAGCTGAACACGGCTACGTCGATGAGCAACCTGGAGTCTGAGTACCTGGAGGAGGAGAACGGCACGGCGAAGACCAAGGCGACCTCGCCGACAGCCGGCGAGAAGAAGGGCGGCATCGAGACCGCCAGCAACAAGCGCATGAGGTCGGCGAACATCAACGCGTGGACGCTGCGCTACAACGACGAGAGTCTGGAGTCCAAGGTGAAGTGCACTCCGAAAGACACCATCGTCCGCCCTTTACCTGAAATACCAAAGAATATGTTTTATTAACCTCTTCTGGGATTAATTTTAAATTTTTTATTTATGATCTGTTCTAATGGAGTGCACAAAAAACAAAGATACCTTATTTGCGAACCGATTTTGACATGTAGCCATCATGGCCTACTTCGAAAACGTTTAATTTTTAAATTTCAAAAATTTTTGTAATTATAAATAACGGTAATTTTTAAATAAAATTAAACGTACACATACGTGTCAATATCCCTGAAGAGGTTAAAAGTTATTCTCACAATATGCTTCGTATGTGTACTGATTGCTCTGTCTCGCATCTCTTGGGCTGCGTGTGCTGCAGTTCGACCAACTGCGGGAGGACATGTTCAAGTCCAACATGATATGCTGCTTCGTCATCTGGCTCTTCATCGCCACCTGTCAGGCCATCATTTTGTCCGAGTGAGTCGAATCTCGCGAACGATTTCCTCCCCATCGACTCGATTTCGAAAATTCATTCGTCGGTCTAATTAACCACACACGAGAGAAAGAGGCGAGAATTTTATTAATTACTCGTCGCTCTTTAATAATCACAGCTGCATCATCTTTCTGATCTCCCTCCTGGTGACGACGGTGATCTTGGTGGCGTCGTCGATCCTGGTGATGGCGGAGGAATTCAAGAGCATGCCGACGTACCTGCAACACACGTCGTCCATGTTAGTGCACAACAAGAAGCACCGCACCGTCTTCATCTGCGGCGTGATCAGCCTGATGGCGTTGACGTCCGTCATCGGCGTGGTGACGTGTCCCATCATGGTGCGTCCTTATCCGGAGGTAGTGGTCCTGGAGCAGCAACAACAGACACCGACTCCGGCGGCACTTCCCGTTCAGGAGAAACTGACCGCCACCACCACCGGCTCGGGTGTAGATCACTTCATCTTGACGTTCCTGGAGGCAGCCTTGAGCGACGAGTCCTCCGAAGTACGGAAGGCCGCGCCCGCCACGGAGAATAATACCGTGGAAGGAGCTTCCAGCGACATCGAGCTGAAGCTGACGCAAGTGGTGAACGGAAGGGCGCCCGGGAGGAACAGACGGGAGTTCTTCAGGTTCCTACGGTCAGTAAGAACACATTCAAACAGCACTTTTAAGACACGTTATTAATTTCCCGTTTGAATTTTCTCCAGCATAAAAATATAGAAAACCCATCTACATTGCAGATACGAGCAACATTACGGAGCGGAAGGCGCGAGGCATTACCGACGAGTCGCGCGAATACAGGACAAGGGTGGTCCGCAGAGGAGGATCCTCTCCGTCGACGAGAAGACCGAGACCAGTGAAGAGCCGTCGACCTCGAGCAGCCTCGAGGACGGACTCGTGGTGGGCAGCTGTATCCGGCCGGAGTACATGGTCTTCACGTGGATCTTGTGCCTGATCGCGCTCGCCTCGGCCCTCAAACTGTATTACCTGGTGAAGACCGCGCTGGCCGCGGCGATCGTGCTGGTCTACGCGGTGCTGATCCTCGTGGTGTGCAAGGAAATGTTCTCCGAAGGAGAGCATAACGTGTAAGTTGCGTTCTGATTCGCGAAATCGCTGTTTCGCCCTCGCAAGAAATGCGAAGGAGGAAAATGCGACGCCTTTGCCTTCTCCCGAATTTCGGGTCGAAATTTCGTTAAATCAAATTTGACGAATGGAAATATATATAATGATTAGAAACGGATGGACAATAATTTAACCGAATCAAATTGAAAATATCCGCTGGTTAAACTATATCTTGATCCGCTTTTTAGGTCGTCAATATCGCTGCCGGCGCAAATGCTGACGTTCCTGGCGGTTTTCCTCGTGATGGTGACGTACCACGGTAGACTGGTGGAAGTGACGTCGCGCTTGGACTTTCTGTGGAAGCAACAAGCCGAGAGGGAACTGAGCGACATGATCGAGTCGCGGCATAACAATATGCAGCTGTTGAAGAACATCCTGCCGGACCACGTGGCGCATCATTTCCTGACGCAGGAACGCGCCCCGGAGGTACATATCTCTCGGAGAGAAGAATGATATTATGATAAAAATGTATAATATGTACAATCCCGAAGGAAAAATATCTCAACTGTCGATTTGTTGACGCAGGAGCTCTATTCGCAGTCGCGAGACAAGGTCGGCGTGATGTTCGCCAGCGTGCCGAACTTTACCGAATTCTACTCGGAGGACGTGAACAAGGGAATGGAGTGCATTCGTTTGCTCAATGAGATCATCGGTACGTGGCGATCGATCGATGATTTCATTCGATGAACTGAAGATTCATATTAATGTGCTCTTGTCGATGTCTTATCAATATAACAATTCTTCGCAGCCGACTTTGACGAGTTGCTGGACGAGACGCCGTTCCACTGCATCGAGAAGATCAAGACAGTCGGCGCCACTTACATGGCCGCGTCGGGACTGAATCCCAGCCAAACCGTAATGATAATAATAATATAAAATTCGACGTATTACATATGACAGTATCGCGCGATGTCGATCGATTTTCCCCAACTCAGCAGATTTTCACCGTGAAGTCCCCGTTGCAAATCCCGTTTATTCGCGAATCGGCTTCGTTCCCGACGGGAACGGATGTTTAAATATCCTTGTCCAATCGAATAATCGACTCGGCAGGACAAGAGCGGTGACAACATGGAACACCTGTGCAGACTGGTGGACTACGCGGTGGCCATGCGCCACCGTCTCGAGGACGTGAACGTTCACTCGTTCAACAACTTCGACCTCCGAGTGGGCATCAGCTGTGGCCCCCTCGTGGGAGGTGTAATCGGAGCCCGCAAGCCGGTCTACGACATATGGGGTAACACCGTGAACGAGGCTTCCAGGATGGACTCCACGGGCGTGATGGGCAAGATACAAGTGCCGCACGATATCGCCAGGGTATCCATTACAATCACTACACGTCGAAAGTCTCGAAGGTTTTTTCTCGTCGGAATATACATATCAGAAGAAGAAATCACTTCTCGACGAATTTCGTTGAACGATGAAAAAAATCAATTGAAAAAGAAAAATTTAAACATTTCTTTTTCCAATTGGAAAATTAAATCAAAGAATTCAGTGACGACGGCCGCGTTTTTTGAACTATGATTGGATCATTCTGTTAGATCTAAAGGAATCTAAAGGAATAATTCAGCCTCGGTATAGGAAACTTTCAGTTGTAAAATAAGTAGCCATTAGCTGCTTCTTCAATAGAGGAAAAAGCTCAGTGAGGGCTTGGGTCTGCTGAACGCAAGCATTGATACTAGAAAAAGAAATCGAAGAATGTTTCGACCGATCGTAATATTTGCATCTCTCGAACCTTCGATTTTTTCCTCGGACATCGTCCCGCGTATCATTTAGCCTACATCGATCGTCGCGTATGCGCAGTTTCTGGAGTCGCGGGGTTACCAGACGCAGAAGCGCGGGCTGATCGAAGTGAAGGGGAAGGGCACGATGGAGACGTATTTCGTGTTGGGCAAGGGCACCCTCCAGCAGGAAGGCACATCCAGGCACAGGAGCACCTGCCGAAGTCTCGCTGCGGTGGTCTACGGAGTGGTACAGGCGCGTCGCAAGCAAATCAGAGCGCTGCGAAGAACGTAGAACGTTCGAGCTCGTTCCGATATGGTTTGAATCGCCCAAGCAGAACAAGTCATATAAGAGTCAAGATGACGTCAACGTGATATCATTCCGGCATCAATTTGAGATCATCTCGACTTTTATACGACCCGATTCTACTTGGGCGGTGCAGAAAATTTGTCGTGCTTGTTGAACGAAGCTGAAGAGATTATATGTTGGGAAGAAGGTGTAGTTTTTTCCAAGCAATTTCCATTAACCCTTTCGGTACATTTGACGAGTGAGACTCGTCATCTGCTTACTTGGGCATAAAATGTATTACTTTTACATATTAATCCATATAGCGACAAATTAAATCCGTCCCATGGGCATAAAAATCTTAAAATAATTCAGTACTCAAAGGGTTAATCGAGTTTGACTACTACCTCCTTAGCTTCGGTACACTCCCCCCTTGTCCGCAACCTTGCTTTCAGACGTGAGTGGTAAGCAAATTGACCAACCACGTTCGTTTATCGGAAGAATAATCGACCGTGATTGGTTAATTTTCTTACGTCTTGAAGCAAGGTCGCGGACAAGGGGTCTCTCTTCGTTGGTTTAGTTCCGGTCGAGCTGACCGACTCGATCCGATATTGAGAGTCCGATTCGCTTCGAGTGATGCCCTGATTTCATTCGATTTCTCTCTCTCTCTCTCTCTCTCTCTCTCTCTCTCTCTCTCTCTCTCTCCTCGAATGAATATGAGAAGCAATAACGACTGTCTTCAAATCGGACGGTTCTTAAAATTGGACTTTCGCCGCGATACACTCCGCGTATACGCGCGTGGAAAATTCGCTCGTCATCATTCCGATAACAGTACACCGTTATTACTACTACTATTAACAGAGAAACGGTAAACTCTTTTCGCACCAATTCTGTGATGGATAAGCGCGACGAATGCGGGTTATTCGGGTTATGCGGGAATGTAAAAAGAGCCGTCGTCCAATTTTATTTCCGTGTCATCTTGTCAAGATGTGTTGAATGTACTGTATATAGCACTTATAATAAATAATCGGTCTTATAGAGAGGAGCTGCGCGCTTGGTTCTTCACCCACGTTACCAATCCTTTCATCACGTCATGGGGCCTGAGAAGTTCTCACGAGAAGTGTTATTTTGTTCTCGCAGATATAATCAACGACTCGTAGTTGTTACTTTACTTTTGTGATTGCAGTCAACGGAATTGCGGATATATGAACGATAACGAACACGAGAGAGAAAAGGCGACGCGTTTCGTCGAGACAAAAATTCAATTATGAATAAAGCGAATTTCAGTGGCGAGTAATCCGTTTCCCGTAAATCTCCCGATGTGTAATCGTCAAACGTTAAATTCCATTGACTCTTCGACGACAATTAAAATAAATTAATAATCGTCGCTATACAACGCGTCGGATTGTTCGCTCTCGTATCGCGGGACGTTTCGCTGCAATAATAAAGGGAACCATTATTATTGCTACCAATGTTATTATAATAATAATTATTATTATTATGGTGATCGACGAGTGGAAATGCAACACATACAACGCAACACACACGTCTGGCTCCGTGTAACCGTATATTACATTATTATGGTAAACACAATATTTATAATCAATATTTATAATCGTAATAATAATCCATGATAATAATGGCAATAATGATAATAATAAGGCTAGCTACAGGACGGCCCGCCGCGATCCAGCTGAGCCGCCACTCTTCGACTGCGACTGTACACTTTTACAACATACTCGTAATAATAATCTAATTTTACATTAATCATTAGATAATTCATTACAATACGAACCTAGTTAGAAGAATGTCACGACACGTAGGAAGGACCGCGCGCCTTATCCCTCGGATTACACGCATTTTCCTCTCTCTCTCTCTTCTTTTCTTTTTTTCCTAATTAATTCGTTAATTAATTGTTATTACTCGATTATCACACACCGGTATTCAGCAAAAATCTTGCACCCTCCGAAAAACAGGAACGATCACGCCTTGTTCCTTCAGAAAAGGAGAAAAGACCTCGACTATGTAAATTTTGCTTGGTGTTCTTCTTCCTTTTCCACGTAAGTTTCATCAAGTTGAGACGAATTGTCACCGAATCGAATGTCATTTTGGACGACGCTACCAGGAAAAAAATATCATCCTTCTTCTTAACCCATTAATGGCCAACGTTCTAATTTTTCGGGGACGAAAGATAATTTAAAATAGACGATAAATTGACAAAAAAGAAAACATAAGATATAAATAATTCCTCTACTAAAATTGCCTATAATCATCTACTGTTCGAACGTTAAATTAATCGGGAATTAACGGTCCTCCAATTAAGTTTAAATTTTAATTTCCATAATTCGTCGGTCTTTGAAATAAATTATGAATAAAACTCGAAACCGATCAGAATGCACGCGATGCACAACTTTGAGATTCGTGAAAATGCAATTGCGGCCTGTTAACGGATTAACAGAGACACCTTTTCACGTCAGGTGTGCGAAAGTTTCGCTCGTACGCGAGTCGACGGTCCGAGGGACGAAAGGACTTGTCTCTTTAAGATACAAAGGCACTGTACACGTAAAACACACGCAATAAAAAAGAGCGCTAAAGAGCCGACCCCGGATGTGTCTTCTTTATCTCTGGTCTCGCCTCTTTCGCGCTTCTTTTTCCTCTCATTCTCTCATTCTCCCATTCTCTCATTCTCTCTCGCTTTCCTCGACAGTAAAACGTGCCCTGTTTAAAAATATCGCTTCGATCTATCTGTCTGTCTGTCGGTCGTTTAAAATTGCCGTGATACGGCGCTTAAAATAGCGGGAGCGGTTTCCTTCGTTTCTAGCTGCATTGGTCGAGACTACTCTCTCTCTCTCTCTCTCGTGACTCTAAATTAGTCTAAGCTTTTTTTTTTTTTTAAGGAAAATAGATGACTATGATCGGATTGTTGAATGCGCGGTAACTATTTATCATTACGAGAGGGGGGATACGGTAAAGACGAGAGGGACGGGGAAAGGCGAGGGCCGGTGGGAGAGAAATTGCGAGGAGGCGGGAACGATTGGTCAATGCGATCAGAAGTCAAGAAAACGCTCCTGGTAAAGAGGTGGGATATCCGCTTATCACAATTTGGCAGTGAACGTTTTCACGTTGTTGAGAAATACAGCTTACAACGCGTCTTGCCATCTTTGAAAGCTATACACATATGTAATATACTGACTGCTAACTAAACCGGCTCGCTATTAATTAATAACGCTACGCTCCTTACGCTCCTTTATACAAATTTCCCTTCGCGCGTCTACACGAGATACGACGTCTGCAACTCGGAGGAGAACGGGTGCGCGTTCCTTCCGGAGGTTTTCGGAACACGAAAACCTCAAAGGTGCGGTAGAAACATGCACGCCCAGCGTGTCGTGTGATGCACTCTGCCGATTAGCACCTTGACATTGCCACGTCGCATCCGCATTCGAATGAACATAATCATTATGCGTTAAGTTTGTCTCTGTTTGTAGATGCTCTAGTACGAAAGGGTATCGGATTCACCGTTTCCGTTATATTTACATACCGGAGGGGAGTATTAACATCAGATAGGAGATCAGGCAGTGAACACGTAGTGGTAAAACTGGATGTAACAATTCCTACATCGGTACGACTTGTTTCGAGAAAAAAATGTCTGAATCTGTGTACTTTATATGCGTGTGGCGGCCGCAGCATTCGAGCCGCGCTCGAGTTCAGGGTCAGTGACAGTCAAAGTGTTAAAGGAGCTGGTGAATTCACGATTGAGTTCGATTGAATTAATTCAACGCGAAAATTCACCCTCTGATCGGAGAGAATACCGAAGAGCGTAGGCCGGTCCGTTTCCCGCCACGATGCAGACACGTATACAGCTGGAGTGAGAAAAATATTACCTCGCTATATTATTCCATCCGTTTGCCACGGACCAAAAATAAGTTCTCGCGTCTGTTCGGTTCTATAACTCGGTTATAGCGTGTACAACTTAAATTAGTAGTAGTTTATAGCGAAAATATGCATTTTTCTCCCCAATTCTCTCCTCCGTTCTCTCATCTTCTTCTTCTTCGTCTTCTTCCTCTTACTTAATCCTCCACGGAGAGATCACTCCCGGGAAGAAATGCCCGATTCGCTTTAGGGATAAATCTCACTTTGTCGATTGCTATCTCGAAAATCATATTGGTCCATGGAGGATTAACGATCGCCTTGTGTGTCTCCTTATCCAGTCGAAACGACGAAAATCGCGGACTGTACGCGGGAGTCCTTCGAGATGTCATTCGACTCCGATGGACTCGCGACAATATCGAACAAACGCGCACGCGATCGCGGGACGCGAACGACCCGTCTAGTTTCTTCGGCTACGAAGAAGCTCGCGAGCCTTCTGTGAATTCACCTAATTCTTAACGCTGTTACATTAAATATACATACATACATACATACATACATACATACATATATATATATATATATATATGTATATAAATAAGTATATATATACATATATATATATATATATTTAACGCCTATATATATTTATTTATATATTCGGATATTTATATATTTATAGTATGTATATATACATACATATATATATATATATATATATATATATATATATATAATTTACGAACGTTTTTTAGCGTTACAATCGAAGATGTCGAGTCAGTTCAGAACGCCGGCAGAATACAGACACTTTCCTCTGCCGGCATCGTGCAATCGTTGAGATCATATAGCGTGCATGTGTGATTCTTTTCTTTCTTCATTTAAAATACGAGAGAAACGTAAGAACGTTTGTCCACCTCTTTCATTCTCCTGACGTGGTGCCTGTCGTGGATTCTGTCGTCGTCGTATCTATTCCCTTTTCCCTTCTCCATCTACACCGCTACACGGAAATATCGCGTGTACGTATGTCTGTATGCGTGTATGTGTGTGGTGTGTGTATGTGTGGTAATCGTCGCAGTTTCTGTACGCTTTTAGAAAACGAGGATGGAGACCGGTGTAATTTCAGCGAGTTCAATTTCCGACGTACGCAGACATGCAAAAATATCGCTCGGGAAAGTGGAAATCCTTCCCTCCTTTTTTCTCTCACGTGTGTTAGCCCGCTCGAAAATAGTTTCAATTCAGATTCAGATGTTTTTATTTACAATGTTACTATAATAATAACATCAAAAATATCGAGACATCTCGATGCAATCACATTGTGCGTTAACTTGATCTTTGTGAAGGCTGCTCTTGAATGAAATGATGTCGGTTTCACAGTTTATATCGAAAGAGTATCAAGATCAGATCGAAGATCAGCCTTTGAATAATAGCTCTGAATACAATCGTTCTTCCGTCGGTGTAATTTGCTTTCCGTCACGTCACTGACGCGTGTCTGCGCGGTATCGAAATCCGAACTCAGCGAAATTACGGCGGTTCCCTCCTGGTAGAAAATAACAAAGGAAAAACGTGGCTCGTTTTTCCTTCTTCTTTTCTTGCCTTTTTTTCTTTTTTAGTTTTTCCCTTTCTTAATCGCTCGTTTGCTTAATTCGTCGAAACTACTCGCGTAATGCTGAAACTAGCGCTTCTAGGATATTCAAAAATACACATCGCCTCTATCTCTTCTCTCTCGCCGATGTGATCTCCCGTTTCTCTCCTTCGCGTAACGCGAAGAGTTAACTACTTTGTGCCCCTCCCCCGCGTCTCGCCCTTGCGAAAATAATTGTCTCCCTCGTGGGAGGGGCGGGAGAAGATGAGAAGAGTCGAGAATGAAAAGCGATCCGTCGGTCGAAACGAGAGAGAAGGTCCGGATCGACCGATTTCGAGTGACGAGAGTCGCGACACTGTATGAGTTTAGCTAAATAGATTCCCTCTGTCCCCTTTTGAACAGTATATCAAAGATATATCGCGGATATGATATTACTACGGAGAAGCGAACGGAGAATCAGCCGATCCGGACTATCGGTGTAACGACGCGTGCAGAGTGTACGGCGATTCTCTCGCGCGTGGATGTGAAACCAGTTAATTTCCCCGACGAATTTGGAATGTTCGTCGCTACGGGGTTTAGCGTAAAAGCGTTTCGAGCTTTCCTAAAAGTGTCAAAAGGGCAGTAGTAGTTTCCGAGTAACAAGCGGGGTCGTCATCACTTTTCGGACGTAAAAATATAAAAGTCGGACGGCGTGATCTCTCTCAGAGAGAAAGAAGGGAACGGTCAATGAGTCACCCTGTCACAGTTATTAGTGCGCAAATTTCGTCATAAAAAATCACCTGAATACATCTCTCCGTCAAACGCTTCGGTTTTCGGTGCAAAGCTATTCCCGTTCGGCTTACGTTAATTGTCGACACTAGATAAAACGATCCTATCTTCTGAATCATGCAATTACCTTAATTGTCGGAATGTTGAGAATGCGCACATTAGAATCGTCCAAATTGCGCGTGTTCCTTCGCTTTCAAATCTAAAGGGAATATCCGCGCTAATTCTCCCGATTTTGTTTTACCGACCACTCGCTCGCTCTGCACGTGTCGATACGCGATTCAATCACGGCGGACGAGTCTCACTCTCGATACCCGAGTCCCCCCGTTACGTTAATATACAAGGTGGCGGTATTGTAATCGCTCTGGCACGTTGTGTCCTTCGGCTGAAGAGCGCCGAAGTCAATTGACGAGACTGAGTGAAGGTACGTTTGTTCACTTAAAGTACGGTTACCTGATCAGAAGCTCTCTCATTCTCTTCTCCTCTGTCTCTCTCTCTTTCTTTCTCTTTCTCTCTCTATTTCTCTAACTCTTTCCTTTTTCACCTTGCTCTCTTTCGTGTCATCGCCCTGCGAGCGTTTTCTCAGCCGGATCCCACGAGGATCGCTGACACGGATCGCGAATTGTCGTTTTTTCCTCACGCACGCGGAAAAAAGTCGCTGTTGAACAGCGCGGCAAAATTTGGAAGAGTATTTGTTTTTAAAACTGTATTTAATATAATCGATAAATTGATGTATAAATTTGACGCGATTTCGGAGAGATCTCGTTGCATGTGAGACACGATTGACAACACACGCTTCTTCTCATGTCAACTCTTCGTCCCGGGTGCGTCGTCGCGGGATAAAAAAATTCCGCACGCAAAAGAAGAGCCTCTCGATAGGGAGAATCGAGGATTCGATTCTCGTAAAAATAACAATGATTAAATTTCAACGCGCTCGATTTTCGCACTATATATGCGATTAAGAGATTATAAACGCGTCTCGTCGAGGACGAGAGATAACGTACGACTGGCAGTAAAAATCGTTCAATGATCCAACGGCATCCCTCGTTAATTTCCTCTCTCTTCTCCCTTAATCTCGACGCCGACTTGTATACAAAAATGTACAAATAGTTTGAGCAGTTCCGCGTCTCGGCAGTCGCCAGCGCGTGTATCCCTAATGATTAATCAACGATTGTTCGTCGGCGCGATTCTCACACACGTATACAGAGCGAACAAACCCTCTTCTTTTCTCTCTCTCTCTCTCTCTCTCTCTCTCTCTCTCTCTCTCTCTCTCTCTCTCTCTCTCATACTCGCTCTCTCACTTTCGGTGTCTTCTTCGCAAGTGGCAGTGAATCGCGTTACTGCGTCATCCTCTTCGCACACGTAGTCTTGTACTTCCTCACGTTATGGAACTAATCGCGTAGATAAAACAAAAAACAAAGAGAGAAAAAAAGATGATTTCAATAAAATAAATATCGCGACGCGTTTGTCGTAAAGTGTGTGTTCTATGCTACCGAATCACAAATGATTAATTCAAGATCACGACGATAACGAAGAACCCGGTCAGACACGGGCGGTAACCGATTAGTCGAATGCGCGAACGCGGAAACCGTCGCACGACGATGTCGCGAGCCTCTCTCGTGTTGTCTCCTTTTTCTTCTTCCTTTCACATTCTACAATTTTCTTCGTTTCACGCGCGTCCTTCTCGCGGACAGTCTTCCCTCGATTCTTACTCACCAATACCCGAGAGCTATACCGATACAAATGTCGTGGTCACCGTTGCGTATTTACAAGGCGGGGAGGAGGAAAATCCACGGCGACCACTACACGACGATCTCTACAAGTAGCGAGCTAACGAGATTTTTCATTTTGTACAAACGGCGCTAACTAACTTGTGGTTCGCGCGAGCCACGTCCTCGGAATTGCTTCTCGAACGCGAGGGGTCCCTCCCTTCTCTTCGCGCCGGAACTCGACTCGAGGCTGCCGCGACAGTCGCCACGAAACTCGGTCGACGTTTCCCCCAACGATCGTGAAATCGCTTCGAGTTCACTCGACCGGTATTACCGTGGTGTCACCTGACGCCCACAGGAGCCGCCGGGTCGGCCCCGGCTCGTTTAGAGTAGCTCTCAGGTACATGGATAATGCTTATCGTAAGAAGAAGTGTCTTGTCGTATCTCGTCGACCGAAACACAGAATTCGCACTGTCCGGGCCGTCACTGCGACAGCGTGCCCAGAAAGTCCAAATATCTGTGCTGCATGTAACCTCAGGAGGACTGCGCGTTGGTCTGCGTGGACAACGCCGTCGAAGTGGAGGTCGTCGGCGACGCGTGCAGAGTGAAACCGTCATAGACGTCCATAAGTTCTCGCAAACGATATTCCTCCAGACATACGAATCCCTCCAAGGACGGAGACTGTTTCCTCGCACAGTCCATGCAATGAACAACGTGCCGTTTTTCCTGTTCCCGGATAAACAAAATGTTGAACACTTCGATCTGCGAAAAAAGAGAAGCAAACATTCCCGTTTCACTAGACACGTAACGTGAAACTGTATAATACGACACAATAGATACAAAGCGATACATTGTTTGCAGATCGCTGTGTGAATAGCGAGAGAGCAAAACGAACGATCGAATCGGCGGCCGTACCTCACACTGTCCGCAATAATGAGAAGCCTCGTTCTTGGCTCGGCCGTGGAAACGCACCTCCACACCCTTGCTCTTCACAAAGTCCAGTATAAGACAGCATTGTCGCATAGTTCTCAACAGGCAATTCTTGATCAGCTCGAACAGACGCGGATCCGACACCTTGATGTTGCGGGCAAGATTCCACGACAGATGTACCATCGGCACGATGGACTTGAACGACTGCAGCTTGTTCCACTCGTAGCGCTCGATGGCGAGCTGATACTGCCTGGCTGTGAGAGGGCCGACGTTCCATGCGATATTGTTGCACCAGCCGACCGCTTGCACCCAGTGCACGCAGCCTGCGTTCACCCAAACCAAATCACCCGGTCGTTGCACGAACCTGTACAACGGAATATTCTCCTCGTACAGATCCTCCAGGGACGGCCACCAGCTGCCGTGCAGGTAATTGATGCCGTTGCGCTCGCATAACGAGCATATGACGCCCCAATAGGCGTCAGGTACGGCGAACCATTCGCAATCGCCCGGCCCGATATTGATGTTGATGGAGCAAAAATTGTTGTTCTCCTGGTGGCCAGGTGTCCTGCTGCCGGGTACCTGAGCGAGGCAATTAGATCACGCCTGTGAAACGACATTTGGAACGCGCCTCGGAGTGAAACCAATTTTGGCCGACTTTCGATCTCCGAGGGAAAGTTTTCAACGATCGAGAAGTATTGTTACACAGAAAACGATGAGAATTCAATTACCTTCATGTATAACTGTACAGTATTCATTCCTAAGATCACGTGACCCACATGACTGAGCATATTGCCGGCTGATATAACCCTGGCAAAGGCGGGAAGTTTCATCAGCTCCTGCAACTGCGGTTTCCACTTCCTGTCGTCCGACAGGTCAACGTTCGTGCCGAAGCGCAGCATCTTCGAGCCCTGCCTGCCGGCCAGACCGACGACGTTCTTCTTGCGCTTCGTGATCTGGCCGGTGCTGTCCTTCGAGTCGGAATCGGACAGGTTTGACGTGTGCACACCCTGCGACTTTTCGCGCTCCTCCTTCAGGCTCTCTTGAAAACTATTCGCCTGATACTGCGCGTACTTGGCGATCGTGGTGTGGCTGCGATGGCTGATGCAGTTCCACACCTTCTTCGTGAACTGCTGATCCCAGTTCTCGTCGCTAGGTTGCTGCATTTGCGTGCGCACTTCGATCCCGTGGTCTGGATTCGCCTCCACCAGCGTCTTGGTTGAGAACAGACCCAGGTCCAACTTGAGCGCGGCGGCAAGTCCACGGACAACAGCGATCGGATGTTTCAGGCAGAACTCCTGCAGCTGCGGGCTGAACGCGCACTTCTTGTTCTCCAGGTAAACGCTAGGCGTGGGCGGTAACAGCTGCTCTCTCGTCAACCGTTGACTCGGCGGCTCCGGCGGGGCCGGTGGCGGCGAACGGTCGCTCAATATCGAGCAGTTCGGCACACCGTTCACCCCCTGGCCGCGGCACGCCTCCACGACCGTCTTCGCGTCCATGTCGATGCTCAGCTCCAGTTCCGGCTGCGACTCGCACAGGCTCTCGAGCTTCAGCACCGGCTCCGTTTTCGGAGCCGATTCGCCGTTCTTGCTCGTCGTCGTCTGCTCGCACTTTACCGTCTCCGTCGGTGGCGCCGACGACGCCGAAAGCGCCGGCGGCTTCACGTCGTTCGTCTCGTACGCCTCGGCCGTCTTCGACGACGGCTGGGCCTCCTCAGGTTTCTCCAGCTTCACCGCCTCCTTCGCCTTGTCCGCGTTATCCTCAAGATTCGACGGCGAGAACGGACCTTTCGAGGGGGAAAAAATCGTCGCGAGAACGTAACGGTGTGATCTCGAGAAATCTTTCTTACAAGAAAGTAGCATAAAGTAAGGAGTTGCGCTCTGCCGTGCTGATTCCCGCTGACCGTACAGACGTTTAACTGACGATCAATTTCCCCTAAAAAAAACCTTTCCGGTAATAAATATAATTCAACGTACATACGTCCTCTTATCTCGTCTCACTAGCTCTTTTCATTGGCCGTACAGTCCATTTTGCAAATGCGATTATTTTTTTTACATGCATTTTTTACATAGTCACCGGCGATCACCATGGCATTGAGCGTGTTAGTTAATAATTTCTTCGTTAAAACGTTAAATACCGGAACTGAGAGCGCCATTGTTGTTCATAATGTTGGCTGGCGGCTCCTCCTTCACGTCCAGGTCCTCCGAGCCGAAGTGCTTGAGCAGGTCCTCCGCCAGAGACGTAGCGATGTCTTTCTGCGAGAGCAGCGCTTGCAGCTCCTGATCTGTGACGCCCAGGTCTTTATTCGCCGCTGACCCCTCCGGATAACTGCTCGTCGTCGACGAGATCTGCGTGTAGCCCTGAGCGGCGTACTGATTTGGCTGATACTGGCCGTACTGCGAGCCGCCGCCGCCGCCGCCGATTTGCTGCCGTTGAGGCTGCGGTTGAGGATAATTCGGATCCGACGCGGATTTGTAAGGCATACCTGGTGTCTGCGTGTTGCCGGTTGCTGCCGCGCTGTAGCCGACGTTGGAGTCGGAGAAGCCGGTTTGAAGCGCGACCGTGCCTCCTTGCTGCAACTGTAAAACCCAAGTGAACTTGACGCGAATGCATCTCACTTCCAGAACAAGATCGAGGCTGCATCACAAACGATGCACCAGGCACTGATCAGAAGTCAAAATATGAAAATTTATACTCCTCTGCTGCTGTCACCACAAAATAATAACAGACTCGACGATTAGCCGATCGTAAACATTCGCTCGACATCCGAGAAAGAGAGAGAGAGAGAGAGATATTAGCGCGTTTAGGGTTTCGAAAGAGCAAATAAATCCTTGCACGGGATCCTCGATATTAAAGATCCGTAGAGAGGCCCTGCTTAAAGTCCCGCGACCATCAATTATCCCCAATACGTTCGGGGATAATCGTAGGACGCCGACTGACGAGGCAACCGATCCTCTACAGTTTGATGTAAACATCGGGACACGTTCAGCCCCGCGGTGAACGTAGCTGGAATCATTGCTCATCGCGATGTCTCGTGAGAGATATAAACGTCGTGTACCGGTTGCTGCGGTATCCCGTAGTTCTTAATAACGCCGGCCTGGCCGGTGATCTGAGGATGGCCGTAACCGGCGGGATAACCGGGCTGACCGGGCCTGAGGCCTCGTTGCGCCGCCTGCTGCTGCTGCAGTCTGATCTGCTGCTGATGCTGCTGCATCGCCCGGTACTGATGCTGCAGCTGGGCCAGCAGCATCTGCTGCTGCGACGTCAGATTGCCGTGATTTTGCTGCAGGAGGTGAAGCGTCTGGAGCTGCTGCTGCGACATGTAAAACGGCGGTGGCCGCTGCGGCGCGCTCGCAGATATCGCTTCCTCGCCCGGCTGCGTCGGAAAAGTTCGAGTTAGCTTAAGAATAACGTCTCGTGGAGGAGATTCAAAGTCGACGGCCGTGCTGTTCTCTATTCCGCACACGGGACCCGTGACAAAAGGTCGGTGTGTTATCGACAGATCGATCACCGAATCACCACGCCGTGGGTACACACGAGCGAGGAAGAGTGTGTGACCTTTCGTGTTTACTCGTTCGAATCGCGACGATTAACGTGTTAACGGTCGTCTCTGTTCTCTTTCGTTTCTAAGCGGAATGGGAAATGCGACTCGATGGGGAGGGGAAAAAAATAATCAGCAGTTCCAACGATGCCGGGCATTGTGTTGTGTAATTCTATCATCGAGAATTGTCCCGTAATTCTCATTCAGCTTCGGTTCGCGCGACCAACAGTTACCAGTACACGTGGTTCGAACGTGGTGTGCCTTCTGCAGCGACGTGTGTCTCTCGAACGTACCTTGAATCGCTTAGCTTGGGCCTGGGCCTGAGGGTAGGGTGGCGGCGGTCCAGAAGGTGCAGTGCCGTACTTGTAGGAAGGCCCGCCCGGTGCTTGCTGTTGCTGCTGTTGCCGACTGGACATCTCCGCGCTGATCGGCAAATTCCAGGCCTCTTCGATCGACGGCAATTGCCGCCTCCTGCTCGATAACACACGCGATATTATTGTTAGCGACGCAGGCTCGTCTTAACATTGAATCGAGCGTCGGACGCGTGAAGTGACAAGGAGGTCACGCTTGTGCGGAAGAAATCGTGTGTGTATAAACTTTCTTCTACCGCACGTACCGTCCCGCTTGCCCGCCTCTGCCTGCTAACGTGGCCATTTATGAGACGTTCCGTTTTTCGTATCGGATAAAATATTTTACCGAAGGAAAGTCACCGGTCCCAATCTTGTAATTTTACGCGTTTCCTCGACACCCGATTTCCACGCTTTCAGGCCTTCGATAAAATAGTCGTAACGGGAAGCAACGATCGCGTCGCGCTGAAAACTCCGAAGGCTGCAACGAATGAAGGCAAACGAGGAAAAATCTTTATCTCCGCGTTTTCTGTGCTTCCCTCCGTGCTTCTTCGAACAAACAACGTCCTTCGCTACTTGTGCAGCACGACGATTTGATATTACATCCCGCGTTACAAAAGAAGCGCCTCGCCGAAGAATAGCTTTTCACGGGAGAACGAGTGGATTGACAAAAGACCGCGTAACAAAACACGCATAATTCGACGACACGGCGCAGCACACTCACTTGGTAGCGACGGAAGGCATTGGTGGTCCTTGACTTAGGTGATTCTGCAGAAAGTTGATGCGCTGTTGGAGGGACGGGTTCATCGGAGTGTTGCCGCCGGACTTGACGCCACCCAGGCCCGCCAATGGACCCGTGCAATTCGCTGCGTTGCTGTTACCCCTGCGCGGGAAAACAGAAAAAAAAAAAAAGAGAGAGCTCTCGTCAGAAGTCCGAGAATGCGACTGACCAGGTGAGCTTTTGAGAGGTCAATCGTCAAACGTAAACCTGGTCCTCAACTTACGAATAACATCATCGTCAGCCGATCGCTCTCACGCGATTTGAGATCACGGCGACTTATTTATGGTGATTACTATGGAGCATAAAAGTGACAGACATATCATGAAACATGGAACGGGCGATAACACCGATAATCAGAGAGGCACCACTGGTCGGATTAATGAGAGAGTGAGGGTAAAAATAAATGGTACGCACGCGCGGACGGTGCAATCGATGAAAGTACAGGCGATGATTCGATGATTGTGTTATTTGTTTGATTTTCACCGTTTATCTTGACACGCGCACTCTCCATCGATGCTTCTATCTTTGCGGCTTCACTTCTGAATCGTTTCAGCAATTATGGCGAACGATTGCATCCACCGACCGCGAGCGATAATTTATTTAACGTATCGGATGCAGGAGGACGGCCATTGGCCATCGACGGCTCGGGGGCAACGGGATTGTAATGACGTTTCATTATACATGGTAATTCCGTTCGTGTTGCGCGCGCGACCCGCCGCTCTGCTGTAAACTCGGGGCTGCGGCCGCAGCCTCGCGCAACATGCAATTTACCTGGATGCGTTGACGTAACAGGCCAGAGCGTCTTTTGGTTGACTAACGCTCTCGTACAATATGCCGAGATTAGTCCAAGCGGCCGAGTGTGATTTGTCTAATTGAACCGCGCATATGTAGGCCTGCAACGCGTCCATCGGCTGGTTCTGCTGCTGATAAAGGACCCCTATGCTGCACCATGTATCGGCGTTCCCTTCCGACTTCTCGACGGAATTTCTATCGAACGCGCAAATCCAACTTTCAGTCTCACCGTTCTAACAATTTTCTTTTATTTTAAACGCGAATCAGTCGGACGATTAGGTTTTCAAATCGCATCGAAAAATTCAACCCGATTGAAAGTCACAAGGGTGACGCAACGCGGAGAATTTTCGTCAAACTGAAACTTCCCTCGCTCGTCCGTAGACACCGGAATCCTTGACGAGACACCATTTCTTTGTTTGTTTTTTCTTTTTTTTTTACACTTTCAACCTTTCCCGTCTTTTTGTCAACGTCCAATTTTGAGTTTCCACGAAAACCGTCCAAAAGATCAACGTGTCTGCGTGTTTCACGTTTTCATGCGTGAACTATCCGATTAGTCTCAGCGGACCGTGTCACGGAGCAGATATTCACCGTTGAAACGCGCGACAAGTATATATAAAAACAGGGGCGCCGTGAAAATGCGCGGAAAATGCTTTTCTCTCTCGTGTAACAGTGCCACAGCCAGCCCGAGAACGATACGCTACCGTTGTTAACAATTGGACACGTGAAAAGAGACCGTTGAATGCACTCTCAACAATCACCTCAAACTGAACCACAAAACTAAAAGCGCCAAAATAGAGCTGCACGCGGTTGTTTATGTGCGAACTAAACTGACATTCAATGTCGCTCGCCTGCAGCGTGAAGATCAAACGTTTCACTCTCATAGACCTTTCGACCCTTACAGAAATGTTTTTCTTAAATTCGTTTTACGGCCGTTTCGGGTTTAATGACGGGTCCTCACGCTTCTGGATGGTTCACTCTAAACAAGCCCACGTACATCTCCTTAGTATTTCGAGAAAAACGTCTTGTCTAATCGTCAGATAATTAAAAAAGATTACCGATAAGTTAATAGTATTTCGTCAACAACCAGTAGGAACGATATCTTATTTGTGGTGAAGTTAAAAGAATATTACCAATCACTCTTGAAAACTATTACCTCTCTTGTGATGAGGTATCACGGCGTCTTTTTATGGCGCAGGAATATATCACTCTTGATTTAACAATTGTGGAAAACGTCAAAGGGTCCGCGACACGTGTCACTCTTAAGCGATGGAATCACTAGTCGGAGGATTTAATAACGCTGTCGCTCAGAGACTCTGACTCGAGATGACTCAACGTCCATTTGATACGTAAGTAGACGACAAGAAATATCACGATTCGCATTACCTGTACGCGACGAATGCATCGTGAATTTTCCCGGACGCCGCCAGACAACGTCCTAACAGATACAGACTCTGTCCACTCTTCGGCTCAGCATCGATGGATTTTTGCAAGCAGAAGATAGCTAAGGTTTGCTTCTGCTGTCTCGTTATGCCCAATACTGTGCAGTCAACCACATGGTACATCCATCCTGCAACAACGGACACACACGATTGTTCCCTTCCAAGTGCAACTACCTCGATGCTAGACCAACATCGAACTGATCTTTGCAGGTATAGGCCTAGGGTAGGCGCTCACATATTCTCTTTCTTTCTCTCTTTCTCTCTCTCTCTCTCTCTCTCTCTTTTCTAGTCGGGCTGCTGCTCCCTTCTTCGGGGGCTGTCTCGAATTACAACCCCCCTTTAAACATAGGCGTAGCGAGCGATAGACTATTTCGCGAGGTCGTTTCGACAGTAGTGTATTATATGTGATACGAACGACATCGGGAATTAAAATCAAAATTAAAATCCGGCATCTTGAAGATTTTTTTATTTTCTGACACTCGACTCGAGCTGCGGAATATTTTTAACAAAGTCGTCTCTCATGTCAACGTATAATATTGTGATTTTAATATGAAATGTATGTGATACACGAGGGTTGATTTCAATTATACTGTCGTGCGCGAAGGATAACAGAAATGCAAATTCACGATCGCTCACTTTCGTAATTTCGCAACGCGTCTTTCTTTACCTGTTGATAGCCCCATGATTTAATCGTCGTGGGAAAAGCGAGGCGTCGCAAGAAAGCGTCAATTGCGACGTTGAAGCGTGAACAAGCGAGCACACGTGGCGTTTCGACATGAAGGAGAGGGTGTTCGGTCTGTTTAATTAATTCACCGCCGTCGGTTAATTTGCGCTCGAATATTAATTATTATTTAATTATTAACTGTCAGTTGAACGATAAAATTAACGATGCAATAATAATCGATATTCGTAACATTCGCGAAGTAACGCGCGTTGATTTAAAATTGAAAAATCTGAACAACTGTCGTAACACACTTAGGCACGCGAAACAACATTTGTGTGTGTGTGTGTGTGTGTGTGTGTGATGCTATAAAATAATAATATTATTTTATGATTTGAAATACTCTCTTGTGTGAGTGCCATAATCTAATGTATAAAAAAAAATCTTTCGTGTATCGCGTGTCACGTTGGTCTCTCCCGCGTTGCTTCATCACGAAATTTCGCGCGCGTGTTAATTGCATGTTCAGCGATCAACGAGGGGTGGCGCCGTTGATCGACGTTTTACTCGGTCTTCACCGTTCATTATTCAGTAGATGATGCGGCGCGTCGAGAACATCCTTCGCCGTTTTTCTTTGAAAAGATATAAAAAAAATGGTAGGCGGGAGAAGGTGGCGATAAAGTTCCCGAAGAGAGAGAGAGAGAGAGAGAGAGAAAGAGAGTGGGGGAGAGAAGCGAGGCTCCTTTTCTTCGTAGGACCGGTCGCGAATCGAGGTACCAACACGCGAGGAGCCGTAAACAGGTTGTAAGGAAGTCCTGTACCGTTTTCGTGGCACCGTGTAGCACAAGCGAGCGGTGCAGCATTCGCGAGGCAAGCCACCGATACGCCACCGTCTCGGGACGAAACGCAGTTTCGTTAAATGCACCCTCCGGGCAAGGCGCGAAACTTTCCCCGAAACGACCCGTTACCAACGAAACACGCGCACACACACGCGCGCGATTATCGACAGGATTACTCGCAGGGATGCACAGGACGGTCGGTCCTGTGAACCTCTCTTTCTACCTCTTTCTTTTCTGCAAAGTTTTCTCACGAATTGCATATATACGCGCGGATAAGTATATTGAAGTACAAAACACAAATTACAAGTGTCAAATCGCGTATTGTGTCTCTCGCGCGAATCTTCGCGCGCGCAGAGATTCAACTCGGAGAACGAAGGGGAAATATCACGTTCCCCGGAGGCGCTGAAAAGTTCAGCCGCGTTCTCTCTGACACCCGTGGTGAAAAAGGAAGAGAGGAGGGGGGGAACTGAACGCGCGTATTCCCGCTGCGCCCCGCGATAATCCACCATAGTCTATGTACTTCGGGACGGAGAAAGAGGGAGGAGAACGAGGAAGAGAATAAGGGAGAAATAGAAGAGCAGGTGCGAGAGAAACAGCTAAGGATAGTTCCCACAATGTCGTTCTCTCTCTCTCTCTCTTTCTCTCTCCACCCCATTCACACGGCCGGTCTCTCTCCCTCTCTGTCCATCGCTCATTCACTCCCCCCTCCCTACCCCGGTACCCACATCATTCGGTCTCTCTCTTTCTCTCACTCTCTCTCCGTCTCATCTCCGGTCCACCCTAACCCGGAATAAATCAATACACGTGTCTGCTACTTGGTGTGCACCCGGCCCGAGTACCTTAAGCCGAATCCGAAAGAGAGAGGGGCAGGGAGAAGCTGAAGGCGCGACGATCCGAGGGAAAAATCTCACTCTTTTTCCGTCGAGCAACCGCGCCCGGGGGTGACGTCTGCGTGTTCTTTTTTTTCCGCTTACGCAAAAGCGGAAGTCGCAAAAGTCGACGGATCGTTCGCTCGCGATGGCACGTCATACCCTCGCGCATATAATAAAATTTTCCACTCCCGCTGTTGCTCTTTCCTGTGTGACTCGAAGCTTCTCTCTCTCTAAAAGTGAGAAGCGTCTCGCGATTTTCCTCATCACGTCCCCTGAGGGGGTTTTCGATCGGAACGGAATGAATTTACCTATTAATCTGATGAATTTAACCATCCGACAAGATCGCTGGCGGGGTTGCGATTAGCGATACATAAACGAAGATGAAACATTCCAAGACTCGGGGACTTACCCAGTTGACGGCAAATGTCGGCCTTCAAATGCAACGGCAGAGCCTTCTCCTTCAGCAAGGCCTCGTAGTGCTCCTTGGCCAAACGATACTTGCCCTGAACCTCATGCAAGTGTGCGATGTGGAATTTGACTGCGAACAGAAACGATCTCCGTGACACAATCACCGGTAACGGGGGGAGGAAATATCAATCGTGATGACTTCTTTGCACAGATCTTCGAAAACCGAGGAAGAATAAACGCTTTCGCAACTGCGCTTATATTTGAAAGCGTTTAACGATGCGATATGTCTCGAAAATTCGTTCGACAACGTTTTTAAAAGGGCTCTCAAGCCACTTGGTTCCGTGTTTTTTTTTTCGAGATATTTGAAACGAAACGCAATTTTCCCTGGTATTTATCTATTTCTCATGAAGACTGTACATTTAGTCGAGCAAGCCGTGAATAAATTTATTATGAAATACTATACAAATATATGAAAAGCAACCTCTGTGGATACGGGCTTTACAGAAATAGCGAATACAGAAAGGAAAGAAAAACAGCGTCGGGAATTCATTTTGTTGCATTTAGCAGAAAATACACAACAACGGTAGGAAAGTTCGTGCGATTATTTAACGCGTATCGTTGCGCATCGTCCGACTCTTTTAACAGATAAATATCTCTCGAAATGAATTCCTGAAAATATTTACTTCTCTTTCTCTCGCGGTAGCCCCGGTACACGTTCGGTCGAGCCGACGAACGAATTTATCGGCGTGGCGCGAGAGAGGGGTGCAGGCGTTTATAAAGTTGATTCCAATTATCGAGCCATCGAGGCGCGATGAGCACGTGCGCGAGACTGGCGCGCGCGCGACGCGACGCTCGCTATTTAAAAGCGCACCACTTCTCCGCGCCGGGGAATTTTATTTCCGCGCGCGCGAGATTCCAGGTACTACAATGAGGAATGACTCGGGGTGAGAGCAGCTACGAATAATCATTTCAGGCCGACAATTTAGAGTCATGAATCAGCGGTGTCATCGTCATTCGCGTGATTCATCCGCGGGAAAGACGATACGCCAGACGATACGGCGAATCCCGCTACGAATTTATTCCACGCGCCCGATAATGCGGGATACCGCGTTGCAGTAATACGCCTACGTTTCCTTGGGGTTTCGCGGGCTGCACAAAGGCTATACTTTGCATCCAGCTGTACGAAGTGAAGGCGAGCTTGCTTACTTTCGAGCTTGGAAAAGGAAGCAGGTGTTGTGGCGTCGATCAGGGCGAGGGTCAGGTGCTTCAAGGCGGCGTCGAAGTCAGCGTGGACCTTCAGCATCAAGCCGAGCCGTAGGTGAACCTCGCAGGCCCGTGGGAATCCTGGTTCCACCCATAGCACCTGCTGAAACGCTTTCACGGCCCTGAAACACACGCGACACCAGTTACTTTTGTTTCTTTCTCTTCAACGCGGATCATTTCGAATTGGGAAGCTCAAGTCTCGGTTGAAACGACCGGATTTGAGCGACAACGCCGGGGATAAATATGCGCGTCGATACACGCCAGAACTGTTTATTGCCTCTGTTGTTATAATTACATAATCCTGTTATTAACTGGAATTGTAATTACCTAACGTTATTATCGGATCACGAATATTATTGGGTGTATTACAATTGTGCAGCGTTCTCGACCTTAATTTTAACGGGCAGAGTAGTGCGATGAATCCGGCATCGATTTGCCCTGACGACGAGCGGAAAACGTGTCAGGTCGCCATGCTGCGAACGATTAAAGAAGAAGACGAAGCAAGTATTTCTCCTTCCGAGCCTCAACCGTCGGACTAACAAATAAATCACGTCATCGTGTGCTCCTCAATTAACTCGAAGCCGGCTCTAATAGAATTTTAATTCCAGGCTCGCCGACAAAAGAGCGGCGCCGGCGTTGTGTAATGTTGAAAACGGTAGAGCCGCGATAAGCCGCGATATAAATCCCCGGCGGCCAACCGTTGGCCGGCCTAACGGAAAATCGATTTCGGTATTAGTTCGAGAATCTCGTTAATCCGTCATTAACCTGCTATTAGGATGTCGCGCTGATAAGGCGACAAGTGTCCCGTACACGTTGCTTCACGTTCGGGCGGTCCCGCGCGAACACGCGGATGGATAAAATCCTTATCGGCGGTCAGTTTTTCGCCACGTAACGTTACATCGCTGCGCCCCGGCACATCGTCGGGACGGCGACGAAACCGCGGCTATTGCTTCGCGTTGCCTCGCCGCGTTCTCGTAACCTTACTTGCGCTCCTTCGTGTGCACGCGATGCGAAAAGGTGCACGCCGGAAGTGGTTAGTGTAGCCCTGTCACGCGACATGCGGCACCGTCGCATGAAAGGCGTACGGCGGCGATGCGCGTAACAACAACAATCGTTGCAAATGACATATCGCAGCGTCGAGCCGCGTTGCTGAGCGCGATGCGATCGATACGGGCCGATCGATCGGATGGAAAGCCGGAAGCGAATAATACCGCGCGAGGGAAACATGCTGCAACGTGTGCGTTGCACAAAAGGGTGAAAATTCGAAAGCGAGAGAGAGAGAGAGAGCTTGAACCGAAAGAAATTCGGATTCGGGCGCCGATATTTATAACTTATCAACGGATGACGCTGATATCCAGTCGCGCTTCATCTCATGTGTACGCGTTTTTTCTATGAGAAACATCTTCCGTTATTAATACCTGTCGTAACGTCGAAGAAAAATGCTCCGAGCGTACACGTTGCCTCCTTCAGAGACGAGCTAACGAGGGAGATTGATGAGATATGCACAGGTTACCGATGTAACGAATGTAACGTCGGATTAAGCACGACAGGCTACCTTAAAACCCGTTACATATGCTTCTAAGTATCCCCACGCATAGACGCTAAAATTCTACGTGTAGATAAGATTAGCAGAATGAAAAGCACAACAGCCGAACGTTAGACGATGTCTATGCTAATAAAGTAGCAACCAGTAAGTTAACTTGTCGCAACGCGGAAAACAACTTTGCTAATTAATCTCAACAAATCTTTCGGTTTAGATGTGTATAAATGCTAAAGTTTACCTTAAAAAAAAAAAAAATCCTGATCAAATCACGCGTCAAAAGACATGCAAGGATATAAACGAAACGCGAGACGCGGGAGCCGCTTTTAAAGGGAAAACGCAGTATTTACTTGATTTTGCTCGGGGAGACAGGAAGGACGCGCGGGTAGAAAAATGTGGTTGTTGCAGGGAAACGCACGTCGCATACACACACATGCAGGATGTGCCTTTCGATCGGTATTTTATTCAGAGCGTCCGTCACCGTTGGACACGAGCCAATGTCAGTTGAGCGTCGAGCCCGACGCGCAACCGACGCGTCGCGACGTTATGCGACGCAATCAGACGAGGTGAGAGCATCGTCGTCGAAGACGTCACTTTCGTTCCCGTTTACACGGAACGAACGACGTACAAACAGGCAGGCGAGCGAGCGAGCGAGCGAACGAACGACCGCCACGGTGTGTCTGTTATATATATATATATATATTATATATATATACCGCGCGCTTGTGTACGCGACACACTTTTCAGCGGGTTACGGCACACTTTTCCTATCCCGAGCGCGGTTACGAAACCAGCGACGTAACTCGTAGCTCGTAGCGAGCGAGCGCTCGCCCGCCCGCCCGCGCCTTACGATTATCTCCGTAGTGTAACGCCGTTTACCGTTGCCTCTCGACAAAAGCCACGCGAGCCGCGCCTTTCACCAAATACGAGCCGTATTTCCGTCGGAATACGCGTGCCAGCATTTCGATCCGGAGCGCGATCTTTGGAGGTGCATGGACAAAAATTAATCCCCGAAAGCGCGTGCGGCCACGCACGTACGTGCACGCGCGTACTGCTGCGTGTAATCTTCTTCCACGCACCGAATATCAAAACATCGCAAACTAGAACGCGCGCTTATATAATTTCACTCATTAATTGCACCGGTGTTTTGCAGAAATTTTCGCGTCAACAGCGACTGGGTGGAAATATTTCATAGATGTTATTGACACGCTGCAGGACGCGAGTCTCCACGTGACTTAAAAATATCGTCGATCGATTCTTCTTTTTAAGGCACTTTCGAGGGTAGATCGACAGAGATTGGTTTCGTGCCGCGATACTTCGTGACGCATCGAGGGATAAGCGGCGATTTAACGAGAAAGAGCAGTAAAAACGGAGGGAAAAAACGGCCACAGACGTCGCCTGCGTCTTCGTGGTCGCTGTAGTACAGTCGTCATCCACGCGAGATGAGAGAGAGAGGGAGAGAGAGAGAGAGAAGAGAGAACGGTAGTAAATTCATTCATAAGAAGTCCATTCATCGCTTCATTCACTCGCGTTTCCTTTCGGGGTTCGTTGTCTTCGGCAATGAGTCACTACTCCGCAACGCGCGCGCCGGGCGTATAGCAGAAAGAGAAATGTCAGTGACTCGCTCGTTTCGCAAGAAACGAGCGCGTGCTATAATCGACTACGCGAGCGTCGAATAGAGAAAAAGAAAGAGAGCAAAGGAGGAGATGACTGTGTAACGATTGAATATAATTGTCGGATTTTTCGCTCTAATTAAACAAAAAATCACTCTTATTATAGTCCGGCGTACAGAACGGCGGTAAGTGCTAAACACGAATGTGTAATTTCCACACAGAAGTATGCGCGCGTTTCCGTATTTTGTTTCAACGTTTGACTTGATCAAGATTTAATTAAAAAGGGACAAATCATGGACCACGATGATGCAGAAATTATTGTGCCACGTAAATGACTTGAAACTGATTGGGAGATCCGTTCCTTTGAAACCGATTTCGAGAGACCGCGAGTTGCGAAACGTGCGTATCTCGTTTTCCTCGGAAATCAGCCGAAAATCGCCGACAATGCATTTCATAAAGCGCGACGAGACGTGGGGAATATAGGAAAACCTCGGCACGACAAAGTGCAGATTGCGATTTTGCGTGGGAGGAAAAAGAGAGAGAGAGAGAGAAGGAGCGCATGCCCTACAAACACGCGCGATTCCGCGCGGAATGCGGCCGCGGCCGTCGATAAAAGGGGTGTAAATGGAGTCGTTAGGGCGCGTGACGTGCGGGGCGCGGTATCGTTAAGGACGATCACCGAGACCTTCTCATTATCGCGGCGGCGAACAACACTTCGAATTTCCTGAGCTCGCGCGCGCGGCACGAGAGACGCCACCACCGCCGTCGTCGCGTCACCTCGCGTCGCGGTGGTGCACGTAGGCGCAAAGGGTGCATTTTAATGCACCCTTCGAGCCTGAAGCCGAGCACCGTTTAGCACCTCATAAATTAATCGCACGCAAGTATGACCCGTTAACGGCCGTTTTGCCGGCGATTTCCGCCGGATGAGCGACAAACGACGACGAGTAGCAAACGGAAACTCATTCGTGACTCACCCCTCTCGGATTTCGCCGAGTCGAGAACGCATCGTAAAGACGATTCGAGGGTGATGGTGTTGAGAAAACAGGTAGTTCGAGTGAAATGTGATGAACGATCGACGTTTCCATCGATCTAATTTGCTCCGACAGAAATGCTAATTACGGAAGGGGAGGGAGAGAGAATTTCAACCTCCGTTAGTGTCACAAGTGTACTCAACAGATACGTTCCAGATTCAACGCATCGTTGCTATGCGGCTTCAAAGGCCAACTCGTTCTTGTCAATGTTTTTGCTTGTTCTTTTTGTTCTTCTATTTCTATTCTGTATTTTATGCATTTCAGTGTTTAATCTATTAACCGAGTGCTAATGAAAATAAAATTTCAAGAAGTAGGGGAAAATAATTAGAAAATTAGTGTATTTGTGAGACACATTGCGGCCATTTATGGGTGCAAAATATTGCGACTAACGGAAGGTTAAGTAAACATTATTAAATTGCCTTTCTTAAATGGAATCTCCTTAAACGTTCTGTCACGCGGCAGAAAATAGCGTAACTGTAGCCAATCTGAAAAAAAAAAAAATCAGCCTCCCGACGAGTCATTATCACGATCAAAGACCCACGAATACAACTCTCAGTTTGTGCATCTTCCGTTACAACCGAGGAGACACGATAGTTCCGAGAATATCGTACAAGTTCTCGCTCTTTTGTACAAAGAGTCGGCCTCGGTCATTATAATTCTCAAAAAAAATATATAACTGTTCGCGGAAATTTTATTGAACGCGCGGCTACCGAACGAATTCCTCGCCCACGGGAGGAATCTCGTCGAAGATAACCGTTCTTAATGACTTCCTTATTACAATTTCGTTATCTTGATCGCTGGCGTGCGCACGCACCTCCATTGACCTGCACACGCGTCACGCACGCACGCACGCTGCAACCGACACGGGGCATCCGCGCGAGTGCAACTCGGCGAGAGAGATTTGGTCCCGCAAATTTCTGAAATTATTACGGTACACG